GCGGAGTAGACTGCTCGCCGACGTGGCAAGACTAGGCGTAGAACTGTAGGAGGAATTCCCACAAGAACTCACTTAGAGCCTTGGGGCGTGAATTGCTCAGACTATATACAAATACAGGTTTGTTTGGTCAAGCCAAACAGACTACCTACTATGGTAATGACTGTGGGTGCACAGACCATGCTGTGTCGTGTACTACTACTTATGGTTAAGGAATGACGTAGGTATGATGTCAGTCATGATGCGTAATTGACGTCATCATGATGTCATATGGAATGTCCGGGAATGTTAGAGAATGATTATATAAGCCGGGTAAGTAAAGTAACCGAGCCGGGTCATGTGACCGGTTATGAAAGTAGCCGGTCACGTGACCTATTGCACCAAGAAGCGAAGCTGCGACTTCAGCGACGATGCGTGAAATGTAAGTAATCGTGCGTGTCATGACTGGTCATGCTGTCGTGAATGCGATCGCGACAATGATCCTTATTTCCGCAGAATCTGGTCAGGAGCAAATGAGGATGGAGGTGTAGAAGATGGTGTGAGGTACTATCTGAGCGTCTCTGCAGCGGTAAGAATGCCTATACTCCTCGGGAACCGGGTTACTCAGCATGCTGGCAGATTACACTTGGCGGACTGGTGTTCAGAGTCTTCCCTTTCTACGTTTTATGTGGGTATCTTGCACGCTTTTCAGGCGTCACAACGTCACATCAGTCCTTGTATTAACCTCGACATAACAGATACCGGTTCTATCTCTGCATCTACAAATCTGTATCAACGTAAGCTATCTCTAGATGCTTATATATAAGCTCACGGAGAGTCCAAGGCATGTTGGAATCTGTCCTATTTGCAAGAGCGCGTTTTCATGACACTGTTTTCCGAGGTCGGCTTCTCAATAGGTTCGGAAAAGGCTTCAAAGGTACGATCATATTAATAACAAACTTCCTGCAAATTTGATGAACGGCACCCAGTGATTGACAGCCTCTTGGCTGATATCCTCGGACGCGTGTTCTTTTTTGGTCTCGGGTCGTTTGCTACTCTAGTGACTACTACCTTGGGTGGAGGTTGGGTCTTCTTCATCGCAGTTCTTCTGCTAGGATACGTATACTGGAGAGGTTAGTGTACGAAATTGTCCTGACTAACCAGTATGCTAAGTCCTGATTTTTTCTAGTTGCCAAGCTGTACGGACAGACAGCGCGCGACATGCGCCGTCTTGGTGAGTCATGGTTTGTCCATTCAAGCATGATTGTCGTTACTCGATATCATCTAGACTCGGTAGCACGTTCACCACTTTACTCTATCTATGGTGGGACAATTGCAGGAGTTACAGTGATCCACGCATTTGGCGCATCATCTAACTTTCTGAGAGATATGATTCACTGCGCTGATACGGTACGCTAAGGATGCGTGCATCGTATGGCAAAGTTGACTTGGTGATATCACAGAACACCAAACCTTTCTATTGGACATGGACCGGTACGAATTCTTCCTACCAATAATCCAATAATCTCACATCGTGCATGGACAGTGAGCCGGTGCCTTTCTACACGGCTCTATCTCCTATCAGGAGTGTTGGTTGGCCTCACAGCTTTTGCTGTTGTGGCGTCACCACGGGTCTCCGTGTCTTTGGCAGGCTTTGCTCTTGCTTTTGCTGCTGGAATATCGGCAAATGTGAGTCGTTGTGTCTCTTCCCCGAGTGCTAAACCACGGCTGACAAAATCGTTAGCTTCACTATTTGGTGCGTGTCCAATACTTTAGCATGTGCTATCCTCACCGCGTTGCATAATTACCGACTTTGAGTAGGTCAGGAACTTTGTGAACATGGAGCAGTCATTGGTACGTACTATAGCTCAGTAAACATCATGCGCGTTGAAATGGGGTCTATAGGTCGCTCTGGAGCACGTGAAGGAGATGTCAGAATTAGAGGCCGAGCCACCGGAAATCGTCAACCCTAGGCCACCTACGTCTTGGCCTGATCGTGGATCTGTGGTTTTCGAAAATCTCGTAATCCGTTACGCTGTGGGGCTGAATATTTAAGAAATTTGCATATGTTCTGACTTTGAGTTCAGTCAGATCTACCAGAAGTATTGCATCGTCTGAGTTTCGTTGTCAATGCAGGAGAAAAGGTACGCAAGCGGCTCCGGTGATGTACATGAACTCCTGAACTGAATTCCATAGATCGGTGTCCTCGGACGAACAGGATCCGGGAAGAGTACATTGACCATGTCTCTTTTGCGCTTCGTCGAAGCTAGCGAGGGTCGGATTTTTGTAGACGGTCTGGACATATCGAAGATTGGTCTAAGTGACCTACAGAGTCGAATGACTATCATTCCTCGTGCGAATGTTCTAATTTTCTCTGAAGAAACCCTGAAGCTCACCGCTTTATAGAGGACCCGACTATTCTAAGTGGTACCTTGAGATCAACTCTCGACGTGTTCGATGAGTATGAAGATGCAGAACTTGTATGTGAACGCACCTCTAGTAGAGTGGCTGGAATAATGTCCTTCTCTTTGCAGTTCGAAGCACTTCGGCGAGTTCATCTCATTCCACCAAGAGATAGTCCAGTCTCTGAGGGTGAGACCTTGAACGCAAACGTGTTTCACAACCTCGATATTGCTGTATCAGAGGGCGGCGAAAACTTCTCAACTGGGTAAAGCCTTTCGACATTACCCTCACAACGCATATCTTAACATGCTTTCATGCAGCCAAAAACAACTGTTATGTATGGCGAGAGCGTTATTGAAGCGGTCAAAGGTACTTGTGATGGACGAGGTAGGTGGTCACAGTCCATGAATTTGACAATTGAGTCGATTTGATCACTCCAGGCTACTGCGAGGTAACAACCCTCCATTATTCGAGTTCATCTTCTGACTGTTCCCAGTGTGGATTACGCCACGGACGAGCTCATCAGCAAGACTATCAAACAGTAAGCATGTTATTTAAGTTACCAATATTACTCCTGGTTAAAATATTGTCCTAGAGAATTCTCTTCGAGTACGATCTTGACAATTGCGCACCGCTTGAGAACTATCATAGACTACGACCGGGTATACTGACGATGAATTCCTGAATCTCTCGTTCCAATTCTGATCTGATTTACTCTAGGTGATGGTGTTAGACGAAGGGCGCATAGCCGAATTTGACTCGTAAGTGGTTCCTTGACCCTTTGTCGTCGTTTTTAATATTGAGGATTATATCAAGCCCTGCTACGTTACTCAAAGATCAGTCGTCGATGTTTCACTCGCTTTGCAAAGCTACCGGCGAGAGGGAATTCGCGGCACTACAAAAAATGGCTGGCTCTAGTGTTCTACCAATGTGAACCATTATATAGTGGTCCATCGATGCTTACCTCGAGGTCAGGCTCTCAAAGACTTAAACACTTGCATGTTCGTAGAAACTCCCTACCAATTGATTGGCACTCGGTTCTTCGACTTCGGCGGTGGCCTTTGATCCCTTTGGAACTCGTACGAGTACATGTCGTAGCCCTCACCGGCTTCTAGTATACTTACAATATATTTGGCCACTGTAGCTACTTGCAACGCTCAAACATTCACTCTGACACGGCAGGGCACAGACATTCTGCCTTATGCATACAAGGGGCTCAGCTGCAAGCGCGCATGCTGCCGAATCGTAGTAATTTGAAATAGTTTGACCCATTTGCTGCCTTCACGAATATTTGGAACAAGTAAACCATTAAATTATGTTTCCTGCACGCCCCTATTTGCGGATCTCCTTTTAATGTTCATTACTAGATAAGCGCCTACCGTAACACTTCGAACTTGGCTTCCACCCTACACCAGCACCACACGCCTCCTCTCTTATTTCCCGTCTCAGAGCACTTCCCTCCCCAATTCCCACTGTACTGTGGCTTCTTTTTACCGCTGGCATGAGCGGTAAGTGTCTTGTCTATCAGAAATCCAGCTTTGTCTACGATGTTTCACCTCTCAATCATCTAGCTCGTCTGCTTCCAAGGATCTGGGGCTTCGCTGTATCAGAAAGGTTCTTGTTGGAGAGATCGATCGCAGCGGGGCACATAACTCGGGGCAACAGCAATAAACGGGACGTCTTTAACGCCGTGGACTGTTCCCTTTTCAACCTCGAGGCGCTTGTCCGTAATCCCGCTCCAGCCATGCCCATCCCGGTTCTACACCAAGATGGAAAACGGATGCTTTATTGCGTTGCCCTTGCTACGTCACAGCCATCTGAGGATTTACAACTGCCGTCGGAGCCGCCGGAGGAGTGGTACTACCAAGACTTGGCTAAGGAGCTGAAGGGGGTCGTCCCAAAGTGGTATCAAATGTATAAGGATTGGTAGAGAATGATTCTGAGGGGTGGGAGAAATGGTTGGTCTTGTAACTAGTACACGTACACTGCAGAGAAACTATACATCTACACCCATTGGTCTTCCTAATGGCCTCTCCCTGGGTTTTGCATCCAAGTCAAATGTGTCAAGCTCATAAGCAGATATCCCGGTAGTAAGTTGCGCTGTACGAGATAATGTGACGCTCTGGAGGGACACGAGATGGTCAGAACTCGGTGCTTCCGAGGTACGCGTCCGCGTATATATAACCATAGGTGCACTTACCTCGCTTCGTCCCGAGCGATAGTGCCGAGACGAACGGTCCTTGGATTCCGCTTGCAACAATAGCGAGTATAACAGTGTCTGAAGTCATAGTGATAGTGAGTGCATAGGCATGAAGATAGCGTACTCAGCATGACGGCTTGAAGTTATGACAACAATAGGAATCAGGATGAAGCTTACTTACAACGGTGTATACGCGTCCAGATGGGATGCCGAACACAAGGTCCAGGTCAACTTCAGGCCAGCAGACGAAGGACAGGAGACAGCCGAGAGCAAAAACGGTCGCGACTACGCCAGTCTGGATTGCTCCCCGGACGAGCCGGGCCACGAGACGGTCCGTCACACCAAAGCCTGTACGGACCCGTAGGAGTGCTACGCTTAGAGCGCCTATACATTTAGTTATGAACAGGGCTTAGCATTCTTTGAGCGCGAATGCCAGTGCGTGAACGCTCACTGGTGATGATGATGTCTGTCGCAACGGTCGTGATGAGCCAGGCTATCATGGGGCGTTGGACCTCCAAGCCCGCTATTTGGTCGTGTGCAACGTGTCTTTGGTGATGCCAAGTATTGATGGAGAGTATCGTTATGGCGGGGTGGTACTTACAATTTCGCCTGGCGCGTCTGAATCGTGACCCAAATGGCGAGCGCAAAGCCGCATATCGCCAGCAGCGTGCAGGTGGCAGCCAGAAGCTTGCTGGAGACCAGTCTCCAGAGACTTCATAGCCAATTGTTGGTCGGAATAGTTGTCACACAAGGTATCAAAGCGTACTGACCGTCTAGTAAGAAACAACTGGGTAACCAACGCTGACCATGCATTTGGGATCGGCACGATGTCGATTGGCCATGCTGGCTCTAGAATCCAGGATGTATGAGCAAATCCTCTATCTGCATGTATCCTCGAACTTACTATAGATTATAGCGGGGTTAGCGTAGTTTGTTACGCTATGTAACGTAGTAAATGTGATCGAAAAGACAAAGGTACGAGAAGTAGGCTTACCAGAGGTGCCATAAAAGCTGTACAACTCTAATAGCGGGATAAACATGAACATGAGTAATATCTGTAAAGTTCAGCGCTGAATGTCGCCCACAAAGCACTGTAAGCCGTATCCACGAGGAAGGTGGACACAAATAGGGCCCTGGAGCATCAGTGAGTCACAGCAGCTGTTATCTGACGAAAGCATATTCACCTAAAGGCCCGCACGTCGCTAACGCCTGCGAGATGTGTCAGCTTTGTTCATAGTAACGAAAGATAGCGAAGCCACTGGTGCTCACCTGCCTGGCAATACCTGATAAACTGCACGCTGACAATCCCATAAAGAAACGTGTTGACTGTTCAAATCGTGATGTACATTCAGCACCAACCACCCGCCCTGCTGAGACAATGTAAGGTGTACATACCGAAGATGCCAATGAATATCATCCCTAAGAAGCATAGCGCCCGCAATGACGAGTCGCAGGCGGTTCCACGCGGCGTGAGAGTGAGCGCGAGCATCGGAAAACCAGCTATAGCACACACCGATGGTCCCAACATACTCGTCCATATTGCTCGGATGAAGCCCCCGTTTGAACTCGCGCTGCGTTCACGGAGTGGTGCTCGAACTTGCTGCCTTCTTTCAACACAGTCGCTGAGCCTCTAGATGGTGACGTGGGATGGAGATTGAAGATGTCGAAGGGGGAGCACTGGTGGCCGCAAGAAACGTGTCGACGCTCCCGTTTTTGTCTGCCGCGTGAAAACAACACCGGATCCACTCGTCAGCGTGATTGCGAGCCCTGAGCTGCATGTCCGATGTTACGGTACGTCGCCGGCTTAGCCCCTATTTGTCCCCGCACGGTGTGGAGTTGGAGGTCGCGAATGTTGGTGCTTCTTGGACAGGCACTGCAGGGAGCACCAAAATAGGGGCGTTTTGTACTTCATACATAGTTGCTTCATACGACCCACAGTCGCTTGAGTCCGTCAATTCAATGTAGGATAGCAGGGGGAGAAGGAGCAAAAAACAGCTGCGGCACACTGATTCCGATCAAAACGCTAGGTGCTTACCAGCGCTTACCGCCGCCTTATCATGGCGACGATGTTGCGTTGTCGCGTTACTGAGGTGCTGTTCAGAGCTAGAGTCCGACCAAAACGTAACCCTTTGCGTAGCTTGTCTTGATAAATGAACGGCTAAGGCATACATGTTGCATGGCACAGTAAGCGCACGATAGAATATATGATTCCATTGTGCAGCGTACGCGTCGTTTGAAAGGCATCACACCAATCGCGCATGCAAACCACAAAGCACGTATCTGCGATTCGCACGACCGAAAACAAGACAGCATATAAAACAAGACACAGATACCGCCACTTCCCCATCACTAGATCCATCCCCGTAGTCTGCCATAACACCGCAGCCGACAGCTGGGCTATTGATCTGCGTGCTCATGCAAGCGCAAGCGCTCATAGCGGCGAGCACTCCCGCTTGAGCCACTCGAGCGCCAGAAGATCGTTCTGTATCAGCGGCGAGACTTTCTCGAGGATCTCGGCATGATACGCGTTCAGCCATCCCTTCTCCTCGGACGTGAGCAGCGTCAGGTCGATCAGCGTCTTTTGCATCGGGCACTGCAAGGTGGTAGGTGAGCGCGGTCAAAGAAATGCACAAATGATAGGCGCCAATGTGGGTATGGTTGTCGGACATCGGAGGTGGAGAGGACAGAAGAACGTGGAAAGGAGAGAAGAAAGAAACGCACCATGGTGACATGCTCAAACTTGAGATAGCCGTTCCCGAACTTGTACCGCGTCTGCGCCTCCTGGACGACGACAATGTTTTCGATCCGAATCCCAAACGAACCGTCGGCGTAGTATCCGGGCTCTGTCGCACATCACAAATACCAGCGTCAGCGCGCCGGTTCATTGACATAATACCAGTCCACCCTCACCGTTGGACACGATCATGCCAGGCTTCAGAGGCGTGTTGTTGTAAGCTGTGAAAACAAACATGATTGTGAATCAGATACAATTCCGAGTAGGGAAACGGCATACCGATACGAGTTCCGATGCCGTGAGGGCCCTCGTGAACGTTTAGGAAGTGGCCGACGCCGTGGCCGGTTCCATGTCTGTAATCTATGCAACCGCGAGTCAGTCACTGGCAGGGTTTCGGTTGTTGTTATAAAGCCACGTACCCAGGCCATCCTGCCAGAGCGGTCGCCGCGCAAAGGAGTCACTTCGGGGTTGTCAGCGTCCACATTGCCTCCTACATTTATCACGAGACTCACATCACGTAGCCTGAAAAATATGAGCGGTCAGCGATCCATACAGCCGACCTCGCAGAATCACGTACCAGTGGTATTAATAGGGAATATGGCCGTATCAATAGCAATGTGGCCCTGAAGGACTCGCGTGAACGCGCGTTTCTCCTCATCTGTAGGCGTTCCGAAGTGCTAACGCCGTCGCTCAGCTTTGGTATATGCTATAAGGAAGGTATGTATTTACCCAGGTCCTCGTAACATCTGTTGTCCCGTCCCTAAACTGGGCTAGGATAACAGTTAGCCTTCGTATGTGATCTACGAAGCAAGCTGGTACCTCCTGAGTCGCAAAGGTATATCTGTGAAGCGGGGTAAACTTAAATTTACAAGCTCATATGACCAATGTCACCAACCTGGTCCTTCTTGATGACAGCGCAGTCATCGGGAGTGGGCTGGTAGTGGATGATGGCTAACAACAACATCATCAGTGAGAACGCGATGCGAATAGGGAAATAGAAACCACAAACCAGCATTCGGCCCAGTAGACGAGATAGTCGGGAACGACAGCCCCACGAACTTGTCCTGTTCTCTAACGATAGCGATAACCGTCAGCACCCAGCGACAGACCGTGAAGACGAGGGAACACCACATACTTCCGGAAAGCCTCCAGCTGATCAGCTGCCTGAGACTCGTTAAGCACAGCGCCCTTGTTCAGCTGGTCCTCGAGCCAGGCGAAGTAGCGCGTGAGCGCGGCACCATCGCGGATGTGGCAGTTGCGGAACCCTTCGACCTCGGTCGAGTTCTTGACGGCTTTCATGAGCTCGACAGGCGAGGCGATGATAGAGACGTTATCCTGCCGGCAAGATTGACCGTGTCAGAGGGTGAGAATGGGAGAATAGGGCAGGATGGGATAGACGCACGTGTCCGATGGCTTCCGCGACGGCCAGGCTGACCTTTGTGCCCAGGATGATTGGCTGCGTTCGTAATAATCAGCCTCTTCCCAATGGCCACTCGATTGAAAGACGATTCATACCGATTCTTTCGCCAAGGACAAAGTTCCAGGGAGAGTCTTCAGGTAGTCAAAGAACGAGTCGTACGGTCGTATCTCGACGTTGGAGCCCAGATGAGCTTCAACTTCGGAGTCAAACTGGTCCTTGTTGACGAAGAGGGTGGCGGAGTCGTGCGTAACCACAGCGTAGGCGAAAAAGACTTCATATTCAGAAGCTGTCAGCCCTCATTCGGAGGAGCAAAAGAGTAATCGATAGGAAGAAAGAGAAATGCGCTCACCGGGATTATAATCGATATCCGCCCCTCTAAGATTGAACAACCACGCGACCTCGTCCAACATGTTAATGACCATCGCCTTCGCATTTTTCTTAGTGAGCTCTTCCCGGAGCCGTGCAAGCTTATCTGGCAGCGATTCACCTTTTGAATGGGAATGGTAACAGTTCAGTCAGCGGAATCAGATTGAGGTGAACGGTGTACTCACCAGTATAGTTATCGGGCAGGGGGAAGATCTTGTTTTGGGGGCGCGCTGGGCGCTCGGAGCCCCAGACGACGTCAACAAGGTTCTTCTCGAGCGATACGAGTTCGGAGGCGCGGGGTGTTAATGACGTTTTGAGGGTTTCAGCATCCTCTGGAGTCCATGTAAGTTCTCGTTTTCTGGGAATGAGTTCAGAAAGACGCACTGGCGGAGATGAGAGTGGGGTCGATGCCGATCCTTGTCCCTTGTTCGAGGTTCTGTTGTGTGTTAGACTGGGGAGACTGAAGAAGTTGAACACGCTGACTTTCCACAGGAAGTCTTGCCATGTAGGCACATCTGCAGATAGCTATGTTCAGTAATTAATGAAGAGAAATCAGGGTAGTGGGACGTACCTGGCATGCCCTGTTTCATCAACGACCAATTGCTAAACACCATCTCCATTAGCCCCCAAATCCGTCCATCTAATGACCATACCGTGCCTATCCAGTTGCTGCTCCGCCTGCAAGAAGTATCGACCGTCCGTAAACAGGAATGCCTTGTCGAGCGTGACTATTGCGCAGCCTACAAGATCGAGTTAGCATCAGGTACACGAACGCACAGTTGCATACATACCAGCAGATCCATTGAACCCCGATATCCAAGCCCGTCTCTCGTCGCACGCAGCGATGTACTCGCTGAAATCTGCCAATAAGAACGCGGAACTTTAGCGAAACCGGCTTTGACCCAGCAGATGAACAAACGTTGATCCTCGCTCGTAACAACAACAGCCTTGAGATTGTGCTCGGGCTTCTTCATGAGGTCACGGAGGCCCGCAAGCCTGTCCGTGGTATTGACGGTGTGTGTGCCTCCGCCCATGCTAGCAGCTGTGTTTGAGGTCGACGACGAGAGCCTAAGAGCGATCCGGGTGCCGACGTTGGCGCTGGTGAAGGTAGTGTCGAGGAAGGAGATACGGGGTAGACGAGGGCGGTATCGATAGGCTGCGATGGCTTGGCTTGCAATAGGCCGGATCTGCCATCTGCATAGCAGCTACGCCATACGGAGGGGTTGACCTAGTTTCGGTCCATTCGGTCCATTCGGTCGCGATCGGTGCATGACCGAGTCGACCAAATTTAAAGGACCGAACGGCACCCCTACGGCACTAACTACATGTGACTACCTACGACGATCGGGCTAGCAAGCCCCTAAATACTGCGCGAGCCGATCCAGTCCAGCTCGTCGCGGGGAGCTGCTGGGGGTGCGTGAAAAGGACTCGAGTCCTTCCGACAATAGCGCGAACGCTCGCCGGGCTACTATACATGAGTGTAAGATAGAAATTAAGAGAGAAAACCGAAGATCTGTAAGGTAAACGTGGAGGCGGGATCAAAAGAAAAAGAAAGGTGAAAGATCATGAAAAAGAGAGCAAAAATAAATAATAAAAAGACGTAGTCGAGCATGAACTAGCTCTCGAGGTAAGGAATTCGAAGATACTTCTCATCGTTGAAAATGGTCAACGCCGAGTCCGGCGTGCTTGCGTCGGCTGCGAACGCCCGGTACATCTTGAATAGGACATGGCCACCCTCGACGGTGATGGTGCGGGATGCCACCATATTCGCGAACGCCTCAGCCTCGAGGACCTCGCTCTCACCGGACGAGCGAACAAAAGTTCGCTCGTAAACTTGCTGGACCGTTTTGAGGAACACCGCCGGGTGGAAGTGCTCACCCCGGGTGAAGACGCCTTGGGGCTGAGGCCACGGCGGCAGCTCTTCGTTGTCTTTGCGGATCTGACGCACACCGTCACCACAAACTCCCTTCTTGTGGTTACCCGTAGGGCTGAGCCCTCCGGGATACATGACGGTTAGGCAGCGAGTGCAGGTCGCTGGCTTGCGAGATCTCTATTCTCTCGCCGCATTAGTCAAGTGATTGACAGAATTAATATTTATCTACTCACCTTATCCGGATCCTCCTTTATGAGATGTACGGCTTCGCAATGATGCTTCCAGAAAGTCTCGGAGTTGGATTTAGCTTGGTCACTGTCAGCTTCAGGAACTGGCTGGGACACTAAAGTAAACGTACACTTGAAGTTCTGGGTGTGAATCCTATCGAGGACCTTGCGCTCAATGTCTCCGAGCTTTCGCAGGAGGGCCTGCGGGTGCTTCGCGATGGTAGGGACCTGATTCGATTCGTTGAGCCGGCAGAGACGGCTGTTGTAAAGGTCTGTTGCGGGAACCCACTTCTTCGATGACATATTGTAAGACTGCCACTTGAACTCGGCGCGCATGTCCATAAATAGGAAGAACTCCGCACCACCCTCAATACGGAGGGCACGGGCATCGATACCGGTGGAGATGCTGAAGAAGTGCTCGGAGCGCGTGAGACCGGGAGGGAGCTCGGGCAGTCCAAACGTAGCCTTGGCACCACCAAGCTGGCTGCATGCTGCCATGGATGAGTGTACCGAATGCGAGTGGAAATAGCCATGGAGTGTCCTTGAAACACCAGGAGTTTGAGCAGAGGAGACACTCGTAACCACCTGACACTAATAGTAGAAAACAGTCAGATACTTCGAAGCGTCACGTTGATAAAATGAGAAAAGGATTGGAATACTCACATCCAGATCATGCTTCCGTAAATAAGACGCGTTGTCTGTCGTCTCCCGGTGCAAACGCTTTAGCTGGACCTTGTCTAAGTCATAGGTGTCGGCTTTTCGTTTGGCAGGAGATGATGGTTCCGGGATAGTCGGTGGTGTGGGCTCAACCGGCGCAAGAGCCAGTGGGGCGTGATGCGTGTGAAGCTTGGAGTGAAGGGGTGGAGGAAGCGGGAAAGGGGTGTGGCCCGAGAGCGACAAGCTCGGAGCAAGAAGCGACTAACACAAAGTCCGTCAGAACGCGACAGTGACTAATACGACGCGCCAATTACTTACGTCGCCACCGTCCGTAACGATAGACGAGGACAAAGCCTTGTCCGCGAACTCGGTTATAGCTGTTTCCATCGTCGCTGCCGTCATATGCGTGGATTTGACGTCCGTCTCCTTGGTACCAGGTAAACATGGCGATGGTATGTCGATTTCATGATGGCTGGGTGTACCATGGTTTTGGACCACCTCGGGGCCTGAAAAGCGATGAGTAACTATGCTATGAAGATGCTAGAGTTACCAGACTGACCTGACTTGGGCACGAGCACATTGATATCTGTACCTCCTAAGGCCTCCATGCGATCATCCATCCCGGTGGTACTGTCAACCTCAAATCGAACATCGTCCTCGATCTTGACCTCGATGGTGCCGCCAAAGCTGAGGAAGTGATGTGATGGTACGAGGCCGAATGACTCGCCAGAGTGGACTGTAGGTAGGGTAGGAAGGCAAGTGAGGCTGTCGGACTTGGTTTCTTGACACGTCTGGTTGAACAGCCTCGCAACGTAGTCAACGAAGCGGACGTGGTGAGAGCCGAAAGTGGACTGGACGAATTCAGATTGGTCTTCAAGACGACTTGCGGTGCGTATGTTCCGGCGTAGCACATAGTCATGGCACAGAGCTGATATGGTCTCGAGGCCACTGGGCTGCGCGCGATTGAGCCCGTTCCAGCCTTTGTGAGAGCCCTCAATGCGGCTCCCATCAGAGGCTATGTCGTCGCGTGGTCTCGTAAGGCATCCGTTCCGAACGTGCCGCAGCTGTTCTGCGTGGACCTGTATTGAAGATAATTTGTGAGTGATTTGAGAGACACGTAAATATAATATCATTAAATCTAGACACACCTTCGAGGCGTTAGGAGCCCATATCCCACCTTCTTGCTCGAAAAACATGAACACCTGAACCAGCCGTTGCTCCTGCTCCTCCCTAGATCGATATATGGCGTGGTGACGCACTCCGTCTGCCTTTTGGGCGACGATACAGGAGGAGATGCTGGCCGCGACCTCCTTCTGACGTGGGTTTCTGGTTGTATTGGCGACACATCCGGAATACCTGCACTGGTGTAAGTGTTTATCCCACTAATTACTGGTAACGCATTCGCTTACCTCATGACAAAGTGCCATAAGTCGAGAGCGACCTTGGTACTCGGAAACACGTCGTGAATGGCATTCTGGACATGGCAGCAGTTGTCGACAACAACTATCTCAGGTCCAGAGACGTCCAGGGCATCGCAGCGATGCTTGAACCCGGTTAGGATCTCCTTAATTTCCGCATGTGAGGCGGTCTCACAAAACCTCTACGAGCCAATCATATCCGTGAGTTACGCTGGCTTGCTACAGTCAGAAAACGCGACGTACCCAGCCAACAATCTCGTTGTTCTCATTCAATAACGACAGGATCCCACCCCTCATGATCTTCTGCTTCTGCTTGGTCGAGTTTGTCAGCGTTGCTTTGGCTGCGGTGCGGAATGTTGCATCGAATGAGAGGCTTTGCGCTGACAAAATTTTCTATATCAGAAATGAGCTGCATAGACGCAACAAAACCATACCTGTGAGCGTTTTCATATACTCCTGAGACTCTGCCTCCCTCACGCTGAGGTTGAAGTGCTCAAAAACTTCTGTCACAACATCTTTCGACACCGGCCTGTTATAATACTGAGGCAGCGACTCCTTATCTTCATTAGAAGGGCGCGCAAACTCCTCAAGCTTCGGCCGGATGAAGAAGTCTTGGCCTCCACTGAGCTTCTTCCGGTAACGGAAGGCGTCCACATAGCTGAGGAAGCGTCGGCGGTACTCGAGGAGGTGGAGCTCTACAATGTTACAGAGAGTAGTAAGTTCATGCCCAGCCAATGCCGACCGAGACAGCTGACTCACGCTTGATGTTCTCCGCCAGACCACCTGCAGTCGTTGAGGGGCGTAGCTCAACGATGAAGTCAAAAAGCTCGCGCGTGACGGCAGAGCGTTTGAGGAAGTAAGGAATATCCACTGAAGACGTGTTAGATGCTGCGCTTACACCACAGAGACGACAAGCACGTACTTGGCACACGAAAATGCTCCCATCGAGTCCAAAACGAAGGGTCTGTGGTGGCGTAGCAGTAACGAGAGTCGCTAAACTGATTTGGCGACACTTGTTTCTTCTCCTGGCAGGTGTTGCACCGCAGCTGCAAACCTAGCGCCGACTCTTCCTCGTACAGCCCATGGACCTCTCGAGGACCTGAACCCGTCCAGCCCTCGGACTGGACATCGGCTGAACCACATGCTGGACACTGCGATACCAGCTCGGGGATGTAGAATGAATGAACGACAGTGAACGGGTGCAGGTATGCAACTTCTGGTCTGATTTCAGCTCTCCCGGGGCGCTTGAGGACTTGCAGGTACCGTGGAGGGAGGAATCGTGGGCCAAGAATGGGTATGTCATTCCCAAAGCGTGATGGTGCCTTGCTCTTCCTGGCAGCCAGGCGGTCGTAAGCTGCGAGCGTGGAGACATACTCGACAACTGCCGCTTCCCAGCGAAGCTGTTCCTCCGGACGAGGATACACATTCTTGTTGGTGTCCTGCCACGTCTCGACTCGTTTTGCAACCTATAATCCTTGTGAGTAACTGCTGTCCTACTGTCCGTTGAAATGCTCTATGACTTACGTTGTTCCGCCAGTCCTCCTCAAACTTCTGTCGGTTCCGGCTCGTAAGCGACGATCTCTTGAGCTGTGCAAGGATAACCTCGGGTTCGAATGTAGACATGCTTATAGCAGACGGAAAACACAGCGTGCTGCGTGGTGAGCGTTCAGGTGAAGAGACGAACAGCTAATTGCAATTTGCGCAGCAGCGGCTTGGTGAACTCGGCGACCGCGACACCAAGTCGCCGTCATGTTTGTGCAATACACAGCAGCCCTATTCGCCGTCCATTGACTCACAAGCAAGTTCGGAGATACGTGTGGTCCCGAAGCGCATCCGCGGCAGCACGGAACATTCAGCAAGCTGAATGTGAGTCATTACGACATACCAAATATGCGGTTATTATCATGCTCGGGCTTGGGCTAAGCTGACATTGAGATACTTGCAGTGCTCGGAAGCACAAGTACTACAGTATGCTATATGAAAGTTCCTTACATTGAATCATTGTCAGAAGTTAGTCCTGCTGGCTTCGCCAGTGGAAGGCGAGGACTGAAACAGTGTGCCTTTTGAACATAACACCTAGTGCTATAGGAGACAGATGACATCAGTGCTTTCAGCTGAGCGTGCATTCTTATGAGCCCCTAATTAGTAGCCCTCCTCCCCGTCCATTATCATCATCGTGTTTGGCCAATTTATTCAAGTATGGGCCTTGCTAAGCTTTGGGATGTGCGTCTTCTGTTTTATACTGGTAACTTACAAGCTTTGGATCTGAAGTATGAACTCCATATCCAGCTCCTGTCTTCACCGGACACTGAACAGTCACGGTGCAAGTTCAACAAGTATGCAGTGGACGAGGGATTTCATACGGTCAAAACAGATTCGGGAACCAAATGCAAGCTGATGCGTATTGGTATTGACGCCAGGTATGTGTAGCATAAGTCCTGTTGCATGCGTACAGACTGGCTAATATCTAGTTAGCCCCTGGATGTACGCAGCTTCGGAGGCGGTTCATAGTTCGCATGTCAATAGCGCTCGGGTTGGGCAATGTGCAGACCTCAAGATACTTGTGAATAAACTCAGTGACCTCCTTCGTCTGCCCGTTCACCCCCTATTTGTATTCGATGGGATGGACCGACCATCTGAGAAACGCGGCAAGCACGTTGATGTGAAGCACAAGCACCACCTTGAGGAGGGCTTCAGAGATTTTATTCAAGTTTACGGGTTTAATCAGCACACAGTACGAGTTCAACTTTTGATTAGCTTACCGAATTCATGCTGAATACATGCCAGGCGCCGGGTGAAGCTGAAGCTGAACTCGCTGCCATGAGCTGCCATAATCTCTTAGATGGCGTCCTCACAACGGATAGTGATGTCATTCTTTTCGGTGCAAAGCATGTCATCCGAGAGTGCGTCAGCTTTTAATTAAAACTACTCGAGTACTTGCTTATAGGTGCATCTATAGACTCCCGGAGAGTGACGGAAATAAGAGATCTCATCAGGTCGAGATCTTTACCGAAGAGTCTATTCGCAAAAGTGGATGGGACTGCCACCGCCTACTTCTCGTGGCATTACTGTCTGGGGCAGATTACGACATGGTAGGCGCTTGACGTGTATCCGAGTCCTAGCAACTAAACTTACCTGTATGTCTTCAGAGCGGTGTCCAGGGCTGTGGTATAAAGGTAGCTTCACAACTGGCAAAGGGGGACCTTGGCGAGAAGCTGGTTCACGCGTTCACGGGCTGTCCAGCCCCACAATTCTTACGGTTCTGTGTCGAGTGGAGAAAGGACCTTCGGGACATGTTACGCGAGAATGCCAAGGGCGCTCTCGCTCGTAAGCACGGCAACATAGCAGACAATGTGCCTAACACCTTCCCATCACTCTCGGTCTTAGGAAACTACCTTTGTCCGGTCACATCGCACTCGCTTTCTCTGGACACTCCTCGGGACATTGGCGGGTTACGTTCTCCACAATCTCTTCAGCCAGACGTGACAAAATTAACATCTCTCTTCATACACTACTTCAACTGGACGCCAGCAAAAGTACAGAAATATATTCACGACAATATCTGGGCGGGAATTTACATGCGAGCGATATTCCGTGTACGTCATAACATTGTATTCAGAATTTGGGACTCACAGGAACGGTGTTAGCTCGAGGGAGGTTTCGGTTATCCTATCCGAGCCCACGCATTTACGATCCGTGACCAAGTGACTCAAGACGGCGATACCTCCTACAGAGTCCATTTTGATGGCAGTCAGCTCAATGATGCGACGAGGGCAGCGGCAAGTGATCACCCGCACTCAGCCGAGGGGCAGCCATCATCGGATGCTTCCTCCGAAGAGGAGTACGTGACCATTGATGTACCCGCCAAAATCCTAGAATTCTCCCACCCCAGGGGAACAGCGGAGTTTTGTGTGAGCCACGGCTTGAAAATGGTACGCAGACTTACAGTCGTATTTTACTGCGTGGATCTGAATGTAAGTAGATAACTACTCCGCCATCAGTAGACGACAAAGAAGGACACTTTTGGGATGAACCTGGCTCCCCATGCTGTTACACTCCTACATCAACGTATCAGGCGATCATGGATGTCTTTGAATCACCCACGCACCTGTCTTCCCGTCAGCCTGGGCCCTCGAAGCGAAACGAGTCAGCTAGAGCGATGAAAGGAACAGAGTCGCCCTCACCAAAAGTCGAGGATGACGATTCCCTCAGCGTGTTGTCGCTTTTCCCCAGGAGTACAAAGCGTCTGGCATCGGCCATGTCAACTCCCCGGCTCTCAAGTGACCACGCACCTTGCGTCGATTTAACCGTCTCCAACAGCAGCAATAGTCGTGGTACTTCCCATCCCGCGAAGAAGAAGTTCAGACCCTCGTCTGATGACGAGATTATCATCCTATCGAGTGATGAAGATGAGTTAGTAGCGGTGAACGAACCTGACATGTAATATAAGGACTCTGTATTGTAATCTTGTGATAGTGTGCGATAAATACGAACAACTTACCGAGAAGCAAGGAGTCTTGGGCTGTTGAACCGTATATGATCTGCTGCTGTAGTTCAGGCACTCAGCCTTCAAATCACAGAGGGAAGAGCATTGCCGATGGTAGTCTGAGAGACGTGGACCTTGCAGTTGCGAATGTCAAGCGGGCTTTGTAGCCTGCAGAGTGCGGTCGGGATGTGTATGAGAACTAGTTTGCGTACCTACCTTGGAAAGTGCGCGTACAGCGTAGGTGGGAGATGGTTTGGTTTGGGGATGGTTCAGGCGGAGGCAATCTGACTTACCTCATCGACTTCTCCTAACCTACCCCTTGGCAGATTTTGGAGCTCCGGCAGCGGAGCCCCTCGGAAGCTCCTCGGCGAGCTTCCAGCTCGCCAACCCCTCCGTATGACCTATCTGCCATCTGCATCCCCACCGAGGCCACATGACACGTCTCGTCACTGCTCAGACGAAACTGGAATGAACACGCGAGCGACGAGGAACGCCTTCACGCGCTCGCACGCGACGTTTGAAATTTGACCTCGACGCGACGTGCGGGGTTTCAACACCACCAAACCATTCAAAGAGCCTCCATGAGTCGGGGCCTTTGTCGCCGGAGAACCTCGGGGCGTGCCATCTTGGCTAGGGTCGCAACACACTGTCCATATAACAACACGGGGCTGTCAAGCGGCGACTGCCAACATTGACATCCCTTCCTTACCGTCCCAGATCTTGGAGAACCGGACCCCTCCAAGCCAGAGGGCTGCAAGCCGAACTAGGCAGATTCAGAGGCGACCCGAACGACTTGATGGGCGAATACGAAGCAACTTTCGGTATGTGGTTTCGCTTCATGCCCTGAAATTTCGATTGACCTGATGATGCGGTCTCCAGGGTTAATCCTCCTCGGTGTTTTCTGTGTGTGCATCTCTTGTGACCAGCGCTGAACAAGGTAGGACTGACCGTGACTGCACCACACGCGTACGCTAGTCAATACATACCTATATGGCATAGTCTCTTGTCAGTACGTCCACTATTACAGGTCAAGTGAGTAGTTATCACCCTTGCGACGTTCGGGAACTGACGGTGCCCCTAGATTTGAACGACCGGCTAGCATTTAGGTGGGTATATGCGGCACATTTCATAGTAATGACATGGTACGCGTTTACCAGCCAGTTTCAACAGGATTCTTCTCGCATCTGTTTTTATCTCGGACACCGTGTTTAGCGCCCTGTGGGTAAACTGCGTTACTGAAGTACTGACCCCTAGAGTAAATGCTTGACGCTAAAACTTTCGTATCAGTGCGATATATGCTATATGGATCTTCCTGTAGGCTTCCTCGTCGTTTGAGTGCTACACGCCAAGCTAACACCCTTCTCGCAGTGTAGTCCATCGCGGCGACTCCACTGCGCTCCAACGTAAGCGCGCGATAGCTCAGTTGCAGTCAATGACTCACGCATGACAACGTTGTAGAGGGAGTGTGGCCGTTGGACATCACACCGATCCTAACAGGGTGGTCATCATTCGTGACGCAGCTGTATCTCACATGGCGGTACGTGAACGCCTACATCTATTGCAGAACATCTGATTGACGCGAGCGAAGCCTTTGGCGGCTGTCTTCAAGCAAGATATTGCTAGGGGTTTTCTCCCTGTTGGCTGTGTGCGGTGTATCATTCTCGATGTCGACTGGAATCTACACCACCTATGGAAAGCTGTAAGTTTGCTCCCTTGGCGGTCACGCTCCTCTCTCATAACGTGAAAAGGGGTATACAACATGACAAGGTGGCAGAGATCGACATTCACACTTTGGTGTCTTTATGGCTCATCACAACAGTTGTGACAGACGGTGGCATAACCGGCAAGTCCTTGCTCAACTGCCGCGAACAACGCACTGACCTATTTATTGCCTTAGGCTGTCTGAGTGTAGCTCTCTTCCGGGCGCGCACCGGAATCAGACACACCGACCATCTCATCAACCAGTTTATTCGAGGAGCGGTTCAGACGGGAGTCCTTGCTGGGATTTTCTCTCTGAGCTGTCTGGCGGCCACTTTGTCTGGTACTCATGCTTCCTGGCCTCTTATGTTTGTGATCCCGACCGGGCGCATATACACGACCGTGGGTTCTTAGATGTTTCTCACCTAGCTATTGCCCTCAACCTCTCGTAGACGTTGCTGTACTCGCTTCTCCTGAGGGAAAACCAGGAAGAGAATCATTCCCAAGAGGAACGCAACCGTGTGGTTAGCATTTTGCTTTTGCCCTGCTACAAGTAACCACATGCGCTGAATATCCTGCGACATTCTCAGGGGACAAGCTCGACTCGTGCAATGCAGCTTACATCCGCTATCGAGATTGGTGAATCTGAGACATCTCCTTCCGATATTCTGATGAACCACTGCAAGCCGGACAAGGCTTGAGGAACCGCTACACCTTGACAGCAGCTACCTCCTTCCCGGCGTCTCTGGATTAAGCGTTGACGAAATAGATTCCGTATCATCGTAACAGCGCACTATCGTAACCTGTTATCCCCAGTTCTCATACCATGCCGCCGAAGTTTTGCGTACGTTTTACACCTGGGAGCAAATGATAGACCAAAATTAACCAGTTGGGTCGGTCAATTGATATGGAGCCAAGGCTGAAGCGGAGAGCAGTGAGGTCACCTCTGGCTCACCCGTGCTGCCCAGAACTCCACCAACGTTTGGCGGACTACAATCACGAAACTTGGCTATAGAAATTGTCCAATATAGCTTGATACAACAAATTCATGGCGCGCTGAGCTAGGGTTATTCTTGGGAGCCTTATCAAGGCCATGCTCCAGTGGCAAACCATGCTGGCGAGCTCGTGGCGGGAGTGATTTCTTACCTATCGTACTTCAATAACTAGTTGTATGTTGGTTTCCATTCACATAACGGCGTCAGTGATATCATGAAAGATCGGCACAGTATAAAATTAACCCGACGCGCGCCAACTTAAACCAGTTTAAACCTGAGTCTTGCCAGTGATTAGCCTGACGACCTGGCCTGAAGTTGTTTGTCTGCGTCTCATCGTTTTCCTTTTTAGCTCTATCCCCTGTCGCTGAAAGTGAAGCGGAGTATCGATGCCACGTCGCCAGACACGGTTTCGCGGGTTATCATCAAGTCATCGCCAGTATTTTCAACTGCAATCCCGTGTATATCTCAACCCGCTTTCTAATATGCACGACGCACTCCTTCTACCTGAAGTCAGAGACCATATCTTCGACTACATCACACAACAGGACACATTGGCGGCTCTCGCACGAACATGCACCGCGTTTCTACACCATTCTCGGGACCGATTATGGTCTGGAGATCTTGACCCCATCTCGATGGTACACCTACAACATATTGTATCACAAACAATCCACAGGAATGAATTCGGTGAATTTGTGAGTTCAATATCGGAAGCACAAGTCGTTGGCCCGCCAAATCCAAGCGCCTTGCTAACTCCCAGTCATGCTACCAGATTGACCTCCAGTTCGGAAGTCAAGAGGACTGGGATTATGTCCTCCAATTCACAACCCGCGTACGACGCCTATACCTCCACTGTTTCCCTCCCCCAGTGATGCATGAATCGGCCCTCCTGAGACTCGTGTCCCCTCCCTCTGGCCTCGAGAGGGTGTTCCCAAAGCTCCGCTATCTTGTCATTGACGGGAGGACCTCTCAGGCCCTCCACGCATATACCGAGTTCTTCTCGCCTCAGCTTGTCTCCTTCAAAGCCGTGTGCAACCCGGATAACGGGCGCATGCTTTCGGATTCGCTTCCAGAACGATCCAGGCGCTTGCAGATTCTGGATGTCACCGATAGATTTTCCTATGACCCACTTCAGGAGCCCCTGATCAAAACACTGTCGGTCACCGTTGTACGACTACCTTTACTTTCAGAATTGCGTTGCTCGGATCTCGAGCCTCACGCCCTACTCCATATATCTCGTTCCTCGTATCTTCGACACCTTGTTCTGTCTGATGCCGCGATGTCTCTCACGAGTGAAGGCAATACTTCTTCTATCGACCGATTAGATTTTCCGGCCCTTGAGCGCCTTGAGCTTTCCATCAGACGGTCCATGTCGTCTGGTATGGGACTTCTCAGAAGGCTCAGAAATCTTCCAAAGACGCAAATTATGGCCGCTATCTCCACAAACCCACAGGACGTACAAATGTTTCTCTCCGGCGTAGCTCAGATCGATCACAGTGGCTTAGAGGAGCTTCTACTCAGCGGTACAATTTACATCATCGATGGCGGCTACGATCCACAAAGCACCCTCACCTTCGATTATCTTGTACCCCTTCTCCAACTTGATAATCTGCGGAGTCTTTCCCTCGGTATAACTTGCTGCATATCTATGACTCTGGAAGAGGTCACAGAGATTGCTCGGGCTCTCCATCACCTCAGACGGTTGCACGTCAGTCCAAGGGCAAGATCCTCAATGCCACTCTGTAGTTTGCTGGCTTTCACCACCAGATATCCTCAGCTAACTACCATCACCATAACAGTGGAGGATTCTCCAAACATGCCACGACCTCCTCCTACTTTAAAACTGCAGTCATGTCTCCAACATCTCCACCTCAGTGTCCAAAACGTGGTGGACTTTGAGCTCATCTCGTTTTTGCTGGCCGACAATTTTCCGTTGCTGGCGAACTTGACATTGGAAGAGAAGCCTACGTTTTCCCTTGCCCCCACGGATGAATCCGTCTTCCTGCCCTCCGTAAAACCGCTTTTGCGCCTCCGAAGGCTCACAACACTTATCTTATGGTGCTTGCGGCGTTACATGTTCACGGATGCAGACATGAAGACAATTGCGCAGGCATTTCCGCGTCTCACACGCCTGGAACTGCACGGGAGATCGATGGATGATGCTTCCTCTCCGCACCCACTAGCATCATTCGATAGTGTGCTAGCCTTGACAGAGCTCTGCCCCGATCTGAGCGAGCTCAGGCTCCAGATCGATGCTTGTCATACCCTGCACATGTCGAGCCTCGAGCAGTGGCTCAATCTGCGGCGAGGGGCCCCGCACAACCGTACCCTCACGAGCTTGGATCTGCGCAACTCTCACATCCAAGGTCGCGACGCGGTAGACATTATGATCCTCCTGGTTACTTCGTTTGAGCGGCTTGCATCCATCTCGTTGTTCGGAGAAGTGCGGGGGGCACGCAGCCATGGTTGGATGGATGAGAAGATCCGTGTCCTGCGGCAGGCAAGAAAGGAACGAGACCTGCGTGAAATGAGCGCTGATGAGCTGCGAGCGATCGTTGCAAGTACCGACGAGACGACGCAGATGAATTAGAGGCTGATTAGCATAGAGACGACGTGGAGATTTTGGACTGATGATCTGCGGCCACGCACATTTACTAACACTATAAACACTCATGTTTCAGTCGAGGCTGAAAAGATGTTAACATGTGACCTTCTACTGGAATTTAGTGCCACAAACGCTGATCGTGGCTCGACTTAGCTGTCAACGTGAAGCGTTTCGTGATTCCTAGTTATTTTATCCTACAGCAACGTGGCGACCGGAAGCTGTTCTTTGGCTTCGACCTGCGCCTCTCCTCTATTCGCGTGGTTCCAGTCCTCAAATTCATATTAGCCGTCATGGCGGCGTGGGTAGCACGAGCTTCAGTACACCGACGCTGGTGGTACACACTGATCCTGAATACATACGCGAGACGAACAACCCGTTGATCACGTATATCCCGGCGAGCGACGCAGGCTAGGTCGAGAGGTGAGTGACACGGTTCGTGCGCGGGCGCAAGGACTTGCGTGAGCTTGAAACCGTGAACTCTCAAGAAGACAGGATATGCGCTCACGAAGTGAGTTATCGTGTCCGAGGAGTCAAGAGACCAAACGATCATGTATGTCCTTGACACAGGCAGCGATGTGAGAGGCAAACGATAACACAGCTTCTATCACAGTTTAGACTTGCTTGGCATAGGGTACAATCCTATCATAATAAGTCTCTACATTCGAATGAGAAAATAATGCGACACCTAACGAAAGGAGAACAGTTGCATTCAGCCAGATAATAGTCGTCGAGCAGCTAAGCTGCCCTCGATCAGGAAAACACCCCCGTGTTGCTACTTATGATGGACTCGTGGTCAAACGTACTGAGCTCGTAAATGGTTATCGCTGAAGTGAGCTGCTGTGGAGGAGAAGCGATTCTTCTCTGAAGAGTCGATCAGTGACTTCGAGGCATTTCCTGTCAGGATCAAGTAATACCCACCTTGTCTCCGCAGTCCTCATGTTCACTAAGTTCATTCCGTTCAGCCCTTAATAAAAGGGAGTACAGCAACGTCTGTTGATGCCCACTGTCAGAAAAAGAAAACTGGGTAAAAACGTAATCAGGGGTGACGCACGGCGGTATACACACGTCCGCTCGGGATGGCAAACATCAAGGACCCGTCCGTATCAGTCCAGAACGCGAAAGCTAAGAGGCAGCCAAGAGAAAATATTCCGGCGAAGACACCAGTTTGTATAGCACCTCGGATGAACTGCCAGATAAGATAATCGGTTCGCCCAACCCCAGTGCGCGCTCGCAAAAGAGCAGTGCACAATGAGCCTAAAGAGAGAAGTTGAAATAAGTTTCGTCGAAATTAAGGTAATAGTGAACTTGCCGGTGATGAAACAGTCTGTCGCAACCAATGCTGCTAGCCAAAGAATCATCTGTATCCGGATAACATCAATGGATTTTACGTCGTGTCGGATGGTCCTGTGATCGCTGTCAGAGCTCGAGAGGTGACGATAAAAACCTTGCTCCCACATTTGTGCTGCAAACAGGTGACTTACTGTTACAATGGCTAGCGAGAGGCTGCATATTGCCATCACAACAGCGATTGCCACAAGCACCCTACTTGCGACTAGGCGCCACAGACTGTGAGGGTAAAGAGGTCAAACTGTGCTCACGGGAAGAGAAAAGAGTCACTACCGCCTAGTCAGGTACATCTGTGTTATAAATGCGGACCAGGCCACCTGTACCGGCGCTGAGTTGCACTGCCAAACTGGTTCTAAGCGTAAAGGCAGGTAGGTCATTTATGGCTAATTAACCAGTAAGAAATTCATCAACACTCACTCCCGAGAATGGCAGGATTGTTGAAATTCTCAACGCTGGAAATGCGACATCAGCGGGCAGATTATTCACGAAACCGTATGAAGGTACTGACACCAAGAAATACATCGCGTATATCACTCTAGACACGGAAAAACTATCAGGTTGCATCGCTCGGCATATAAGAGCACTTACGCGGCACTGTACACCGTATCAGCCAGAAATACGGAGACAAGGAGGGCCCTGAGATGGTCAATCATCGCTAGTCAGCTGACGCGATGCTTGTCAGAACGCGCCGTATAAAATGATACCTGAAAACAATCCAGTCGTTGACGCCTACAAAAGACAAGTCTCTATAGCTCGTGGCTAGTAAAACAAACCGAGTACTCACTCGCACGGCAATAGCGCACAAATTGGTATGTGACGATCCCATAGAGGAAAGTGTTGACTATTTTAAACCGTGTAACCGTGGCGACATTAGTTCCTCCCAGCTACCCTTGATAAGCATCGAGGACAGCAGACGTACACATCACGCCAAGCAGAAGCAGACCTATGTACGCACCAGGGGGGCGTTTTAGTGAGCGGCGCCATACACCACGAAAGGGGCGAAGCTGAGCGACGTACCGAGAGTCGAATCGTATTCTCCCATACTATTAGTGTAGACGCGCTGCCACTAATACGCTTCTGACCCCGCCAAGTCCCAGTGTTGTATACGCCCAGAAACGTGAGTGAGGCAAGGAAGAGGGAGGCCAAAACGTGAGCACTTGACACATGCGTGGTGCTTTATAAGAGCCCGTCACGGTGGTGCTATCGACCTTAATCTAAAAATGGCCCTGACAGAACGAAGGGTCGGAACCTATGAACAGTGGGAGCTGAGCAACTTTAGCCTGCCGATATGACCCACGCTCAGACTTCCATTCCCCTGCGTATCGACCGTGGACAGCTGAACGATGTCCTCGCCTCCGAAGTCTGCCTTACAAGCCAACCAACCACAAGCTCGGGCCGGGGTCCAGCATTCCGAACCCCTATACCAATTCAAAAAACCCTGACTGACCCACGTTACGTTAGCTCGAGGCTCAGTACTAGGCAGAACCTGAAACAAATTTTTGGATTTATTCAGGTCAGGGCTGGATGTTGAGGATCACACATCATGTGTTACCATATTTTGCAAAATAGCGGGGTAGCCCGGCGACTCCTTGTAGAAAACGTCGACTGCGTGAGAAGGACATAAACACCAGCACGGTTTAGACTCGCTGGATGGGAGCCCAGCCTTGGAGACTCAGATCCGATGTTCGGTTGGGAAAACGACCTGATATGTAAGAACAGGTGGAGTATTGACAAATGCATGTGTGACAATGAGTACTGAATAGTGAGTATCTACAATGGTAACGTACGTGCGCGATAAGCTGCGTAATGTGCGGCTTTCCATTTTGAGTTTGGGGAAGATGAACAAGTAGGGTCAACAAAAAGTGGAGAAGAAATGCAATGGACTAGAGCGAGGTGTAAAGCGTGAGGAGCGTATAGAGGACAGCAAAATGTGCGAGTCGGGGAGAGGAGCCGGAAAGAGGATATCAAGATACCATCAGGTCGTGACGAGCGCCCAACCTTCTACTGGACACGTCGCGTAAAGCTCGCACGACGCCCCCCTCTACCGCCCCCACCACCACCCCCGCGCTCGCCCGAGTTTGCGCCTTTCCACCTCGCCCTCTTGGTCCCCTCTGCGCCGCCATTGCCAGCACCAACGCCGGCTCCATCGTTCACAACCATATCCACGTCGGCAACGTCATCGGCAAACACGTCGCCCCGCCCGCGCTTGCTCGGCACCGCGCTCGGCGGCGCGGGATCAGACAAGCGATCGAGCAGCGAACCGCCCCGGACGAGGCTAGGCCGGTCGGTGCGCCGCCCGTGGCCATATGGGTTGCCGTACGCGCCGCTGTCTTCGAGGCGATCTTGGAGCGCCGGCTTGTCGCTAATACGTGAGGACATCGGAGGGGTGCCGCCGTCGCCTGCGAAGACTCGTGGGTGCCGTGACCGCGAGCCGTTGTTGAATTCCCCGCGAGGTGGGCGCATAGGTGCTGATCCACCGGGGGCCATGGACCCCATGAGGCGAAGACGGTCGGGGTGGACACCAGCAGGAGCCGCAGCCGACGCAGACGTAGCAGTGGAGGTATCTCGCTCCCAATCTTGGTGGTTGCGCTGGTATTTAGGCGCGTACACCGCCGCGTCCTCTTTGTTCGCAGGGTAACCCCTACGCTCGCGTGCAGGACCTCCACCACGGCTGTCCGAGCCCCTACGGCCACGCTGAGGGCGATCAGCATACATCCCACTCCCAGCCTTCAGGTCCGGCAATGACCCCTGGTCGCGATCACCGATAAGTAGCGGTCTCTTCGACACGGCTGGACTATGCTCAGGCGGGCTCGGTGTCGGCGGTGGGGACACATTCGGCTTCGGGGGAAGGCTCGCAGGAAGCGCCATGGGCATCGGAGCGGACCAGCTAGACGCCATCGAGGATTCTCTCGACTCAGGGGGAGGCGTGACAGTGCGCTGCCTGTCCCCGAGGCGAGCAGCAATCTCGCTCATGCTTGGCTGGAACAGAGGTTGCGGTTCAGTGGCAGACATCGGACTGTCTTGCGGTGCTTGGCGAGGGATCCAGACACGGTCGTTCATAGCAGCTGACTGCTCTCGCTCTGGTTTCAGCTCCGGCAAGGGTTGTACGGGCGGGCCGAAACGGGACTACAAGAAAATGTAAGCAAGCGGGCAACTTTACGCATGTAGACCTGTGACGTACTGAACGCTTGCTCTCAGGGTTGACCGACTTCGCGGGGACGGCATGGCGCAGTTCCGTGGGCGACGTTTGGTAAGTAACCGGTGACTCAGCAAGGACGTCAGCCTTCTCTACAGGACTTTGATTTGACCATGACTAGCCAGTCGCAAGTCAGCATACAAATGAGCGTCAATGCGAAATGGTGCACTTACTGCCTGCGATGCAGCCGCTCCAACCTCCGCAGTCACACTCGCGCTAAACCTACTCGACTTCCTCGCAGGAGCAGGAGCGCCACTGTCCCCGGCAAACGCCGAGCGTCTCGGCTATATAACGCGCTTAGCTTTCCTCGTCCGCTACCGCATGAACAAACGAGCACATACCTGCGTTTCAATAGGCGAGATACCATTCGGAAAATACCCTTCCTGTCCAGGCACCTGCACCGAAAGCGAAGGCGGGGGTGGAGGCCCAGCATACTGTGCACGCATAAGTGGTGGCTGCCGACCGCCATTCCGATCCTCGTACGCGCTGCCTGTGTGGCCGCTCTTGTCAGACGGAACACTCTTGTCCCTCACATCTAAACCCCACATGTTAGCATCGCATAACGACAAGGGAGCAATCCAGAAGATACTAACCTGGTACAAGACCCGGCGCAGCCATCGCGCGTGGCCCCTTAGGCACCACCTCCTCGTACGGCCGGTCGTCTCTCTCCCTCCCTCTCTCCTTCTCCCTCTCCCTGCGCCCATATCTATCTTCCTCGCGGTCACGCTCATACCGCGCACCAGCCCCGGCCCGCGCAGACACGGACGCAGACAAAGGCGACGGCACATCCACAACCATCTCCTCACCAACGTGCCCTGCCGCCCGATAATGCGACGACCTGTCCCTATCCCGCCCGAACTCCCTCATATCATCATCCTGCTGCCTCCTCACCTCCCTACCGTCCTCTCTTTCTTTTTCACCCTCCTTAGCTCTCTCCTCCCTCTCCCTCTCCTCCTTCTCGCGCCGCTCCTTCTCGCGATCGACAGGCTTATACTCCGGCCTCCTCTGGCGCGGCACAAACGGCGGCACAGGCGGCGCCGGCGCCGGGACACCCACACCTACACTCGCACCCGCACCCGGCATAGGCACCGACACATTCGGACGCCCAGTACCCTGGAACTCCGCAAACTTCGCAGAATCAGGCGGAAACTGTGGCGGAAACGGCGGTCGAGGATGGCGCGGGCCCGCAGGCGGCGGATGCACATCGCTTCCAAACTGCGGCGGGGGGAACGGCAGTGGCAGCGGAGGAGCCACGTCATTGTTATGTCTGTGCCATCGAAAGATGAGGAAGGCAGATATCAGCCAGAGCTTAGGGTGGGTGGGGACGAAGAGCAAGGGGGGGAGGCATACCTTGACCCCGAGATGTATGAATCATTCTGCGGAGGGAGCGGTGGTCGTCTTCCGCCCGCAGCGTTCGCGTTGGGTCCGTAGCCGTGACCAAAGCCCAGCGAGGGCGCCGGAACAGGTGCAGAGCCTACGAGACCAATGCCAATGATGGTCGGGATGTTCCGAGAGAGAGAGCGAGCAAACCGACGGCGGATAGAACCGAGAAGCGAATATGGAGATGAGGATGAAGATGAGGAAACGAGGTTCCGCGCAGGGCAGTGAGACACGTACGTTGTGCGTCGGACGCAGACGATAGCAATGGCATTGTTAACGTCAGAGCAGGTGGCGGGACCGGGGACCTCGACCTCGGTCTCGGAGAGCGCTCCCAGTCCTCCGACGCAGACCTTGAGATCGAAGGCCGCTTGTCGTGCCTGGGCCTGTTCGAGGGCCGCCCCTTCGACATGGAAATCATAGCAGCATCTTCCGGAGTGCGCTCGCGCCGGCCACGTGCTATGCCTCGCTCGCGGTCAAGAAGATCCTCTTTCTCGTACTCGCGCTCACGGTACCGCTGATGCGGCGCCGCATCGCGTTCAAAATACTTGCTGCTCCTATCCTTGTTCCTCTCCCTGCCGTCCCTGTCAAGCGGCGCGTCGACACCAAGCGGGAGGGACGGCGTTTGTGCCGAAACTTGCGAGAACCGGCTCTTGGGCTGCCTTGACAGCGACAGCGCCGGCGCCGGCGGAGACGCATTGCGGAGCGACGCACTTGCACTCTCGTTGGCTTGCGAGTCCCTGTCCCTATCCCGGTCGCGTCCATGTTCGCGTTCGCGCAAAGGCATAGAAGGGTGCTGCGGCCGCTCATGGCGTGCTTCACGCGTGTAGATGACCGGAGACTCCCTGGCGCCGGCTGCGATCGACGAAGGCCCTAAAGAAGAAGAAACGAATGCACGCCAAAAGGTGAGCGGCAAGGCCATGATCATGAGCGTCCGTGTGTCCATGCTTGTAGCAATAGCAAGAGAGGAGAGAGATAGAGGGGGGAGAATGCAAGCAAAAATGTACGGGCACGGGAAGGAAGGGCACCCGCGGCTCAACTCAACTCCCAAGGCTTCCCGAGACGCTTACGCTTACGCTCGTGTCATTATTCTTGCATGCAACAGTGCAGGTGCAGGTATTGGTGTCCTCCACCTTGGGAGGAGCAGGCGCGAGCATTGATGAAGATGGAGATAGGAGGGTAGAGGGAAGATGGCGGTAGTAGGGAGAGGAGCGAGGCAGAGGCAGTAGGATGTGGAGGATTGGGATAACGTACTTAAAGGCGGTGGCTTTTCAGCATTGTGGTGATAGTAACCCTCGCGCTGAGGCGGGGCGACTGCAAGTGGGGGCGGCGGCACGTCTTCCCGGTTCCGGAGCTTGCGCTCGCGTGCAGTCGGTCTGGCTTCTCTGTCCCTGTCTAGTGAGAGTTGCGCTTCAGAGTCCCAGTAGTCACGGTCATGGTCACGCTCGGAGGGTGCTTGTGACAGAGGGTCGTGGCGAGAGGCCCGACCCCTGTCCTTGTCTCTGTCCCTACGAGTGTCTCTATCCCTGCTGTCACCTACATCAAGCGGGGAAAGCGAGCGGTGGCGACGCCGAGAGGTCGTGGAAGGAGGCGGAGGCGATTCACCTCTGTAACGCGACGTAGTAGACAAGAGCGTCTCGTCCTCACGGTCGTTGTCACGGTCACGGTCACGATAAGTTACCGCAGAAGAGCTCTTGATCAAATCAGGCCTGAGGGGGTGCTCAGTACGCTCGGATCGCACTCCGTGGCGCGCATGTTCAGTGTTGCTGGCGTCAGCGGGAGAAAGTCCGCTTCTGTCTCTGTCTCTGTCAGTGGCACGACCGCGCCGCCTGTCTCTATCACGGTTACGGTCACGGTCGTCATCATACGGCGCTGCGGAGATGGAGACGGTGTCCGGGAGGGGACCAGTAGCAGAAGCACTCGTCGGAAGCGTCCAGGTCGACTCGTTAGTACGCGCGTTGAAGTAGTACGTGTTGCCATCTTTGCTCTGTACCGGCTCCCAGTCGGGCGGCAGCGCATCGGGGACAGCCGCGGGTGGCGGTGTGATCTCTGCAGGAGCGCGCGGGCGCCCTTCACCACGCGCGACATCGCGGTCTTCACGCGGGACGGCGAGAGGGGACGAACCGTTAGCATTTGCGTTGGAGGGTCGGCGTTCCCGAGTGTGACCGTGACTGTGTGGCGGCGCGTCCCGGGGGCCCTCGCGAAGCTGGTGCTCCCGTGGTTCTCTGCTGTGAGTCTCCCTGGCGGTGTTAGTCTCGCGTGCACTTGCAGCCCGGCCGACCATAGGGACGGCACCGATGGTCGGGTGCGTGTGGAGCGGCTGGTAGGGCACGGGCGCCGTGGCGGGTTTGGGCGGAAGGGCGTGGATCATCGCCTTGCCTGGCTGCCCCTGTTGCTGCGCCTGAGCCTGAGCGGACAATGGCCGATTCTTGCTGGGCGAGGCGGAGCCCGAGCGGTCGTACCGACCTGGGGTATCACCCGTAGCGGGTGGCGGCCTCGTGGCATCTGCGTTGACATCCGCGTGCTGGAGGGAGCGGGAGCGGGAGTGCGAGGGGGTGCGGCTGTGCTGGCGCTGATATCCTGTGTTAGAGTTTTGCTGGTGTTGCTGCTGCTGTCCAAAAGCAAAGACTTCGTCATCTTCGTCGCCGCCGAGCGAGACTGCGTCCTCCTCTGGCGCGGCGGTGTAGTCCTCCTCGTGGCCCCAGTCGAGGACCTCTGCGTCGTCCTCCATGCTTGCTTATCTTCGACCTTGCTGTGCTGAGATTGTAATTGTGGCGAAAGTGAGGCAGATGCGGGGAAGGGGGAGGAGGGGGTGAGGAGGGAGGAAGGAAGGCAGAAAGCTGGCGGGGGATTCAGAGTCAGGGTAAGCGCCCGACGCGTTGAGGCCACCCAGAAACATAAATGAGTCTCCGCTCGGACAATGCCGTCGCGTCTCAGCGCCTGCTCCCTCCCGTCAATCGCAGAATCCTAAGCCCAGAGACTGCGCAGCTAACTCAACGCTCTTGTCATCGACATTGTCATTGTCAACAAACACTGGGCCCGTAATACACCACGCACACCGACCCACGTGCCGCCCCTTCACCAAACACATTCACCGGACTCCCATCGCCGTCGGTCACCGTGTCTTCCCCGTCGCTCCTCTTCTCTTCGTCCTCCCCTTCCTCTTCTTCGGCGCCCGTTCCCCTCTTCCATCGCCCCCGCCGCAGCGCAGACGTAAACGATATGGCCATCCTCCCAGTCTCGGTCTCGTCTCCGATGTACCCCTCCCACCAACACTCCCTCTCCGATGCCGGACCCACCACCGTCTCGAATCGCGTCCCGCTCATATTCAGACGGTTGCACCGTTTCCAGCAGATGGTGCGCATATACTCCATTTATGGCGCGCGATCAAAGGCATGGGGCTGACAAGTGGACCCTTGTCGTGTGTAGGACTTCGAGCTGGCGTTCTGGCAGCTCACGTATCTGTGTTTGGCGCCGCGACGCGTGTAAGTGATCCATACGACTTCTCTTGGACGCGTGGTTGACGGGACGCGCTGAGTGCAGATACAAAAACGTGTATTATCATAAACGTGAGTAAGGATGCTGCTCTCTGCCACGATCGTTCTTGCTGACACTCGATAGAGACGAAGAATACATGGGCAAGGGATGATCCGGCAATACTGGTACTGCTGCTCGGCGCTCTGGTCGGTGAGTCTTCTCCTTCCGCGTTACCTTTTCCACGTATGCCTACTCACACTGTGGTGAATTAGGTGCTTCTGTCGGCTGGTCCATCGCATACTCCCTAGCACCACTGGACGCACTTCGGGTAGTCCTGCTCATGATCGTACGAGATTACCTCTTAGTGGGTGCGCTCATGGCCACAATTGTATGGTGCGTCCCTAGTGTCCCTCCCTCTCTGCTCCTCCGCCTTATCCCGTACTCCGCCATACGTGTCACCCAGGTTTTTTGCCAATCGCGTCCTCGTCTCGCCTTCGAACCACTCCTCACCGACCGACTCGTCCGTCGAGTGGGCATACGCCTTCGACGTGCACACCAACGCCTTCTTCCCCTTCTACCTCACACTCTATATCGCGCAGCTGCTGCTGCTCCCCGTCGTTCTCAGGGACAACTGGGTGTGCCTGTGGGTGGGTAACACACTGTACCTCGTCGGGTTCGCGCAGTATGTGTATGGGATCTATCTGGGGCTTAATGGTGCGTCTTTCCACCCAGCTTCGTGCCTTTCGGACATGTCGGTATTGACCGAATGTGTGATGTTTCAGCTCTCCCGTTCCTGATTCGGACGGAAATCCTGCTTTCCCCGCTCCTCCCGCTCTTCGCGAGCTACGTGCTCTCCTTGCTGGGGTTCAACGTCGCGAAAAACGCCCTCCACGCGTACTTTGGCTCATAATCATTGGCACCACTTGGACTGTTGAGGTATACAGATATGCAGTCAACTAAGAGTGTTATTATTTAGAGATGCGTATATGCACAGGGATAACCCATTGGGATGTACCATTGACCACTGCTCCGAGGCTTTCTCGTTCCTTCTGTTTGTATGTGTGCGTGCGATGAAGTCATCGGTGCCGGGGGCAAAGACTGGGGAGGTCATTGCTAACCTCGTGCTCGGACTTGAGAACTGAAAGCATAGCTCAAAGCTGACGTTGTTAATTGTCTTCGATGAGGCAGTAACGCAGATTGCTTCGAGAATCCCAGCAGCGCTAAAAAGCTTCGAGAAAGAAATCTGATGGGATCTTCACGCCGATTTGCTGTATATATAATTGTGTTGCTCGCCTTGCGATTCGCAAGCCTGACACGGCCTTCGTCGGCCAGGCTACCAATATAGTGGCTTTCAGTGCCCCCCAAAAGTGTGGTGGTCATTGTCAATGGCGGACTCAGACTGTATAGTGACAGGCGTGGACGCCGTGTCAATGAGCGGAGTGCACGTGGATCGATGAGGCTCTAATCCCTATGAAAAATGACTCCGTCGCTACTCATTGTAGTAGGTTCCTTCTCTTTGGCACTCATTCTACTCCATTGGGCCTAGATAATAGCCTGAAATAGTACAGAAGTTGTCAAAATGCGAGAATGGAATTTGAATTCCATACCAAACATCGTCAACCTGGTGTTCGATTCCAATCTGAATCTTAGCTTATGATATTGATTCTGGCTCCGTTTCGAATCCCCTTGAACCAAATCGTGTCAGTGCAAACACAAATCCATTCTATTAAGAGTCGCGACGTCGATGTCGGTATACTTGGCACAGTAGCACCATTAATCCTGATTGGTAAAAGGGTGGTGTCTTTTCTTATATCCACTGGGAGCTATATACAATGCCAGCTTTGCTTTAACTAGGTTATCTGAGATTGAGGTGGCTCTAATTATCTCAGTGTCAATTCCGAATAAAACAAGCCGGTTGCAGCAGTAACAGTGAAAGCCGAAGACAACAGCCTGCTGCCTTATGAGATCCTATGGGGGCTGCGCCACTGCGGGGTCTGAAAGAACTTGCCTAATCCAGTCGTGCTCCTGACTTCGTGATAAGGCGCGTTGGGGAAAGCAGATTTGTTGAAATGCACCTTTCTCCCCAACGTCTCCCACTCCCCTCGACGACATCCTCCTTGCCCAGCCAGCACCAACGCTGGTGCCGTCTCGCCTCTGTTTCAGCATGTTTTCTCCCTCTGCGTTGGTCACGGACAGCATGGTTTTTCCCTGGTATGTGAGTACTACTTATTTCCCGTGCGCCTGCGACTACTTGTGCTAATAAAGTATGCAAATAGAAATAGTAGCATTATGCCACAGATGTAGACAAGCCTACTAGCGTGTCTCATCTGGAGAAGCAAACAGACGATAGAGGCGGGGGAAAACAGGATGGAGGGAGAAAGAGTAGCAAAGCGACTCGGGATTGAGGTAAGCTCCCGAAAACACGTCAGCCAGCACGTCCGTGACACAGTCTCAGGAGATGCCTCGGAAGAAGAAGGGCCTAAGGATACCGGGAAGATAAGCACTGGATGGATTAGTATGCCAACAGAGATATGTACTATGTGAGTTCCAGGTTCCTTTTCCCCTTCGCATGTCTAATGGTGTTTATAGGCATATATTTTAGCCTGGGCGCTCGACAAGACATGTACTTGGTCGTTACTTTTGCAGTCTCTCTGAGGACCTATAACAGGTTCATCTTGGTGCCCCTCTTGCGTGCAATGCTCATCTGTATGGCAGATTTACGAGCAGCAGTTCAAGGACGCGAAGGACGAAAGCCGCTCTCGGAAAACGCAAGCGCAACACAACGTGATCCCATCCCTTTCCATTCGACGCTGCTTCATTCGACTTTCCTTGCTCTTTTTCACTCGTTCTCTCCGATTGCTATCATTTGCCACCCTTTCGTACTATTTCGTTTCGGTGAGATTTTCGGTGCTATCCTTTCATTTTCATTGCTCATTGGCTCTCGTTGGCTCTCGTTCGTACTCTTTGGCAACAGGTAGGAACGATCGTCAAAGAGTGTAAATAGATCCATTCACTACCATTTTGTCGCTACGGTTTCGATTCGAAATATCATTGCTGCTCTTTGTACTCTATTGGCTTACTTTAAGGGAAATTTGAATATTGCCACTCGTTGGGATATAAGTACGAAAGAGTATCAAAGAGTGGCGACGGAGTCATTTTTCATAGGGCTCTAATGACGACGGGCGGAGGGCGAACCTGCGAGGGCGCCGACGTCAGGGGCAAACAAGAAACAGCATTATTAGGTTGGACTCCGGAAAGAAAGCCAACAATTGGCGCCTCGATCTAGCTCGCATGCTGTGACATCTTTTCCCTCTTCCGTCCACACAACCCCACAGCACCTTGTTCTCCATTCTTTCTGCCTTTCTGCTCTGCGCGCCTCCCTCGCCTCCTCTTAAGCCAGGGAGTTCACCGTCATCCACCTTCGCACCCACCAACTTGCACGAACGCAACGAACGAGCCCACTGTATCCCTTGCATTGAAGACGACGTCAGCGGAGGATAACCTCGACGCATACATCCATACCCTCGGACACAAAGGCACCACTCCACCCCCTACGACATACGGCACAGCAACCCATCGCCCACCTGACTCGCTTTGCTCCCTACACCGACAGCACCGGAGAGCCACCACGATCGATCACCAAGCAACAAACATGCCGAGCGCGAAGCCGCCGAGCACTGGCTCAAGCCATGGGCACGGCCACCACGGGTCGAGCAGCAGCCAGGTCGACCGCGCGATAGAGCAGATCAAGCACAAGCAGCCGCTGCCGAGCATCGACTTCACGAAGCAGGAGTTCGAGGGGCATCTCATCAGCACGCAGGAGCGGGTCGTCAGAGACGTGCGTCGTTCGCTTCTGTGTTTCGCTTTTGGAGCTGTGCTTACCATGACGTCTTGCATGCATGTTTCTACCCCTTTGCTCTCGCTCTGTGGATGGGTATCTCGTGATGTTGACTCTACCCCGCACTCGATGTCTCAACTACAATGCCGGCGACCTCACCCATCCTGCTCCCCGCTCCCTTGTCTCTCTTATCTGGGTTTGGACTATTAGGTACACGCCCCCGTCTCCCACATCCCCACCGACGCCGACTTCTTCTCCAAAGACGACCCGGCGAAACCGGACCCCGCCTTCCTCAAGGAACACTTCTTCCGCGAGGGCCGCATACGCGAGGACCACGCGCTCTACATCATCGAGCAAGCGACCGCGCTCCTTAGGGCGGAGCCCAACGTGCTCGCCGTGGATGCGCCCATCACTGGTGCGTCCCAACACTTTGCTTATCGTCTCCCCTCCCCCCTACTCCTGCTTGGTGCGTCGGGCGCTGACGAGGAGTGTGCGGTGGGGCAGTGTGCGGGGATGTGCACGGGCAGTATGTGAGTGTTGCTGCACTGGAGCGGAGTGTCTCGCGTGGTACATGGTGCTGATGCGGGGGTTCTGGGCAGTACGATCTCATGAAGCTCTTCGAGATCGGTGGGTCGCCATCAAACACGCGCTATCTTTTTCTCGGGGACTATGTCGATAGGGGCTACTTCAGCATCGAGGTGTGTTTCGCTTGAACTTTCTCTCTCTGTTTTATCCAAACTGCATGCTCATCCTTGCGACGTCCGGCGACTCATGGGCAGTGCGTGCTTTATCTGTGGACGCTCAAGATATGGTATCCGGAAAGCCTCTTCCTCCTCCGCGGGAATCACGAGTGCCGGCATCTGACGGACTACTTCACGTTCAAGCTCGAATGTGCGCTCTATTTCTATTCGTGATCAACCGTGCTCGGCATTAACGAGGGAACGATCAGGCAAACACAAGTACTCGGAGCGCGTGTACGAGGCGTGCATCGAGTCGTTCTGCGCGCTCCCGCTCGCTGCGATCATGAACAAGCAGTTTCTCTGCATCCACGGTGGCATCTCGCCCGAGCTCATGACGATCGACGATCTGCGGCGGGTGCGTTTCCTTTCCCTCTCTCCCCTCTTTCCTTCAAATGCGGAACATGTAGACTGATACGCTATGATTCCAGCTGGACCGCTTCCGCGAGCCGCCGACGGAGGGCCTGATGTGCGATATCCTGTGGTCAGACCCCGTCGAGGACTTTGGCGAGGAGAAGTCGAAGCAGAATTTTATACATAATCATGTGCGGGGGTGTTCGTATTTCTTCACGTACGTACGACCCTGCCTTTGTCGGTTTCAGCGCTTGACGGGGAGTGACTTGTAGATACCAGGCCGTGTGCCAATTCCTGGACCGCAACAACCTTCTCTCGCTCATCCGCGCGCACGAGGCGCAGGACGCCGGGTACGCTCCTTTCTCGTATCTCAGCTGTGTGTCTTGTCACTGACGTCATCTCCCCATGTGTGCTGCGGTACAGATACCGGATGTACCGCAAAAACAAGAGCACGGGCTTCACGTCCGTCATGACGGTCTTCAGCGCGCCCAACTACCTCGACGTGTACAACAACAAGGCGGCGGTGCTCAAGTACGAGGGCAACGTGATGAACATCCGGCAGTTCAACAGCTCGCCGCACCCGTACTGGCTGCCGAACTTTCGGGACGTGTTCACGTGGAGCTTGCCGTTTGTCGGGGAGAAGAGTGCGTCTGCGTTGCTGCTCTTTCTTTTTCTCTGCGATTCGTGCTGATAAAGGCGGGGTGCTGCGGTGGTGCAGTCACGGAGATGCTGGTCGCGGTGCTGAATATGTGCTCGAAGGAGGAGCTGGAGGAGACGAGCGAGGATGAGGAGTGGACGGCGGTGCCGGCGTCGGGCGAGGACGCGGATATGCATGAGGAGAATGCGGCGTGGGTGCGCAAGGGCGCGCTGAAGAAGAAGATTTTGGCTGTAGGGAGGCTGTCGAGGGTGTTCTCGTTGCTTCGGTGCGTCTCCCTCACATCCCTCCCCCGCTTCTGGGCTGACCTGGGCATAGGGAGGAGGCGGAGCGGGTGTCAGAGCTGAAGAGCCTGAGCGGGTCGAACAAGCTGCCGTATGGCGCGCTCGCGTCTAACCTGGGCATCGAAGCGGACCGGGGGGCGATATCGACGTTCGAAGACGCGTACGTTCCATTTAACCTCGCTCACGGTCCCACCAACAATTTGTATAATACAGGCGGAAATCGGACATCGAAAATGAACGGCTCCCACCCGCACTCATCGATGCAGAAGACGCCAAAGCGTTCCTCACCTCTCCCACCGAAGCCGCCGCCTCAAATCCGGCAAGCGGCACAGCGGAGCACGGCCCGATGGACGTCGACCTCCCTCTCGACGCGATCAACACCGCGCTCGAATCCTCGCCACCCGTTGTCCCTCCCGCCTCCCGCACCTCGGCCGCGTCTCCGCTGTCGCCAATCAGCACTGACACGTCTCCCAGCACTGGCACTGCAGAGAACGGATACGGATACAGTCCAGGCGCGGGTGTGGGGAGCCCGAGCGCGGGGAGAGGGCCGGGGATGCCGACGAGCCCGATGAGCCCGATCTCGCCGGGGGGCGGGGGCTCGTTTGGGCGGAACGGGTTCAGGCATGGAAGGATGGCGAGTCTGGGGACGACGCATACGAGTCCGAGCACGCGGAGGCGGAGCATTGAGAGTACGATTTCGATGATTCAGGAGGCGCTGGATGGGAAGGAGGGATAGCTGGGCTGGCTTGAGCGTTGACTGCGTGAGGGCTGTGTGGGTGCGGTGTCGGATCCTTGTTTTCCTTTTTCTTGTGCTTTGAAATGAGCGTAGACGGATGGAAGGATTGTATCGAGAACTGTGTGTATTCTATAGCTACATTCAAGACAATGCCATGTACAGTACTATTGCGACAAGTTCCGTGCTCTGTTACTTATATTATATCTCTGCATTCTAAGCTGCGAAGGCTGGTTGTGGAACAGCATGGCGGACGCTGTGAGACCCGGGCTCTATAACGGGGGACGTCGCGGGGATTTAGAGGATGCAGTGCCCCGACGTCCCGGCGGCGAGCGACGCAGACTTAAATTGACTGATGGGTCGTCGGTGACTGGACATCTGCCCGTGCGGGGGTGCATTTCGGCCGCGGATATGAGCTGGCTACAATTAGTAGATCAGGTTCGATCGAGAGATGGAGGAGATAAATCGCTTTCCATGGGCGTCACAGGTTTTCTGGGCTGCTGTGTATGTGGAAGCTGCTGTAGATGCTAATAAAAATGGAGCGGCTATAGCAGACCGAAGACCGAAAGAGAGTGTGGTGTGTTGCAGGGCTGGCAATGCATTCACTGCACGCGCGACAGCTGATTAGAAGTCCGCTACACCAGCCAGGACGAACCCAAGTTTCTTTTCTCCAGCTAAGAGTCTGGTCTTGTCGCGAGCTAACCTTAGCCGTTGCTCGCCCTCTGCATCCTCCACCACTTCACTCCTCGTCGCCGTCCGTCGCCTCCACACAATGCACATCCCACAAGCAAGGGTCGACAAGGCGATAGAGCAGATCCAGCACAAGTCCAACCCCGTCGACATCGACTTCACCCAGCATGTCCTCGACGATGGAAACACGATCAGCACCCAGGAGCGGGTCGTCAAAGACGTACGCCTCTCTTCTCCATCTCACCCTCTGCCCCGCCCTTCTTCTGCGTGCCACGAGGTGATACTGATGCTCAAGCCCGGTTCGGTTCGGTTGGGACCCGCGTTGTTGTGCAGGTTCAAGCGCCCGCGATGAACATCCCCACCGACGCCCAGTTCTTCTCCAAGGTCGACCCCTCCAAGCCCGACATCGCCTTCCTCAAGAACCACTTCTACCGCGAGGGCCGCATCAGCGAGGAGCACGCACTCTACATCCTCGACCAGGGCAGGCAGGTCCTCGCCAACGAGCCCAACATCCTCCAAGTCGATGCACCCATCACAGGTCAGCACGCGCTCCTCCAGCCTCGCGATCCCCCGCTTGTTCTTCCTCACTCGTGCCTGTTATGTAATGCTGACGTGTTTTGCAGTGTGCGGCGATATCCATGGGCAATACGTGAGGACAGGTCTTCCGCCCTACGGACGGCACTGATTGCTGACCGTTTGATGGGCCCGCGTTACAGTACGACCTCATGAAGCTGTTTGAAGTCGGCGGGAGCCCAGCAGACACGCGCTACCTGTTCTTGGGCGACTACGTGGACCGGGGGTACTTCAGTATCGAAGTGAGTCCCCAAGCATCTCTCTTATCTGCCCCCCGGCGTCTGATCACATCGCACGCGTCCAGTGCGTTCTCTACCTCTGGTCGCTCAAGATCTGGTACCCGAACACCCTCTTCCTCCTCCGCGGCAACCACGAGTGCCGGCACTTGACCGACTACTTCACCTTCAAGCTCGAGTGTACGTCTGTCTATTCTTATCTCGTGATACGCCGGTGGAGTACGGGCGGGACGCTCACGTGCCAGATTTCTTTGTCGTCGCCGCTGGCGTTTGTTAGGCAAGCACAAGTACTCGGAGCGGATATACGACGCGTGCATGGACGCGTTCTGCGCGCTCCCGCTTGCGGCGGTCATGAACAAGCAGTTCCTCTGTATCCACGGCGGTCTCTCGCCCGAGCTTACTACCCTTGATGATATCCGCAGTGTGCGTGTCACTATCTATCTTTCCTTTGTGCTGGGAGTCTTACCAGTGTGTTTTTCGTACAGATCGACCGCTTCCGGGAACCGCCAACCCACGGTCTGATGTGCGACATCCTATGGTCAGACCCGATAGAGGACTTTGGGCAGGAAAAGACGAACGAGAGTTTTGTGCATAACCACGTCCGAGGGTGCTCCTACTTCTTCTCGTGAGTTTTGTCTGCTGTCCTTTTAACCTGTGCTTAATTTTGCTGATTCTGATATGTGCAAGGTACCAAGCAGCATGTTCGTTCCTGGAGCGGAATAATCTTTTGTCCATCATCCGCGCACATGAGGCGCAGGACGCAGGGTGTGTGCCCCCACGTTCATTCACTTGAAGCGGCACTCATGGTTGGATGGTAATATGTTTTAGATACCGGATGTACCGGAAAACGAAGACAACGGGTTTCCCGTCGGTGATGACGATCTTCTCTGCGCCCAACTACCTTGACGTGTACAACAACAAGGCTGCGGTGCTCAAGTACGAGAGCAACGTGATGAATATCCGGCAGTTTAACAGCACGCCACATCCCTACTGGCTGCCGAACTTTATGGACGTGTTCACGTGGAGTCTGCCGTTCGTGGGCGAGAAGAGTGAGTGTTTGCTGGTCGTGGCGTGTCAGGGAACTGACTTTCGTTGTTCACCTACGCTCGGCAGTCACGGACATGCTCGTCGCGGTGCTGAACACGTGCAGCAAGGAAGAGCTGGAGGAGGTCGAGGAGGCGGACGAGGAGAGTCTGACGTCGCCCGCGGTGGCGCCGGAGGAGGAGACGGGCGAGCGCCGGAAGATCATCAAGAACAAGATCCTCGCTGTCGGCCGGATGGCGCGCGTGTTTGCGCTGCTCCGCGAGGAGTCGGAGAAGGTGTCGGAGCTGAAGAATATCTCGGGGACGACGAAGTTGCCGTATGGCACGTTGGCGCTCGGGACAGAGGGGATAAAGGATGCGATTTCGGGGTTCGAGGATGCGTGCGTCTTTTTCTCCTTTTGTCGAGCTGCGCGTCAAGCTGATGTGTTGTTCGTGGTGAATGTACAGACGCAAGTCGGATATCGAGAACGAGAGGCTGCCGCCGGAGCTGTACGACGCCGAGGAGGCGAAAGCGTTCCTCGCGGAGCACCTCGCGCAGTCCCAGTCCCAGTCTTCGCAGCCCTCGTCCCCGCTCGACGGCTCGCCCGCGATGCCGTCGCCGCTCGACCTCTCGCCCGGCGGCTTCCCCTCACCCGGCGAATCCGGCACGTCCTCGCCCACCGGCCTCTCCGGCTCCTCCGCCGGCGGACCGAACACACCGCCTGTGACCCCCGGCCTGGGCGGAGCGAAACTGGGGCACTCGCCGGGGTCGGCGAGCTTCAGCGGGGTGTCGCCGCCGCGGACGCCGTTCCGCGGGAAGCACGGGCGGCAGGCGAGTCTGGGGACGACGATGACGAGTCCGAGCACGCGGAGGAGGAGCTTGGAGAGTACGATTTCGATGATTCAGGAGGCGCTGGATGGAAGGGATGTGGAGGGGATGGCGGCGGCGGCGCAGCAGGCGCAGGAGCAGGCGGAGGCGGAGGGGAAGGGGACGTAGGTGGGCGGAGGTGTAGGTGGGCGTGTTGGTGGGACTGGATAGGGGGCGGAGGGTGGGGGATGGGGATAATACTTGGGATATGGACGTGGATGTGGATTCGGATTCGGATTAGCTGTTTTCTTTCTTTCTCTTTCTTTCTCGTCTTTCTGTGAATCGATACGTTTGAGGATACCATGTTGTCGTCGGTGATAGGCAAGACATGTGAATCTCGAGCGAGGTTGGATTGAGGAAATTGCAAACCCTCTCGCTCATGGGCGCCTCGTCTCCGCGGAAGGATGTCAAGTTTAAAAACTGCCATGATGCCGTCGTACGGCGGACCAGTCAACTTACGCTGTGGGCGTTCCCCCACCCAAAGTTGACCCAAATTGCACGAAACCTGATAACACATGTGTGGCCCCCGGCGTTAAATCCGAGTGTGATTTTAGGCCCGGGTTTTGACTAGCGCTAGGGAGGCTAAAGTGACTTGAGCCTCTAGAGCTTTAAGGTTTGGTATAGGGGTTCGAGGTGGACTCTGGGCCAGGCCCGAACTGTGGGCAAGTTTGCTGAACGTCCGCCGCACTGAGGTACTATACTGATGTACTGTTCGGTCGACCAGGTATATTTTTAGACTGCGACGTTGGTCTGAGCACACACTGGCAGATGCTATGTGTTTGAAAGTGCTGACATGGATATTTCGCGAGCGCCTCTGAGGGCTCCCTCTTTCTTGTGACCTCCTTCCTCTCATACTCCGGAAGTTGTGCAACTCTGGGATTTGGCAGGGCCAGAAGCGTAGCGAGAACGCGGTAGCACCATGGGAGAGTACGACTCAACTTTGGGTACGTCGCTTAACATTACCCCTGTCTCGTGCTGCTCACCAGAACGGTCTTCTTCTCCACACTTAGGACTGCTTTTTCTTGGCGTTATGTGTGCGTCCTCCGTCTTCGACGTTTGCTAGACGGTTCTGAACCCGTTATGCGCCTGAAAACAGTCAACACATCCCTCTACGGGATAGTCATATACCAGTTCGTGCTCTATTGCCGGGCGAGTGAGTACCGTATTTTTTCTACCGTAGTCATAGGATACAAAGTTTTGTGGCTTTGTAGATGTCGATGATTGGATTGTGTTCAGGCACTTCTGTATACGACACATTGTGAAACATACGGCGTTCAGCTGATTACGGGATTGACCGCCCTAGAGTCCTCCTCGTATCTGTATTCCTGACCGACACGGCATACAGTACCGCTTGAGTTTCCTATTGCCCTAAAGATGCATAATGCCGAGTGATTGTTTCTCGGTGGATAGGGTGATATACGCGCTGTACTTTTTAGTGTTGGTGCCTTCATGCAGTTTTATAAACGCCTGCTGACGCCGTATTTCCAGTGTTGAGAATCTCAACAATCCCGATATTCTCGACAGTCAGTATTGTCTATTCCTCGTTACATAATTATGCTAAAACTGGTTTACTTGCCAGTGCGCTTAGGGCCGGTATGGCAGTGCAACTCAGCATCATTGCAAGTGGCCTGGTCTGCATTTGTAACACAGATGTACCTCATTTGGCGGTAAAGTTTTCCGTTCTCCTCTTAAGATCATACGTTCATAGATTAATCTCTCTAATCTGTAGTTTGTGGTGCTTAGTCGGAAGTAAGGTGCTTGTGACGATTGGGGTTTTGATGGCAGTTTGCAGCTTCTCGCTAGCTATCGTAGGAGCAGTTCATCTGTTTGCGGCGCAAATGTGGGAGCAAGCCCTCTATAGTTGGCTTTCACGCTCTAACGACGAGAGCAGGACCATCCGACACGACGTAAAATCCATTGGTGTCATTCGGATCCAAATGGCAGCTTGGCTCGCAACACTGGTCGCGACAGATTGCTTCATCACTGGCAAGTCCACAACTACGTTCAATATTCCATCAACGCTGACCGATATCTGTAGGCTCCCTGTGCACTGCTCTTTTGCGGGCGCGCACCGGAGTCGGACGGACCGATTATTACATCAGGCAGCTTATCCGAGGCGCTATCCAGACTGGCGTCCTCGCCGGTATATTTTCTCTGGGCTGCCTCTTAGCGTTTGCGTTTTGGACTGATACGGATGGATCGTTGATGTTTGCCATTCCGAGTGGACGAGTATACACCGCGGTAAATCTCCATCGGTTGCCTATGTACATGCTGTCGCTTATGGTGGACACCCATAGACACTGCTATACTCGCTCTTGTTAAGGGCTAAGTCGAGAGAGCAGGGTCGACATAATCACCGTGAAAACAGCGTGAGCGCCATTAGTTTCTGACCAAAACTTCAGCTGGATTAACCATTTGACCCGTCAGAGAAACATCGTATCCCAGGCTCCAGCGTAGCTCACCTCCGCAATAATTGTCCAAGAACTCAGTACATTTCACGACGAGGCTACCGTTGCTAACAACAAGGGAGTGTCTTCCTAGCAGAGATTTGAAGGCTGTGCTCAAAGTCTCGATTACTGCTATCTGGCGGAATGCAACTGCGTGTCTGTGTTTTGATAGGTACCCTAAGGGGTCATGCTAAGCAGAGTCGTGTACCGCGCCGCTAGTAGTTATGCTTAAAATGTTATGAAGTTATTTCACATACATCATAACTTATCGCTGACTTCAGACGCTGTTGTACTATTCGCTGCTGTTTCAAGCGGAAAAGCGGAATCCAAGGATCGTTCTGCTCGGCACTGTTTAGGACCCTGAATCTCAAGACCCCACTACTTGGGCGATGAGAACGGTCGCATTGCTCGAAACTATGGAAACCTCTATGTTTAGCACTGGCACTGCTATGGAGAAATCTGAAAGTCACTGAGAGATTGTTGCAATACATGAAAGGATAGAATCGCCAAAGCGAGTGATGTAGGCGCTCGTTATTTGCATTCCATTCTGAACTTAATCGATGTTTCCGTAAGACTAACACGTTCATCGGAGGATATTTGTGGGGAGGATGGCAGTGAGAATACCTGTACAGATCCGGCAGGCACTTAGATTAATTACGGGCAGGTGGCCTGCAGACATTTCTAGATATATGATGATGCCATGTCGGAGAAAAGTGATCGCCGTTAGGGGATGGGCGCTTCAGTCAACCAACCAAAATGTGCAAGTCCACAAATCGTACACGCCGCATGACTAGCATATGACTCAAATAAACTTACAGGTTTACGAGAGTACCGGCTCAGTCGGGCACGGTCACTGTACGAATACATACAAGATTACTCGCACCCATCACTCCTCTAACCTCAAACATTCAAGCTGTCCACAAGTGCTTCGATCCCAATGTTGGTCCATCATTCACAACGACAATTCCCCTACGCAACTTTACATTCAACAATAGAGTCGGTCCACTCGAGGGATGAAAGCGGGTACCTACTCGCAGACCTCGAGCGACCATCGCCTAGCACATCTGAGCAATGGCACCACAATTCAAACCACAGCCTCGGATCGTTGTCGTCAGATAACAGGGAAAACATAAAGCGACAATCTCATTCCAACATCCGCCTACTCGCACTAGCAACAGGGCAACTAGTGATATTTGGCCTAGGCTGGGGATTTGTCGGGTCACTGATTCAACGATCGAGTATCCCACTCCCAGACAATCTTGCACATCTAGTATATTCAGAGCCAAGTGCCACAACATTCGTCGTTAGCATCTTGGCTTCTATCATCTCCACTATATCCGTTCGGTGAGTTCTTTAGTTAGTTACACTGGCAGCAACTTTCAGTTGACCACGCTTCATCAAGGATCTACTCCCTCTCTGTCTGCCTGGCCCTCACAAGCAAGCTCCATAGGCAAGCTACTCCTCTGCTTTTCTTTGGGTTTTCTGTCAGAGCGTCTACGGGTAAGATGTTCTTCAGCATGAAACATCCGACATGGACGTGGACATCAATAGTTCTGATGGTATTGTTGGCATCATTGGGTTCTGGGTACGTCGTCAGGTTGGCCTTTGCACATCCGTACGCGTTATGATACCCGCTGCTGCAGATGGACTTCACTCTTAAATCCAACGGTCATATTGCTAAGCGAGCATATCCGTGGCAATGAGCTAGACATTAAAAGCCCCACATTTTCTTATCTCTTGAAGAACAACAGTGTCTTACAAGGTGAGACTAATAACTCCCTGACGGCATGTGGGTAAAAGTCGCTACAGAAAAGCAATCACTCGAAAAAAAATTAACTTTAAAATGTAGTGGATGACCATTCTTATAACATTCTGGGCCTCTCAGGTCCTCTTGCTGGGCATTCGGCTGGAGGATCTAGACTCAATGTACCAAGCTTCTTCAGCCTGAACGGAGCGACTTACAATATTTCCACCGGTGAGTCTGGAGAGCGTATCCCATGTACAATCCCTCATTCTATCCAGGTGGCATACTTCCGTCTATCCAGTCATCTGTTGACTCAGTAGGGAATCCACCGACATCAGGTCTGCAGTTTGATGTAGGAAGTACTCGAGTTAACACGACGTCTTTCAACACCACGGGATTGTCGCAGAACTTCACGATGACTCAGCAAGGTCTAACTGCCCACGTAAACTGCTCTGAAGCAAGCCCTGACAGTTTCTCGGTGGACGAAGTCCTGACAGTTCCCCCTTCTTATCGCATTTATTCAGCGACTGCATATTGCAACCGTAGCTTGGGTGAGTAATGAAGCCTTTGAAGTTGTCTTGTGACTCATATACCTAACAACTCAAAGCAATGCGCAATTTGACGACAGATTATGTCGCAAATGGACCTTACTATAGTGGCGGAGGGTGCGACGGTGTCGATTGCATTTTCATCGTGCCATGCCCCCTACAGGATTTGACAGCGCCAAGTAATAACAGTTTCAGTAAGCCTCTCACTGGTCTGGGGATATTACTAATGGCTTACGCTGAGCACAGCAATCTCAATATTCAGTAACGCCGCGGGGAGCGAGTGCAGATATTCGTTCATCCCGAACACGACATGCACCGTAACACCAACGATAACAACTGTCGTCGCTCAATACAACGACAGGATCATCACTCCCACGACGTCAAACTCCTCCAAATCTTACGCCGTTGGCCAGTACAACCCAAGCGCGCTGGCCTTCCTAGCCAGCGTTGTTCAGTGGTTTGGTGGGAATGCGCAGAATCTGGTCTCCATTTCGGTCGGAGACTCTGTCTATGTTCTCAGATCGATGCAAAACCAGACTAACCTTCAATCATCCAACGGTACGAACCAGACGTTATCTTACATGATATTGGTGCGCTGTTTCATGACTCTGGCGTCGAAATATCCAGAGAACATGAACCTTGCTGAACAGGAAGATTACTGGAGAGGGGTGGTCGAATTCGGCGGCACGGTGAGCGGCACGCTTATCTTCTCTGTTACAACTTGCAAATCTAGGATATCCACTGACGTTGGATTACTACCCAGTATCTTCGCTCCGGATTCTCCACAGTGGGCTCGGAGTTGTCAGAGGACATGCTCACACCCATTTCCGGGGACGTGACCACACTGACGATGGGCTGGTCATACCGTCCGAAATCAACTCTTGCGGCTCTCGTTCCCCAGACCCTGATCACGCTTTTTACATTAATTGCGCTGGCAGCAGTAAGGCGTGATGCTGGTGCGCTGCATGACAGCGTCGACGTGACGGACGTGAGCGACGTCGTGTTATCCACAACCGCGGGCAGATCTGGGCTCCAGGGTGTTACTGCAGGTAAAGAGAAACAGAAAAGGTTGGAGGAGGAAACTGTTCGGCTTAAGGAGGTAGACGATGGTCGGAAGATGTTGACTCTTGGCAACTAATAATCTACCTTGCCGTCGTTGTAGCTTACATTCCCAGAAACACATTGGAACTGGTCGCTTCGTAGGTTTTGTTGCAATTTTGTTGCAGAAGGATGGAGGTTCACTAGTAGAGATATCGTTGATTAGGTCGTAGAACATCATAGACCCAGGTTTCACCAATCGAATCCACGCTAGCGAAGGTGCTCCAACAACTTGCACGCGGCGCCTAAGGAGTCTAGTGACAATGTAGAAACGCTCCCAGCCCAGTTTTGTCGACTCTTAATGTGATAAATTGAGTTCACGTTGGTATGTCTTCTCAATGGCACCATCTAAAACACAGACGTCAGATGCATAAGCAGCAGTTCATGACTATCCGTACGAATCCGTCCAATATTCGACATTTAGTATCTATTCAAAACGAGCGATCCAGGAGTACGGAAAACGACGTAGGTCGAAGTGACTGTTTATCCCTTTAGAGACCGAATACGTCACCTTCGAGTTACCGAACTCAACACGTTCAATCATGAAGCACCATTGTAGGAGAAGAGGGGTATTCTTGCCGGCGGGTGTATGGACTAGTAAATCGTGAAGCTGAACTACAATGAGGCTGCATGATCTTACTGATCGATCGAGATTTTTGCTCGGGTCAGCAATGACTTGATGGAGGCCGTGGATATGCAGCTATTTCACAGTACAGTACGGTAAGCTTTAGGACACTCTGGGTACCGCATCACATCGAGGGGAATAGGCATCCCAGCGAAGACGACCGTGGTCTTAGTACTACTAGCGCCTAGGACGAGCCGCCTCAGGTTAGAAGAATCTGTCCGCCCATCTTCAGTGCAAGTTTAAAGTAGTAGCGCAGTGTATATAACCTGGGTCAGTTGTTTATTTTGGGCCCGAGCCCGCGGAGATGAAATGCTTACCATGGTCAGCGATGAAGCAACCCGGCACAGCCAGTACCATAAGCCAGTCCGCCATTTTGCCCTAATAAATGCACACGATGATGTAATCTATTCACAATCGGTACATCGAGCGATCCACTCGAAAATTGAGTATGAATTGTTGATCTCAGTGACATGGACTGCACCGTCACATTTTTAATGGAATGTGGCGTATGCAGGGGATGTCTCGTTGACAATGGCAGAGCAGAAAAATCCGATGGCTTCCCCACTGTGAGCCGACAGAACGGACAAGATATGTATAGAATCTTCCTTCCACTATTGTCCAATGTCGCTCAAAGTACAAGTACACAAGAACCCACCAAAAGAGGCTGCGCGGATTTATCGGTGCATCTTGGAACTGAATTGCAATCGTGTTTCGAAACATGCTACTGCGCGGTTTTCATTGATCGATCGAGAACATTGGCTCGTCCGGGTTAATTATAGCTTGGAGAAGGAGTCTCCGAGCAGTCTCCTTGACTCGCGAACAAGATACTGTAACTTAATCTGTTCTTTAGTATGGTAGCTGTAGATTGCTCTGAGTATCACACTGATAGATGTAATTTGCCCGGAGACGTTAGTGGAGTAATCACCGCTGGAGACATTCCCGTATTTAAGATATCGAACGACCCAAGAGCACATGTTTAACTAAGCGCAGAAATGTGTTGTGCTCGGTTTGTATTTGAGCCATGGAGATATTGGTGGCCATGGAAGGTCGGAGTCTGGGTCGGACTTTACTGCGTGCGAACCTGGCACCGCGGCGCCGGTATTCCGTTTCCATCCTCTTGCATCACTCCATCTTCGCTCGCACCGCAACGCAGATCCAGGACCAGATTTATCGCACCCACCTTATTCTCCTCGGTGCTTCAGAAGTTCCATTAATCTAACCTTTCCCAGTGCTGCTCCTTGGTATATCCTCATCAATGCATCACGGCTTCATCACATTCTATTGTCTTGTTCGGACGAGAGTGTACAAAACATACAGCCTCATACAGCAACTTCATTATATTGGAGACCGGCAATCCACGCTGTCTACGGGGCCGAAAATACATGCCTCGGCGTCTTGCTTGACATCTGGCGGTGACTGTGATACTGATATGCTTTGATTACTTCAGTACTAGTGGTATCCGTTGCGCCAGAAGCTACGCCGTGGCCATCCTGATGGCGCACTGGTAATTGCAATTCGCCTTCCGATATAACTAGAGCCAGGCGATGTGAGTTCGGTGTCTTCAGTTCTCCTCCACCTTTATTTTCCCTCTCCTCCAAGTCAGGCCCCACTAACTTGAGTAACTATCTATCCCAGTATTACTACTTGCGCGTTCAAGATGTGCACTCGTCACCAGAACGGTAACGGCAGAATCCCTGCTGACTTCTCCAACTACCATTCCGTACGTTTTCTCTGTTACATAGCGCCCTCATCTAACATCTTATTCTTCCACAGAATGGGCATTCTATTTCTCAGCTGAATGCATCTGCAAGAACCCCTTACGCTACTCAGGCGAGTCAAATCAGTAACCCCTCTGGCGTCCAAAGCCTCGTCAGGCGCGTATGGGACAAAGCCAATGACGGCACCATCGTAGGCATCAATCTCTCAATTTTCATTTATCAACATCTCATTATCGGTTGTTGCTGCAGTCAGCCCTGTTCGATGCTCTGCGTCACGGAGACGGTATCGACGACAGAAAAATGCTCGTGAGTTTATCCGTATTTGTGACCAGTTGTAGCACAAATACTTATATTCTCCCCATAGCTTGAGCATGTCCTCGAATTCATGTCCAAAACTCCTCCCGGAAAACTGCAAGACACAATGCAGCGATTCGTCACCAAAGGCCTCTACCGCGACCTATCGCACCCACCCGCGACGTGGATAGGTCCCCAGTACGCCTGGCGTGCCGCAGATGGCGGGTACAACAACCCCGATTTCCCGGACCTTGGCCGCGCGGGGACGTCCTACGCGCGCTCGGTGCAGCAGACAAACCCCCTTCCGCGGAACCAGCTGCCTGACGCGGGCTTGCTGTTCGATACACTGCTCAAGCGGGACAAGGTGCGCAGTTTCTTGTTCGGGCGCTTGATTCTGACGTTGACGTATGGGCGCTTGACGTTTTTGGACATGATTGATTGCGTCGGCGTATTGTTTGGTGGGCGTCGGTGCTTGGATAGTTCCGCCCGCACCCTGCCGGCCTGTCGTCGTTGATGTTCTCATGGGCCGCGCTCGTGGTGCATAGTATTTTCCGCACGGACCACCAGGACGTTAGCAAGAATATGACGTCGGGATATGTCGACCTTGCGCTCCTATACGGAAATGACCAGGAGATGCAGGATAAGGTGTGTTACGTTCAAGTTATGTTTTCCTTTTTCGCCTGTGGATTCAAACCAAGTTCCCGTGAAATGAATGACACTCGGAGCCTGTGTTTGAGGTTTGAGGGCGTCATGAAAGCGCCACCGTGATCCACAGCCCGATCTCGTCGCGGCGAACCTTGTGTTGAATTCTATGTTTGTGTTAGGTACGGTGCAAAGAAGGTCGCGGGATGCTCTACCCCGATGTATTTGCGGAGGACAGGCTTCTACTACTTCCGCCTGCGACATGTGCACTGCTCGTTCTGTTCGGCCGGAACCATAATGTGAGTATTCCATGATAACTCCTATCGGCCCATCAAAGGAAGAAACTTACGAAATGGCTTTGTGTAGTACATCGCAAAACGTATTCTCGAAGTCAACGAGCGCGGCACATGGGTCGACCCCTCGACGCTCGAGCCCAACTCGGAGCGCCTCCTGAGGCAGGACGACGAGATCTTCCAGATCGCGCGTCTATGCAACTGCGCATGGTTTGCGAACGTTATCTTCGCTGATTACGTCAGGTATGTCATATTCTATCTTAGCGTTTGTCCAAGCTGATCGGACGGCTTTCAGCGCTATCCTGGGCATGAACCGCCAAGGGAGCAACTGGTCTTTGTCACCGTTTGGCGAGTTCCGCGAGCTCGATCACCAACTCTTTGAGCGTGGGAGGGGAAATGCAGTCTCTGTCGAGGTTGGCTCTGCTGTGTTATGGCATATCAAGAAGGAAATTGACATGACCTCTATAGTTCAATTGCCTGTACCGATGGCACGCAACCACGTCCGAAGAAGACGAGAAATGGGTCGAGGAGAAGATTGGCGAGCTGTTCCCTGGTTCCAACCCCAATTCTGTACGTGCTTTTCCGTCCATTCCTTGAGGGCGCATGTACTGAGTCAATCGATTGCAGGTCACACAAAAAGACTTCAAGGATCTTTCCGGAAAGCTCGGGGCAATGGTGCCAGACTTGAAGGAGTGGACGTTCGGAGGGTAAGCCTCAACGTATTTCCGGCAACCAAAAATACCTCATCGTTCTTGTTCTCAGCATCAAGCGTCAGGCAAATGGCTACTTCCGCGATGAGGATCTTGCTCGCATCATCAAGGACGCGTGAGTGGATTGACTTGATCTATCAAGAGGCATGGCTGATACGTCCCAATTTCAGGATCTCCCATCATGCTGGCGCTTTCGGCGCCCGTAGCACTCCCGCATCTTTGCGATTGATAGAGATCATGGGCATTGAGGCGAACCGCCAGTGGGGTGTCTGCTCCTTGAACGATTTCAGAAAGTACCTGGGTCTCAAAAGTGAGTCGATGTGCCCCTTCATGCAGTTGATGAACCAAAGCTAATGCGCGTGCCCCTGCTAGCCTACACGAGCTTCGAGGAATGGAACCCCGACCCCTCGATCGCGTCCGCCGCACGCAAGCTCTACGGCCACATCGATCATCTCGAGCTCTACGTCGGCCTGCAAGCCGAAGAAACGAAGCCCGTGATCGAGGCCGCTGGCCTCTGCCCGGGCTACACCATCTCGCGCGCGATCCTCTCGGACGCGATCGCGCTCACGCGGGGCGACCGCTTCTTCACGCAGGACTACACGCCGTGGAACATGACCTCGTGGGGCTTCGCGGACTGCCAGCGCCAGGAGGAGGGACCCGGTTTCGGGTCAATGCTCGGGCGGCTGATCCTGAGGCACCTGCCAGACCAGTTTGCGAAGGATAGTATCTATGCGTGGTTCCCGCTCATGCAGCCAGATTCGATGGAGGGCTATCTCGCGAAGATGAAGATGGAGGGAGTATATTCGGTCGAGAGGCCCGTTGAGAGGCCGGCGCCAATTGCAGTTGAATATAGGGATGAGGTCGAGAGGGTGCTCATGGATGAGGATCATTTCGCGTCGAATGCTGTGGAGAAGGCTGCGAGCGTCATCAAAGGCGAGGGGTGAGTGCCCCTGATAGTACCCTGCTCGTCATCAGAGCTGATAATCCTTCTCAGCTTCTTCACAGCCTCTGCATATGGTGTCAAGAAGGCCCAAAGCAGCTTCCTTTCCGCACTTGTATCTACGCCAAAGGACTCTGCCACGATCGGCCAGTACTTCTTCGACAAGACGCAGGAGCTCATCAAGTTAAACTCGTGGGAGCTCGTGGGCGAACAGACACGCGGTGTGGACATCGTCAAACACGTTCTAAAGGCTGTTCCTATCCACTGGGCCGCCAACGAGATCGTAAGCGGCTGTCACCATCACCACACTGCAGTACTGACGCTGTGACTCAGGCTGGAATCCCCCTAAAGGCGGACGACAAAGATGAGGGCGCTTACACAGCGGAAGAGCTGTACGATATCCTCGGCGAGATCTATGAGTTCATCTTCCTCGAGGTCGAGCCTAGCCAGTACATGACCGTGCAAAAACGCGTCAAGGAGAACATCAACGCTCTCCAGGCCCACATCACGAGGGGTTTGATGAACACCGGTAGCCGTGTATGTTTTCCCCCGTCTGGGTGTCGGTGACTGTGATGCTGATGCGGTACATCTAATATAGCTTTCTCTTTCTTACGTCTGTGCCCTGTTTGGGTCGACGAAGAAGACGTTCAGCTCTGACTTCTTTGCACGCTTGTTTGACGTCGAGTACTCCCCTGAGGAGGCTTGCAATGCTGTCCTCGCATTGATGGTTGGCGCTACCGTTGAGCTGTCCTTGGGTAGGGTTGTTTTTGTTATATCGAAAGGACGTAAACTAACAGTGCCTTCAGCGTTGACGAACGTCCTCAACACTTTCCTAGGCGAAGAAGCAGCCACCATATCAACCTTGTCCCAGAACGAAAAAGAGCTGACCGGCCGTATATTTGAGGCCCTCCGTAAGCGTCCCTTCCCAGCACACACACGGAATCTAGTATGCGACATCTGACATTCCCCACAGGCCTCGACCCGCCCTTCCGCGGCGTCCTCCGCACCGCCACCTCCGACACCACCATCGGATCCCTCCACATCGCCCAAGGCGAACGCCTCTTCCTCGACACCCAAGCCGCCGGGCTCAGCGGGCCGGCGTACATCGCGAGCGACGGCCTCTTCCGCACCGTCGGCACCGATCTCGCGTGCACGATCATCGCCGAGGTTATCCGCGCCGTGTACGCGTTCGATGAGACCAACAGCAACGATAACAGCAGCAGCGTCGCGCGCGGGCCGGGGCAGAGCGGGCGGCTCGCGCGGTTCAAGACGGACGCGGACCCTTGTCTCAACTGGGCGTACTTGGACGCGAAGCAGTCTGTGAGCCCGTGGCCGAGGTCGCTGGTCATCCAATACGAATGAACGAGTTTCGAGTGGTCGGTTTTGCACTGTAACCTTTTTATTCTCATTATATTTTATGTATGAACATTCTCAAGAACTTGGATAATGAATTCGACATCATCAATTAATGCGCACATAAAGGACCTTTTTTCTTGTTTCGCCACCTGCCTTCTTGTAATGATATGATGATACGCACCGCGAATGCATTCATATGGACCGAACTCAGGCCCTGCTCAACATAAGGACGAGATTCCGATGGGTAACGTCGCGTCCATTCAAATTTACGACCAAAATCTTCACGCTGATCACGTAGTGATGAGTAGCTAGGGTAAGACCAAATGGGTGGATATCGCAGTAAATGAAAGAACAAACAGACCAAAGGGTCGGCAAACACCACGTCGTCGACTACCGTAGCATGCATCGTAAGTAGAAGTAAAACTAAAACTAAAAAAGTGATATCAGAAGAATCAAAGTATCCATACCATTACGCTGAGTACCGAAACCTAGCCCCCGCCCCGCCCAGACATCACTCACGGATGACTGCTCAACGACCACTGATCCAGCGCCACCGACCCCGGGCTCTTCAGCGACCCCTGGCTCAGCCCCGGCCACTGCGGCGTCATCAGCACCTGCAGCGTGTACTGCCCCGCCGGCAAGCTCACAGCGAGCACCGTCACCGTGTCGTTCGGCAGATCCTCGCCGCCCGCGGGCAGCGTCGGATCCGTCGGAAGGCGCGTCGCTGCCACAGTGCTGAACGCGGCGCCCGAGGGGGGGTTCACGAGCTCGACGACCATCGTCGCGTCCCCGATGGTTAGGGTGGCGGTCTGGTTGTTGTTCGAGAGCGAGACGGTCGCGTTCGTGTGCGCGCGCCATTGTACGGGCGCTTGGGAGTTGATCTCGTCCTGCACGAGCACCTGCTTGCGCGCGTTGATCATCCGGATCCCGCGTTTCATCGACGTGCTGCATGTCACTCCGTCAGCACACAAGTGCGGGATACAGTAAAACCTTGAATGAACACGCACACGTTGAAGTAGGCGCTGGTCAGATCAGACACAAAGTACGCCGTCGAGTCGCTCGACACATCCGCAACGGTCGTCGCACCCTGCACCGTGTTCGAGCTGTCAAACTTGACCGTCGGCGCCGCCTTCACGTTCTGATTCGCCCCGCCGACGAGCACCACGTTCTGGCCCTCCGTCCGCTTGCGGTAATACAACCAGCGCTGCGAATCCTGGTCGTCGTTGCTAAAATACCCAGGCACAAGATAATTCTCGTCCCCGAGCTCGCCGAACCACCGCGCGCCCAGCGCGTCCACGACAAAGTCGCCGCAGTCCAGATCGTTGTGGCTCTGGTGCCCCTGCAGCGTGCCCGCCTTCGCGCCGACAAACAGCGCGTTCTCGTCCGCCCAGCTCGAGCGCATCGACGCCCACTGGTCCGTGCTGTTATCAAAGTAGTGGTCCAGCGCGAGCCCGTCCCAGAACGCGCCCGACACGGTCGGGTTGTACCAGAACATGTTCCACGGGTCCGCAGCGTCGAGCGCGTCGCGCTGGAACAGCTGGTACGCGGGCTTGTCGAACGCCTGCCCGTAGAACATCACCGCGTTCGCCGTCGCCGTGTACTTGTTCACCCCATTGTCGCCCCAGTTGAACAGCGAGCCCGGGCCGGTCACGTACATGTGGTACAGCGCGCCGAGGTGCAGATTCGCGTTCGTGCTCAGCAGCCCCAGATCCGAGCCCGTCGCAGACTGCACCGAGGCCGCGAGCTCCGCGAGCCCCGTCGTGCCAAAGTACCAGTAGTCGGGCGTCTCGGACCACGTCCCGTCGCTCGACGTCGCGAGAATGCAGTTGCCCAGCGCGCTCGGAATCGTCTGCTGCAGCAGCGCCTGCGCGACGCCCGTCGGGTCGTCGTTCAGGATCGCCAGCGCGCCCATCGTGAGCCCGCCGTTGCACACGCAGTTCCAGTTGCCCTGCGTGCCCTTGGTCCACCAGCCGTAGTAGCTCGTGTCGTGGTCCGAGTACGCGATCGCGCCGTTGTTCAGGCCGTAGGTGATCATCGACCACATGATCGCCTGCTTCTGGGTGTCCGACCAGACATCGTACAGCCAGTCGTAGCCGATCGCGTACGCGGCCGTCATCTCGGCGGTGTCGAGGAAGTGGACCGGGTTCCATTTCGTGGAGTTGTTCGGACCCCAGCCACCAGTCAGGTTTCCGGCGGCGTTCTGTAAGTAAAGTCAGAATTTGTCGGTGAGACGTCGGGCAAGAATGCAAACGCACCTGAAGCTCAACCCAGGTGCGATCGAGCCACTTGGTGTCGTTGGAGACGCGGTAGCAGTACGAAAAGGCCTTGATGCGCTGCTTGACCTGGCGGGCGGGATCGAGAATACCGTTGCCGCCATCTAGGATATACGGGACCGGATCGGCGTTGTACCAGATGGTGGCGTTCATGAAGATGGTCTGGTTCCAGTAAGACATGTACGGGTCGTTGGCGATGAGGGTGGGGAGGGCGGCCCATTTGTAGGACGGGGCGATGAGGCGGGGTCTGTCCGGACGGAGGTTGGTGATGCTTGGGCTCGAAGGCTTGAAGGAGTCTTGGGGCCAGGCGAGGGTCGAGTCTTGGGTGGAGATGAAGGTGGGTGACGAGAAGGCAGCCGAGTTGGTCTGGTGGATTTTAGCGATGGGGGGCGCAAAAAAAGTGGTGGTGGTGGGAAACTTACAGTGGAAGGGTAGATGGGCAGGCCGTAGAGACTATCGGTGCCAGTCGCGAAAATGCCAATTTCCTTCTTTACGCTGGAGGCGGAGGCGGCGGCGGCGGCGGAGCTGGCAGAAGTACTATTTTTGCTGGCGCGGCTACCGAAGACACCACCGAGGACAGCTGCGACGATGATGATGAGGGCGACTGGTACACCAAACTTGATCCATCCGCTGGTCTTCTTCTTTGGGGGAGTCTGGGGGGTGATGTAGCCTGTGGACTGGCTGTAGTATGGATCGCCAGACCCATAGGGTGAGCTGGCGTTGTTTACGTTAGAGTAGTTAGCAGCCATGGCTGCGAGAGAAGTAAAAAGGGCTGCTTTTGAAGGAGAAAAAGAGAGACACGGGTGGGCTTGCGAAGAAAAGAGAGCCTGAGGGTATGAAGGTGGTGGTGGATGGCAACCTCGTTGTTGAGCGGACGACGGTGACCGTCAACACCGAATGCCAAGCAAAATGTCAAGTGGCGGGGTCAGATCTGGGCCTCCAAGTGGACAGATGTCGCCTCGCTGTGACTAAGCGAAGTCATGTCTCTGAGCCTGCCTCTGCTGTCATAGCCGCGTGTTTACTCAATAACAAAAAGTAAGGGCTGCCTGCTGGACGATACACTGACCACCTGGTGTAACATTGAGCTTGAGAGAGTCGGGGATGGTCAGGTAGTCTAAAGGCACCGGGCGGAGAAGACATGATAAGTGGCTGTGCTATGATGGCCGGTGATTCTCGCACAAGAAGCAGACAATCGAAGACCTTCATCCAAATCTCGTCCACCCACATCCATATCCATCGTGTTCAAGTCCGCCGACATATGCATACCACTTACAGCTACAGTTCCATTTGACTAGTGTGACCTTCAGAGCTGCTCAGTTCATCTTTAGCCACTATCCCAAGCCCGACTAAAGCGTCGCCTTCACAGCTGAACTTGTATCACCAGGCCTCTACGGCATTACCGAGGTGAACATAAATGCACAGGCTGGATGTGGAGTCGCTTGTTTATCTGCTTGACCTTCCATCACCACAGAATCGACTAGCACCATTTTAGCTCTTCTTCTCCCTCTCGCCCACTCAGTCCCCATCCTATGTCTCGTGTGCTCTCCCTAGCCTGCATGTGCTTTCCCCAACTTCTGTGCTAATCTAAGCCCTCGCGACGATGTCCTCGTTCACGTGGAAGTATACATCGGCTCCAGGGTACTTCATTTCAAACTCGATCACCTCCAGTCGCGTCGGCCTCCTATAAATCCGCATCGATTCAATCCACCACACTCAGTCTCTCCCCCCTCGAGCCCCCGCGCTCGCCGCCCCCTCTGCCGCGTCGCGTCGCTCCCCCCTCTCCTCAGCCATCAATGGTATCCAAATCGTGGGGTCGCAGCCTCCTTTTAGCGCTCCCGCTCGCGTCGGCTGTGGCCAACGCCGCGCTCGACCAGGTCCTCGCAAAGGGGCGCCCCGTCATTCCCAGGCTCGCCCCTCCGCAGCGCCAGATCGTCGACCAGCAGGGCGCGCCTGTCAACCTGAGCACCGTGTACACGTTTGACCAGCTCATCGACCACGCGAACCCTGCGCTTGGGACGTTCAAGCAGAGATACTGGACGTCGAACGAGTATTACAAGACTGGTGCGTTGGTCTTAGGAGTTTGCGTTTATTAATAGCTAACGACGCGTTTTATTTGTATGCTAGGTGGACCGGTCGTTCTGATGACTCCCGGCGAGACAAACGCGGACGGTAAGTCCGCTCCCCGTTCATTATGAATGAACGGAACGAAACGTGACCCCATCTCACATCATCCCACCCCACTCCATCACTGGCACGATCACCGGCACCCGATAGGCTACGAATCGATGCTCACGAACGTGAGTGTCAACGGGCTCATCGCGCAGCAGAACAACGGCGCGGTCGTCGTCATCGAGCACCGCTTCTTCGGCCAGTCGAACCCATACGGCAACCTCACCGCGCAGAGCCTGCGTTACCTCACCATCGCCCAGGCCATCGACGACCTCGCGCACTTTGCGCAGACCGTCGATCTGCCGTGGGCGGGCGGCGACGCGGTGAAGCCCGACAAGACGCCGTGGGTGCTCACGGGCGGGAGCTACGCGGGCGCGCTGACGAGTTGGACGATGGTCAAGTGAGTGCAATGGGGTTTTTTTTTGCTTGGTTGTCATCATATCGAGTACTAATGATATCTTGATAAAGGAAGCCAGATGTGTTCTACGCCGGATGGTCCTCGTCCGGTGTCGTCGAGGCGATAACGTACGCCATGCTGCTCTAGCCCGGCCTCCAGCCAGCGCGCGTCTAACCGCTCCAACTTACCAGCGACTATTACGCATACTTCACCCCGATCCTCGAGCACATGCCCAAGAACTGCTCTGCGGACGTGCAAGCCGTCGTCGGCTATCTCGACCAGCTGAACAGCACAAGCAACGCGACCGGCATCCAGACGATGCAAGACACGTTCGGCCTCGGCAACCTCACGCACGCCGACGACTTTGCCCTTGCCCGTGCGTCCTCCGTTCTCGCTTTCTTATCCATCCGTCCTGCTTTCGTCAGCGCTGATAGGATCGGCGGCGCTGCAGTGACGTACAACCTGGCCGACTGGCAGGAGCTGCAGCCGGACTCGGGCGCGAACCAGACGTTCTACCGGTTCTGCGACGCGCTCGAGGTCAACGCGGGCGGCGAGAGCGCGGGCGAGCAAGGGTGGGGGGTGGAGCACGCTGTGCAGGCGTGGGGCAGCTTCTGGAAGGCGGAGTACTACAACAAGAGTGAGCGCCTCCCTCCCCCGTCTCCCGATATCTGAATCTGAATCTGAGCGTGTCGGTGTCGGTGTCGGTGTCGCCGGCAGCGTGCGGGACCGCGGACGTGGAGACGTGTTTGGGCACGTACAATGCGAGCGCGGCGCAGTATACGAATACGACGGTGGATAACGCAACGCGCTCGTGGATGTGGATGGTGTACGTCGTCTTTCCATTCCCCCCTCCCATATCCCGTCCGCAGACAGCCAGAGCACACTCTCACCCGTCCCCGTATCCGCAGCTGCAACCAGGTCGGCTACTACCAGGTCGGCCCGCCCGCAGACCAGCCCGCCATCGTGAGCCGCCTCGTCACAGTCGCCGACCAAGAGGTACGCACCGCCACCCCGCTCACCCTCCATACCACACACCTAACCCCGCGCCCACCACACCCACACCCCAGCGCACCTGCGTCTCCTACTTCCCGCAAGCCTTCCCCGGCGGCCCGCCCGCGCCCACCGTCGCACAGACAAACGCAGAATACATGGGCTGGAACGTCTCCGTCCCGCGCCTCTTCTTCGCCAACGGGCTGCGCGACCCCTGGCGCGGCGCGACCGTGTCCGCGGATGCACGCGGGCGGGGCGCGAACGCGAACGCGGACACGAACACGAGCAGCCGCTGGCAGCCGGTGTACGAAGGCGACGGGTTCCACTGCTCGGACTTGTCTGTCAGGAACGGCGCGGTGGACGCGACGGTTGCGGGCGTGCAGCGCGCGGGGCTGGGGTATGTGCGGGCGTGGCTCGGCGGGTTTAGGGCTTCTGGTGGCGCGGCGGGGGACCTGTAGATGGGGCGGAGGTCGGTGTGGTGTGGGATGTTAGGTTGTTAGGTGGGGTTGGGTTGTGTGTTAGCGACGTCCGGGCGGCTGTTTTTGCTCTAGGTAGTGCGTGGACCATGACGACGAGTTCGATGCGGTGGCGAGATTATGGTGGACTGATAATGGTGTAGATGTTAGATACGATATTACGAGTTGCAGTATGTTATTTGAAGCTGACAAGTAGCGCACAGGCATCCAGACGTGTTCGTGGAACGCCCCGAGCCGTCATCACATCGTTCATGCATTCATGTAAGTCATGTAATTCGAAAGCGCTAGGCCTTCTCGAGACACGGACGTTCTCGGCGCAGCGGTTCGCACAACGGTAAAGTCCGACTCAGACTCCACTTTCCCTATGGCCATTGATATCTCCACTGAATACAATCCCGACACACGACTAAGTAGTAGCCTTCCACGAACTGAGCCGTACCTCCCACATAGCCCCAGTAACGCGATTGAACTCTGAGCCGCTTACGCGCCCTTTTATAGACAGGCTGCAGATGATCTGAGATTTCTGGTATCAGCGACGACATGATATCGCCAGGTATCTCAAGGAGCCAAACCCAAATCACCTTCGCCGCCTGTTTCGGAAGAACCATTGCACTAGCAATAAAGTACTAAGTCAAGTCCAGGGGGCATCCGAGCGTGTGTTGGACCGCCCCGAGCCGTCATCATCATCATTCAAGTCGTGGAATAGACTGCGCTACAAGTAAGTGTTGTAAGTAAAGTTTAAGATGCTTAATGTAAGTAAGATAAGTACTAGAGTCGCTCTATTCCGAGGACGGGTCGTGAGGCGCGTACTGTACACTGCATGCATAAAAAAGGCGCTAGAGGAGGTGATGCAAGCCTCTGCGGCTCTATACTCTAAAGAGCACCGAAAAAGGGGCGTTAAGCGCCCGATGACGGCGGATGACGCTACTTCTAAGAAAGCGCGGAAGCGCACGGCGAACGGCGGGGTTCGAAAGAAACCCAAGGTTTTCTTATATAAAAGAAAACAAGATTGGTTAAACAAGGAAAACTCGGAGGAGCTCAGGGATCCGAGCCCGCCGCCCATGACTCTGATGACTGCGAGTTCGAATTCGAGTTCGAGGTGGCTTTGATGATGCCCGCGCTGCAGTCGAACGACTCGAGCTCGATCGCGGATATGGCGGATGTGAGCTGGACGCCGCGCGAGGCTGCGAAGCTTTGCTGTTGCGTCGGAAGAAAGAGGGAGGGGGAGGGATGGTGGGTCAGCGTGAGGGTGCACCGTGGTGAGAGCAGGTGCTCACTCTTGCACGTGCGCATCTGCTCGAGTCTGAGCTTTTTCGGACCATAAGCGAGTAGAGCAATGTCTGCCGACAACACGCCACGTCAGTCAGCCAGCCAGTCAATCAGGTCAGTCATCGATCTACCGTCAGAAAGCAGAGTAAAGAAAGGGAAGGAGAAGGGTACTCACGAGGGTGTACACGCGCCCGGTCATAATCGAGAACATCACATCGAGATTCGCCCGGTCGTAGAACGCGAACGTGAGCAGGTTCGCGAGCACGCAGACGCCCGCGAAGACGCCCGTCTGGATCGCGCCGCGGATGAGCCGGTGGATGAGCCGGTCGGTCTGCCGCACGCCCGTGCGCACGCGGAGGAGGGCGGCGCTGAGCGTGACTGGGGACGGGGTTCAACACGACCGCGCAAAAACGGGGAGTCGTCGAGGTCAGCGGGTGGGTTCGTGCGCTCGCGGGGCGGGGGGTGAGGTGGAGTGGGCGCGACGTACTGGTGATGAAGGCGTCTGCGACGAAGGTGGTGATGAGCCAGAGGGTCATCTCTAGCTGGATGGCGCGGACGGCGGCCGTGTTATGCTCGATGCTCCTGCGATGCATACATGTGAATACCGCGAGCTGCGGGGGGAGGCGGGACTAGGAGGAGAAGCTGCTGGTACGTACATTCTGGTGGCGAGGATGTGGGACCCGGCCCATACTCCAAACGCAAGGCTGCATATCGAAAGTAACGAGGCGATAGCGACGAGCACTTTGTTAGCTACTAGTCGCCAAGTGCTGTATTTTGGATCAAGTTTAGCAAGGCATTCACATTGAGAAGAGTGCAGGAATGGAGGGAGGGGAAAATGCTCACCGCCATATAAGGTACATCTGCGTCACAATTGCAGGCCATGCACTGAACAACGATGTCGCTTCTAACTGCCACACTGAGACTGTGGTGGGACTTTGTTGAGCGTTGACGCTCGATGACCACATGTGAGGCGAGCTTACGCTGGAGCACATCGGGGTCGTCATGGCTGGTAATTCTACAAACGTGAAGAATGAACTAAGACGCGTCACGTCCAGAAGAAAAGAGACACTTACGTGTAAACCCAAAGCCCCCATATTGCTCTAGAGCGTACGTTAACAAACCGCAATCATGGTCCGTCGCGACGTTGAACACTCACATGATGGTGTATGCCGTGTCCGTGAGGAAGACCGAGGCGAGCAAGATCCTATATGTAGTCCAAGCGCACGCGTTCGTCAGTCCGTCTCGTCGGTAATGCAGCCGCATATGTTTGCTCACTTGAACAACCTTCGATCGTACACCTCTGCTTCAAGTCAAACTCTGTGGGACAGCCACGCATGGGGACGGCTCACTAGCTCGGAAGTAACGGACGATTTGGATGCATTCAATGCCGTAAAGGTACGAATTGACTGTTGTTGCGAAGTGAGATCAAACTCATCCTCGAGAAAACAGGAAAGGGACGGGCTTACAGACGGCGCCGAGGAGGATGAGCCCTGCATCGGGGAGCGCGGTGGTTTTGAGTAACGTAAAGGGTAAGAAGAAGAAGAATGTAAGGCGCACCAAGCGTCGTGTCGTACTGTCCCATTACGGGCACGCGTCGTCGAGGGTGGCCTCCCAAGGGCAGAAGCTGCTTGTTTTGGGTGGGAACCGAAGGGGAGGAAGGAGGTGAAGCATGTCAGGCCACGCCACCTATATAAAATGCCCCCGCCGTAATAAAGCCTAACAAAGCGCAATATGAATCCGCCTCGAGCTGCAGAGACGTAAAAACGAAATATCGAAATATCATAAATTTCAGATCCTGATGGCGATCGCACCCCCCTGTGACACCACTTGACTTGTCTCACCTTGTCTCACTCGGCCCGCTGACCTGTTACGAGGGAATGAAAGACTTGTGATTTTGACATGTCGACTTTGCAAGGGGAAATGCGCCTGGGGCTACAATTTTCGAAGCTGATAAACGCTGGCAGCCAGCGCTCCACCTTGCACGAGTTGTCGGCGAAAGGATGCGTAGAGAATTTGTCGGATATCTCCGCACCGTGAAGCCCGAAACCTCTTTGCCAGACACTGACGCTCGTTGCGCAATGGACAGACGAAATATCATAGCTTGAACATAAACAAATATCCTTTGTCAGTGGACATGCCCCCAGACGTCCAAAAGCGCCTCCCAGCCTGCGACACATGCAAGCTCAGACGCGTCAAGTGTGATCCCGTACCACCACCAGAGGCATGTCCCCGTTGCATCTCCAAAGGCATCGTGTAAGCTGCACCCAGGTCCTGTGCTTTCAATCTCATCCTTTTCTCAACTAGGTGCACAACGACCAATGTCAAGCGGAAGAGACCTCAGGATAGATCCGGTAAACGCATCCAAACGGCAAAGTGAGATCTCGTCCAGTTTGGTGACCGCATACACTGACCGAGTCACTGCAACAGGGCCGCCTTTGGCACCATCCGACCTCTCTATGAAGCGAATCCGGCGCCCCTCGTTCGCGCTGAGACGTACCTGACGCAGCTAGAGCTCGCCAGCGAGCTTACTGGACACCTGCTCGAAAGTGCGTCTTGCAACGGATAGACCACCGCATGCACCCTGACCTCACACCAGTCCACGCCAACCTCCCCAGCGACAACATCGTCCCCGGAGCGACCCTCATTCGGCAGTTCGACGCCGGCGGCCGCCGCATCTCCACGCTGCCCAAGACGTCCCAGGCCCTCGCGCTCTGCATCCTCACCCTGACCGCGCGCATCTCGTCCCACCCGCTCCTCTTCGGCCCCACGTCGCCCCCTCCGCGGCTCGCCACGATCCTCTTCGACTCGGCCGTGGACATCCGCTCCGTGCCGGAGTGGGGCCGGCGCCGCGAGAACGCGTGTGAGCGGCTGAGGGAGATGGCGGTGGAGAGCGCGTGGCACGCGAAGCTGCTCGGGGCAGACGGAGGGGCGGGCAGCGGGATCGCGGGCGTAAGCGACGAAGGGATGGCTGCGTGCTTGTTGCTGGAGGCTATTGAGGATCGTATGTCGCCCGTCTCCCCTTCGATATCTGTTTCTCTTTACATGATTTGCATACGCTAGGTTATGAACAGGGCAGAGGCCAGGTCTGGGGTGCCGCGTTCGTCGCGCTGCTTAGAAGGAAGCTGGACGCGAAGCGCAGGGCTGAGTGGGCCAGGTTGTCTCGTGCAACGATAAACGAAATCGACGACGAATCAGCCGTACCGTCATCCTCACCCTCGGCGGCACTGCCAGAAAAAGCACAACATGCTCCGCGTATTCCCGGTCTAGCCTGGTCTCTGCAACTTGTAAGGCGGCTCTAAATTGGTCTACTGTTCTACAGTGACAGTACTTGTATTCGCAGATGCGAGAGGCACTCTCGTCTGCTGCACGAGGCCAGCTGTGTTCCTAGTGCGTCTCTTTCACGATCTGGGCCGTAGATTACTGACGAAATGGTTTTGTAGCACCCTTCACGATGAAGAGATGGTCGCCGGATTGCGGCCCGTGAGCCCCGAGAAAGTCCTCGAACACCCAGACTCCTTTGGCGTCGCCGAGTCGCATCCGCCTCGGGATTTCTACGAGGGTGAGGAGTCGAGGGCGGAATGGTGGGATTTTGACAGCTACTATGCTCTCGGTCGACCGTGTACGCACATGTTGCGTCGTTTCACATTCGGACGCTGAGAAGGTGATGCACGCACAGACACGTATCGGATGATGGAGATCGCGCTAGGAAGCTACGAGTGGACGCTGCGTAAGTGCCGCTCTTTTTCAAAAAGCTCAAACGTCGATCACACATTCATCCGTCACCTTCCTTCATTCCTCCTCGTTCCTCACTTCCCACTCTAGGCCGCACTCACCGCGTCCCGTTCAGCGTCCCCCACCTCAAAGCCCACCTCGCCTCCATCGCGCCCCTCCAGGAGCTTACACACGTCGCCGCGCGCCGCCTCAAACTGCTCCTCTCCCCCGCAGCCGTCGACGTCCGCCACCGCACAGGGCGCGGCGCGGCGTTCCGCGCTGCGACGGGCGAAGAGCCCGGCGAGCTCATGCGCACCTTCCACCGCGGACACCCAGGCGTTCACCCGGACCCAGGCTCGGATTCGCAGCAGAAGCGCACGGGCGCAGCCGACGGGGATGACGGGGACGACGGCGGAATGGCGATGCAAGGCGCCGACGGCGCACCCGGCGTGCACTCCCCGCGCGACGAGCTGCGCGCGCAGGAGATGGCGCGCACGCTGCAGCTGCTCATGCGCGGGTGTCTCGCCGCGAGCCTCTTCCCCGTGTACAACGACGTGCGCGAGCGGCTGCGCGCGCTCGGGGCGGGCGGCGGGTGTCCCGGCGACGAGCGGGTGGTGCTGGAGGGGGTGATGCGCGCGCTGACGGGTGCGCTGGTGCCGGATGCGCGGGCGATGCTGCGCGGGGTGAGGGCGGTGGTGAGGCTTGCGTGGGTGACGAATGTGGGGAGGTCGATGAGGGAGTCGTTGGGGTCGTCTTCGACGGCGACATCAACGGCGGCGGGGGTGTCGTCTGCTGCGCGTTCCCCGGCTGCTCGGGCTGGGATGAGCACACCAGAAACGGACTCGGCGACCCCTCCGCCGCCGCACGCTGGAGACTCGGAGCCACCACCTGGGCTGGCGAGCGTCCCCCTGCACTGCGGCCTGCTCTACCCGTCCTCGTTCGCGTGGGAGGGCAAGATCGTCTCGCTGCTCCGGCTGTGCATCTCGCCGCACCTCTTCGCGCGCGCGAGCTGGAACGAGCCGTTCTCGATCTGGGCGCGGGTGCTGCTGGACGCGCCGCCAACGGAAGATGGTGGGAGCGGGGGGTTTACGAGGGACGAGAAGATTGCTGAGCTCGAGTGGTATGTCGCGTGTATCGTGCCGTGCCCTTGTAGCATGGTGCAGGCGTCAGCTGATACTGATGCATTTTGCGCTCTTGCGTGGCTAGCTTGCTCGACACCGCCAGAGTGATGGCGTGGTCCTACCCCACCCTCGACGAGGACCTCATCCGCGCCACAGAAGATACGGTTGAGACCCTGAAAGCCGAACAGCACGCGGCGGCCCACCCCGCTGCCTCTACAATCCGCCTCGAGTCGTCCCCGTCACCACCGCGCGGTCGACGTGCGTCTCCAGATAGAGACCACACGCTTCTGCGGGGCGTGCCGACGTCGGGCGCCTCCGTGCCCACCGTGAAGGAGGCGCTCGAGGGTGTCCCGCACGAGCGCATCTCGGACGTGTTTTTCGGTGGGACTGGGCCCGATAGCTTCGGCATGCAAGGGGCTGTCAGCGCGCGCGGAGACGACCTCGTTGGGAGTCTCGCTGCTGAGCTGGCTAAGCTCGACGTGGTCGGCGGTGGTGCGCGAGCAGGGGCGGGCGACGAGGTTCGAGGCAATCCGTTGGGTTTCGACGCACCCGCGGCGACCGACGCTCCTCTTTCTTTCCCCGGCCCCGGCCCCATGCAAAGCCCACAATCGGGCCTGTCCATGGGTATTGAAGCTCTCAGCCCGTTTGCGCGGCCGGATGTGGGCTCCTTCACTGGTCATGCCGCGCGCGCGGATATGGACGGGTGGACATCCGAGCTGACTCGGGAGAGTGACTGGATGTGGGAAGCTGCAGGTCTTGACCCGAACGCTCAAGCCCAAGCGCAAATGCCGGACGCCTTCCAGGCTCAAGTCGGTAGCCATGGGCCACCCCACCTTGGCGTTCAGGGCGGCCGCGCTAGCGGAGACACGATGGACACTTCACAGTACTTCGCCATGCCTGATCTTCCCACATCTACACTTCATGGTGACGCTGGCGATGGTCAATCCACCGGCCCTTGAGGTTTCGATCACCTGCCACCAGCTACGGCTCCTCAGGCGCATACGTTTCCGAGTGCGGCTGAGCTCGAGGACGAGTTCCAGAAGCTGCTCGAGGGGAACGGCCAGGCGTTGACGCAGTTCGGTTCGGAGGGAGACGTTGACTTTCAGAGCCTTGATTGGTTCACGAGTGTCCCACCTACTAACAGGTAGCGGCATGGTTTTCACGCGTGTGCCGTTAGGATGTTCATTTGTATGATGCGCCTTCGCTTGTATGATATACGTAACCCATAATGCGAATTTACGAAACTGGGGTCAAATTCAGATCTCATCCAACGTCAACCTCGCACCGAGCGCCTCGAGAATTCGAAAGCCAAGTTGAGCCCGTCCTCAAAGAGACTTTATATAAGTGCAGTGCAATATATCTACCGGAGTACCGTATTAGTCCATGGGGTATCACAAACAACACGCCTTTGGGGCCCGCCCTGCAGCGCCGCGCCCCCCGCACCAAGTTCTTGTACTACTAGCAAGTACTATGACACCCTCTGAATCGACGCGCTCCGCGGCGTGTTCCGCCCGCTGCCCGGCAGCGCCGGCGAATTGCTATGGCTCCTCGAGAGCGACGCGCTCGCAGAGTGGCCCCGCGAGAGCGGTGGCGGGCGTCTGTCTGCGCCGGCAGCCCTCAGCCGCGTCCGCTCGTCCACCTCGCCCTCATCTTCACTATCGTCCTCATCCTCATCCTCGTCGGTCTCCTCCTCGGACTCGCGCAGCTCGGAGAGCGGCATCATGTCCCGCGGCGCGCCGTCCTCGAACGCATTGAACAGCGTCGAGCTCTGGCTGTGGTACGCCTCGCTGCGGCGCCCGTGTCTCGCCGAGTGCAGCGCGCCGTCGGGGCCGACGCCCGCGCCGCCGGCGTCCGAGCCGGTCCACCCGTCGAGCGACATGCGGCCCTGGAGGCTCAGGCGGGGGTTCATCAGCCCAGTCTCGAGCGCCGAGTGCGAGTGGTGGTGGCCGTTGGCGGTGGGCGGGGGCGCGGGGTCGGGCTTGCGCGAGATGTTGAGGAGGTGCACGCCGAGGAAGGTGACGATGAAGCCGACGAGGAGGGTCAGGGACGCGGCGGCGCCGGTGGTGTTGAAGCCCTGGAAGAGGATGAGGGAGGCGACGATTGTCGCGGAGGAGAAGCCGACGTAGTACATCGGGTTGACGCTTGAAAGGGGCTCGGTCAGATAACGTTCTGCACAATCGTACAAAGGGAGTGGGACATACACGTTGGTGGAGAACGTATCGAGCGCCTTGTTGAAGTAGTTCATCTGGACGACGATGCATCCCGCGACTGCAAGCCCGAACACGTACGTGCTCGGGTGCGTAAACTGGTTGTGTCCGCCAAACGTTAGCTTGACAGCGACGCCGAACCCTTTGATGGCCATGATAGACACTGAGCCGGCGAGCGAGCAGATGGAAATGTATACGATGGGATTCGAGCGTCCGTACTTGGGGGCCACCGCGTATATCATGACCACGCAGAAGACGATGACCGTGAAGCAGTAGAGCATGAAGCCTGTCCCCGGTGTTTAGTCGTCGCGTGTTTCACCCTGGGTATTTATAGGTGGCGCTCGTACCTGGTTGCAGCGCATAGTGCAGTACTTCATCGACAGTGTCGATGTCTTTGTCTGCCGGTGCGTTGAGGACAATGACTAGTGACCCCAGAAGGCATAGGGCGCAACCCACTCGGCCCAGGTGACCGAGTTCTTCATCCAATAAGAAGGAGGCAAGGATGGCACTGGTGTATCGTGAAGAAGTGGTAGAGGGAAACTGAGCAAAAAGACGTACCCAACCAAGACACTCAGAGCTCCCAGCGGGGTGACCAATATTGGAGGCGCGAAAGTGTAGGCAGCGAAGTTAGCGACTGTTGCAAGACGAGGGGGTCCACAAGTCTGGTCATTTGATCAATATGCGGGCACTCACGTTCGCCAATAACCACTGTGGGAGAATCTCGTCAGTCTCCAGCACATATGCCAGCCAGAGGAACACGCACTTGTTATCATGCCCGCCCACCATATTGGATTCCTGAGGTACGTGTAGCTGTCGGATGCGTTCTCGCCGAATGCACCGGCGCGCGCGTTGGCGTCTGCGAGACCCTATGGCGGTGAATGAGGTGCAGGTCGAGAGACATGATGCCTGTAGCTACCCACCTTTTTCGTGATGATAAAGCTCGTTCCGATGGCAAATGTGCCAGAGACAGCCAGGGCCAGCCCGATGTACTTGTCGTCGACCATCGTCAGTGAGATGGTCCTGCCGTTTTGGAAGAGAGGGCCGAGTTCCCGAGTGGACCACTTTGTGTGGTAGAAAGGGCGTTGCGGGGTATGTGCTCAGCAGGTGAGCAGCGAGGAGAGACTGGCCCACTTGTGCTTTGGGGAGGCGGATGTGGGACGAGATTTACTGCGGTGACAATGGACACGCGCGCGCGAAAGCCACTTGCCGCATCCGGAAAGTTTATCGGTTCTCGGAGGTTGGTTCGCTTCCTCCCTCTTGTTCCTTTCCTGTACCTGCCGTAAAACTCGAGGTCATATCGACAAGCTTGTCACGCATATTTGCGCGCAAATGTTGCTACTATAGACCCGATCAACCACCGCTGTCCCAAGATAACAACTCGCAGCGGTTTTCGACGCGGTGAGAACAAGACTCCTCCGGGCAAATGGAGCCTCAGGGTCATCAATCCCGTCATTTAAGCTGCCTCGAACGAACACCAGCCTTGCCTCGAAGTCCGAAAAGGCTCAGCTCAAGAGAATCCGAGGGCATGCTGCCGACCCAGAGTATGACTGACTTTGGTATGCACTTCTGCCCTCATTTCGAAGCCGTGTCCCTCGAACTATCCCCCCAGACATGTCCCTCCTTCAAGTTTGAAGCAATGACAATTCATGACCAGGCCATCCTCTGCGAGACGCTCGTCTTGGTCTCTGACCCCGACCTCGTTTTTTTTTCTAGGCTATGCAATGTGAGATTGGAAACAAACAGGACTGCCCTAGCTTTCATGACGTGATAGCGATTCTTACGTGCGATAACCACTCTACCACAAACGGTCCAATTGTACGCAATTGTATGCGCTCTAGAAAAACGACTTTCTCGCGAAAACGCGTAGACGATAGACGTGTGTGCAAAACATAACATGCAATTGGTCAATCAAACGTTCGCGAGGACCCTCACGGTATCGAAACTCGTGTCGGTATGCCGTGTAGTTTTCTGATAAGAAGTATATTGGATTCACGTCACCGCATTTGCTTCCTCAGCCTGTAACAGCATCCCTCTGAAGCCCGGCATGACAGGCCATCGGTTACCATGGCTGGTAGCATGTCAGAGTCAATAAGGCAAACGCTGACGTCGGTCTTTGCGACGTGCGTCAAATCCTAGATACGCAACTACTGCGTTGGGGCCGATTCGTCATACAAAGCCAAAAATTGATGCTAACGTCCGGGGAGGCCAGTCCCGGCGCAGGCGTGATCTCAAATTCAAGCACGCCATTCTGGTAAGCGAGTTTCCCTCCCTCCTCTCACTCTCTCACTGTCTCACTACTCCTCTTCACCTTCCGTCCTCGTCCATACAACGTCCCAAATCTGGTGAGCGATGATCCCCGGCACCAGCTTGTTCTTGTCATCCGCTTTCTTCCGTACTTGTTCACTCCACCCATAATTCAGTGTCCGATACAGAAGACGCTGATCGACAAGGGTCTTCTCGTCTCCGAGGATGACTGGCTGAACACGTACCGCGCTGAGGTCTTAGAGAAGGTCTCGCCGCTGATACATGACTGCCCTGTGGCGCTTGGGTAGCGCCATAACCTCTTCATCAAGTTCACGAGTCCGCAGGTCCCCCGTAGCCTGCAGTGTGATCGCGGAGCGGACCTAATGATGAGGTGGGAGTGGTATCGGTATACTGCACTTGCGCATTTCCTTGGCTCTACAAGTCACAGCCGTCCCTTCTTGTTCCCGCGCTGCTGTTGATTACTCAACGTCCCGCTGAATCATGGCTCACATGAGGTGGCCGGGAACGTATATCCCGGTGATGAAAAAGAACAACTTTGGATAGCTCGTATCCGAGATGGGACGAACAGTGGGCGATTGATGCCACACCGCACCGCGGCGACGGAATCCCTCCGGATAGACGCTCGCTCCGCAGGATTTTGTCCTTTTCTGGTGAGTGGTTGTACGGAAATGGGCCAACGGCGACCTGGATATCCTTTGTATATGAACAGGGCCAATGGCGCGCTCTCTCCTTCCATTGCCCCATTCCCAGCATGCCGCCGCCTCCACGCTGCCCTCAGTTTCTAGCGGAAGGAACTTGCAGCAACAGGCCGTGCGCATTGCAGCACGTCTGGCGCCTCTGTCCCTGCGGGACGACCCTTCGAACAGTACATCTAGCAGGACATCTCGCCGGCACTAGGCACGAAAGGGATCTTGCAGCCGTCCATCGAGCTCAGGCGTTGAGCCGTCCAGCACAAGACACACCGATAATACAAACGGAGAGTGTTCAGTGCGATGCGTGTCGCCTCGAGTTCACGTCGATGGAGCTTTACCACGACCACAGTCGTTCCGACGAACATGTACGGGCCCTGCAGAATATGATCGCGCAAGAACAGAACATCCTGCCATCCCTGCCTCCGCGTTCACCCCCACTTGCGGCACCACCTACTGCTGTCCCCTTCAGCTACGATGGCTCCAGGCCTACCACGTCCTGCGACCTGTTTCAGATTGCGGGTCAACCACTGGATGATGGGGAGGGGCTCGTGATCGACTTTGGTGTGGTGGAAATGGATAGCTCGATTCGGGCGGAAGATTCCACAGTGCGGAACCTTCTGTTGAAGACCTCGGATGGACGTTTCAATTTGATTGACTTACCATTCGTTTCTGCGAGCGAGGAAACTGCTACATCGAACACACGTGCCAGGTACATCGAACAATTTTCCTTAAAAGTTGTTGACTCTTATCCCGTATAGTTTCACAGCCACTGTGGGTCAGCAGTCACGGGTCGTCCGGCCGAATGTCGATGTTCCCGTGGTGCTCCGCATTGTCGCCTTCGGGGAGGGCTTGCACAAGGACAAGTTCGAGATCGAGGTCCATGACTTCTCGAGCCAGACGTCCCACCTCATCACCCTCACAGTACGAGCGGTGGTCGGCTCAAGAGCCGATTATGACATCTTGAATTCTCGTAGACGCCACGGCCCTCCTCCCGCGGCGCTGAATATTGCCTTCGCAGGACCCAGTATCCGTAACGTTCGACCGGACTCATGGACGGCGCCAGAATGGAAAGTGAAGCTGCCTCATTATCCGGTGCCAGGGAGCATGAGGGCCATGTTCGAGTCTGGGGAGCTTACGGCGGGGGTCTTTGGAGAAGAGTTTATGCCGAAGCCGTTCGACATCACCACGTATGCGAAGCATTTTGGCTCCTTGACATATTTGTCCGAGCTTTTCGACAGGTATGCTCACCCTTGGTTCTGAAATATTTGGTTCACTCACACCTTCGCAGACGGGAACTGGCCCGACACGGTTTGGCGGGTATGTCTGTTCAGAGCAGACACCCATATTACTAGTGAGATGGCCGTCTTTTCCTCGTTACCTCGGTATTAACTTTCATCAGCGTTCCGATCCCAGGCATCGCTGATCGAAGGCCTAAACTCCACGTCGGTGACTACATCAGAGTAAAGAAGGCTAAATCCTCCGCCGAGAGCCCCGACTTTGAAGGTCGCATCGTACGAATCGAGCGAGCTGGCGCTGTCGTTTCGTTCAGCGACCGTTTCAGGGCTCCCCAGGGAGAAAAGTTCGACGTCCAGTTCAAGTTTAACACGATGCCCTATCGACGCCAGCACAGAGCGCTGGAGTTTGTCTCGGAGTTTCCCCGCTTTCTCTTTCCGGAACCAGATCCAGGCATCGTACCTGAAGACATACAAGTAGAACTACCCCGCACGTCAGAAATCGCTGGAAACTTTGAGCAGTCGCAGGCCATTCGGGCGATCGTGCGAGCGCCACCAGGATCTTCGCCTTTCATCATCTTCGGACCGTAAGTCTCAGAGTCTATTCATTCTTGCCGTCAAGCTAACGTTGTACAAGGCCAGGAACTGGGAAGACTTCGACAGTAGTCCAGACGATCCACCAGCTTCTTGCCAAAAGTCCCGATGTTCGCGTCCTGGCGTGCAGCCCGCAGAACTCCTCTGCGGATCACATCGCCATCAAGCTCGCCATGGGGCCCGCTCAGCTTGACACCAAGGTGCTCTTCAGGCTGAACGCACTCTGGCGAGGAAGGGGACAGGAAAACGATGCACTTGAAGCAGACAAGTACCCTAGAATACTCGACCCCTATTCCGAGATCAACGAGCACAATGTGTTCGCGTTTCCCGAGAAGGAGAAGCTGGCCTCCTTCCGAGTCGTAGTTTCCACTTGCTCTTCCGCAGGTGTCGCCGAAGGCCTTGGTATTCCCCGAGGGCATTTCACCCACATTATCATCGACGAGGCAGTGCAATCCGTCGAGCCCGAGACGCTGGCGGCAATTCTGCCTTTGGCTGACGAGCACACCAACATTGTTCTTGCGGGAGACCCGAAACAACTCCCGCCGTCTTGTCACTCGAACGTTGCCAAGGAGTTCGGGCTTCATATCAGTTATTTGCAACGTCTCATAGGGTTACCTTTGTATAGCAATGTGCGCGACATGAACGGATCGTACGTACAATCACGCTTCTGGCTTATACGCTCTTTCAATCCGAACCTGACATAAACTCTATTTAGTGTTATAATGCTCCGAGAAAACTTCAGAAGCCACCCGGCGATCATGCACGTCTCCAACCAGATTTTCTACGAAGGAGAGCTACGACCCATGGGGAACCCCGATATTCACATGTTCGAAGACGCGCCTTTTGTGGAAGGCAGGTTCCCTGTTGTCTTCCACAGCGTCATCGGGGAGGAGAAGCGTGACAAGGGATCTCCGTCGTACTACAACAATAGCGAGGCGGTCATCGTGAAAAGGTACTGCCAGATGCTCATTGAAGGGTATACTGTGGGCGAAGAAACTTTCAAAATCGGTCTGTCCATTCCCTGCTCGAAGTGGCTAAGTCGTTTTAACATGCGGGTAGCCCCGGAGGACATAGGGATCATCTCGCCATACCACGCTCAGCGATATGCTATCAATGACTTGTGCGGGTGGGAAGGTCTCAAGATTGGCACGGTTGAGTCATTCCAGGGTCAGGTAAGCTAGGATGCTTTGTTTGGTGGCCATCGCATAAACATTTTCTTCAGGAGCGCCGGGTCATTATTGTGTCCACGGTGCGCACTCGCAGGCTTGGCTTCATGTCTGAACCTCAACGCATGAACGGTTGGTAATCTCGTAACTCTCAGAGGACTTGGCGCTGATTCTACATGCACTCAGTTGCGCTCACGCGTGCGCGTGCACTCCTCATTGTGGTTGGAAATCCTCTGCTCCTTTGCAGGGATCCGCACTGGCGGTCATTCCTCCTTTACACGAGCCAGCACTCTGGCTGGCGTGGCAATCCACGTCCAGAAACGATCCCTGGGCTGTCAGAAGAGGTCATTCAAGCCCGAAACAATGCCATGCTTTCCAACCAGCGATCAGATAAAGCCAGGGCGGAGGCGGAGGCGTTACTGGCAAGATTTCGCGCAGTCACCGATGTTGTGCCACCACCTGTTATGTCTGACTAGATCTGACTTTTGATATTTGGTCGGAGTTTTGATTTCCGTCAGCGGACTACATAATGACATTCCCTGTCTCCGTTGTTTCTCTGTCTGCGCTAAGTATGGTACCAGTGCATCATGAGATTACAAACAACTCGTATTCTGAAATCGCAAAAGCTGCTGTGTCTTTTCTTCTTTCAAGCTGTGATACGCTCTGCGAGTTATACGGCTACGCCAACTTGACAAACTGAGGGTCCATCGCTGGTGAGTACAGCATCTGACTTTGGTTCAACTTATCACAAGGCTTCGACACGCTCGCAGGTTTGATCAAGGCTATCTCCAGTTCGTTTACGTCAGCGTGGTATGTCCCCTGCTCATCATTGTGATCGTCCAGGTACAACGAGTGTCAGTCCATCAGAATATGATGATCAACATACAAACTTCTCACAGTCGAGAATGGTTTCCTGAACGCGAATCCCGAGGTTGGAGCCGTAGAATCAAGGGCGGTCCTTCGAGGCTACGCCCGCCTCATCGCCTCGTCGATGACTCACCCAAAAGCTCAACTCGAGAAACCATCGAAGAAACTCTCTTGCCATGTGAGAACGCGCATGGTCATAGGTGCGCTTCTGCTCTCATCTATATGCTGTGTCCTTCCACACAAACATACCCCCGATCTCATCTCCCTTGATGTTATCTATACACAAAGGTATTTCGCTTTACCTCATCATTCAATTCAATTGTGATAGTACTGTGATGATACGTCCATCTCGCAGCTCTTTTAGTATTGACAGGCGAGTGCATCGTTGTCATCCAGATCATGGCTCACCGTAAACTGATACCCATCGCAAATACTATTCTGGGCTAGGTACGCTCCCCTATGACATGCTGCAACCGCTGGAGAAACGTCAAAGTCACGAAAACCGTGGATTACAGACATGAAACAGGGGCGTCCTCTAAACGTTCCTCACAGCATCGGAATTCGTATCGGTGTGCCATGCCGTGTTCTGATGAGAAATGTACTTGGCTGACGTTACCGCCTTCGCTTCTGCAGCCCGTAACAACATCCCTCTGAAGGGGCTTGTCACGGCTGGATCCGTCGGTTAACGCGGTACCATGTCAGAATCAAGGGGCCGCAACGACCTTGCGATGTTCAACGGCTGGTGTAGCATCCAGATCGAGAGCATCATCACCGTCCAGGACCAGGAAGTCCAGACCCTGCACAGGTCTGGGAACGGCTATCTCAAGTTCGAGCATGTCACCTTGGTAAACCTTAACCCCATTCGCTCCTTCAGTCGCTCAAATGTGGCGAAGCGACGATCATCGGCACTTCGTTCCTGTCACCCGTATCGGCCATGCTTGTTCCGCACACAAGCATAATGAGTTGTTCGATGGAGAAGCCGCTCCGGGTCGAACTGGCCCTTTCGCCTCCCGAGAAAGGACTGACTGAGCGCGTACCACACTGTAGTCCTCGAGAAGATCTCACCGTTGGTACAGAACGACCATGTGGCGCTTGATTGGCTCAAGTGGGAGTGCTCGCCGCCTATGATGACTGCTCGTGCAAGACAGCAGCCTGCATACTAAAATGCGACAGCGAAGCGGATCTAGTCATGAGGGATATGTGCCATTGGTATCTTGTGACCTCGCTTGTTCTTGTGCTTGGCTGTGTGACTTACAGTCATTCATATCTTCTCGTTATCGCACGGTTCTCAATTCGAACGTTCCCGTTCACTTGTGGCGTACATGAGGTAAACAGGAAAGGTTTAGCCCACAGTACTGACCAAATGGATGGTTTGAATGCCCCTTGCCCAAGGCAGGATGCGTGGTGGGCGATCGATGCCACGCTTCGCCGCGACCAGCGGCGTCGCCCTAATGGGCGTCTAATGTCACAGGAAGTCGTCAATTCCCGCTACGCGCTCGTACAATAATAGGACATTGCCTCTACTTATCGGTTGTTGCCTCACAGCACGTCTCCCCTTCCCCTTCCCCTCCCCTCATCATGCCTCCCGCGCGTTGTCCTCGATTTTATGCGGAAGGTGTTTGCAATATCCAAGCATGCCCGTTGGAACATATTTGGCGCCTCTGCTCGTGTAGGAAGAAGATTTCGGCGGTGCAATTCGAGCAGCATTGCGCTGGAAAGCCACACAAGAGAGCTCTTGCCGAGATACAGCGAGAACAAGCCACGCCTCAACCTGCGGCTGAGGAGAGGTTGAGATGTGATGCGTGTCAGCTGGAGTTCTCGTCTATGGAGATGTTTGCTCTTCATCGTCAGACAGACGCGCATATGCGCACTCTGCGCGATAGACTTGCTCAACACACGTCGGCAGCCCGAGATAGGTCCGCCACTTCTCCTTCAGCCGAAGCCACGTCTCCCAGCAGCATCCCTGTCCCTCCTCCGGATCCGTCTAGAGCGACAACGCTGTGCGACCTCTCCAAACTCACGGATCCTTCCGATGGCGATGATGGCTCGGTTACCATTGAATTTGGTGTGGTGGAAGTTGATGCTTCTATCAGAGCGGCAAATTCCACCGTCCGCACCGTACAGTTTGGCACGACGCGTGGACGTTTCAGCCTCCTCGACGTGTCTTTCGTCTCTCAGAGCGCGGAGACCAATACCTCAACGCCCAGCGCGAGGTAAGCCAGCCATCCATACATGCGCGTCTCGGTTAGGCGCTAATTCTCGGCACAGCTTCGCAACTGCGGTCACCCGGCAATCCAGGGTCATTCGGCCCGACGATCCTCTTCCCGTAGAGTTCAAGCTCGTCAACTTCGAGGAGGGTCTTCACAAGGACGTTTTTAACATCAACGTCCAGAACTTCTCCAATCAAGCGGTCTACTCTATCTCACTAGTCGTCCGAGCACTTGTCGGATCGAAGGACGACTATGAATTCTTGAACGCCAGGAGGCGTCGTCCCAGGCTCATCGAGCATATACCAGTTCCCTTCAGCGGGCCTACCGACCGCCCCGGGCGTCCAGCAGAGTGGACGCCGGTAAACTGGGAAGTCAGGTTGCCTCAATACCCGATCCCAAAAGAGATGGAGACCTTGATGGACGAAGGGAAACTCTCCTACAAGGTTTTCCGACGAGAATTCATGCCGTCTGGTGGTTTCAGCATGCATACGTACGATTCGCATTTTCGTGCCCTATCGTTCGTGGCAGAATTGGATGAGAGGTACGTGAATACTTGTCGTCTCGAGCGTTCAGTCCTAAGAGGCATTTTGCTCCGTAGACGAGAACTGATGCGTCGTGGCGCGGGAAGCTTGAAGATCGAAAGCCAGTACCCCTATTATGCGTATGGTCTTCAGCTAACTGCCTCATCTAAAGTCGCTGACTATCGTGATAGAATCCGCATGCAAGGCATCGCCGAGAGGCTACCCAACCTTCACGTCGGCGATTTCATCAAAGTGAAAAGGATTCAAGCCGCTGCTGGGGACCAGAACTTTGAAGGTCGAGTCCAACGGATCGACCTCAACAAAGTCGTCATCCACTTCAGCGACAAGTTCAGGGCATCGAGGCACAACAATGACAAGTTTGATGTCCAGTTCTCGTTCAACTCCATGCCTTACCGACGTCAGCACCGGGCCCTCGAGTTTGTCGCCGAATCTGTGCGACTCCTCTTTCCCCAGCCCGGTCCGGAGGCGAGGGCCTGGCGGTCTCCCGTTAACCTCTTGCCGATTTCACCTAATATCCTTGATAACGTGGAGCAGATGCAGGCTGTCAAGGCTATTGTTCAAGCCCCACCTGGGTCCGCGCCCTTCATTATCTTCGGACCGTACGTTCTCTACTACTGCACTGATTCTCGCCTGAAGCTGACATAAGCTGGAACCAGCCCCGGTACCGGCAAAACGTCAACAGTAGTAGAGGCAATCCACCAGCTCCTCGCCAAAAGCGCAGACGTTCGAGTCCTGGCATGCACCCCCACAAACACGGCCGCAGACGTTCTCGCGATCAAGCTTGCCACAGGGCCTGCAAAGCTGGAACCCGACGTGCTGTTTAGGCTGAACGCGATATGGCGAGGAAGAGGGCAGGATCTCGACAATGTCCCCGACACGTATCCCAACGAACTCCTCGATCCATACTCGGAGATAAACGAGAACAACGTCTTCGCGATTCCGACAAAGGAGAAACTGGGCTCGTTTAGGGTGGTCGTCGCGACGTGTGCGTCTGCGGGGGTGGCTGAGAGCCTTGGTCTCCCTCGCGGGCACTTTACGCACATCATCATCGATGAGGCGGCTCAGTGTGTCGAGCCCGTGACTAACGGTGCCATCCTTCCCTTGGCGGACGAGGGGACGAATGTTGTGCTTGCGGGAGACCCTAAGCAGTTGGGAGCGTCATGTCACTCCAAGCTTGCCAGAGCTTTCGGGCTCAAGGTCAGCTATATGGAGCGACTGATGAAGCGTACAATCTACGATCTTAGGCACGCTGAGGGGATCAGGTGTGCATATTTCTCCACATTCAAATTTCCCGGTATACAGACACGCGTCGGAACTGATGCTTCGTCCACCCAGGATCATGAAGCTGAAGAAGAACTTTCGCAACCACCCTTCTATCATTCACTTCTCCAATCAAGTTTTCTACGAGGGGGAGCTGCAGCCAATGGGGAACGCCGACGTCCGTATGCTTGAGCAGGCGCCTTCAGTGAGGAACAAGTTCCCCGTAATATTCCACGCCATTGTCGGCGAGGAGAAGCACGAGGTGGGCTCGCCGTCCTACTACAACGAGAGCGAGGCACTCGTCGTAAAGCGCTATGTCGATGAACTTCGTGACGGCTATACTGCCGGAGGGCAACTTATCAAACTCGGTTCGTAGCTCACCTCCATAAGACTGAATTCAGCGTCTAAGCACAGATCGCTCGCAGATTCCGAGGACATAGGGATAATTACACCCTATCTCGACCAGCAACATGTAATGAAGGACTTGTGCGGCAGAAAGGGCTTAAAGATTGGTACAGTGGAGTCATTTCAAGGACAGGTGCGTACGATCAGCAGGGATTATTGTCGTCAACTAATCTAGCATTTCATAGGAACGCCGCGTCATCATCGTATCTACGGTGCGCAGCCGTAATCTTGGGTTCGTGAGCGAGCCCCAAAGAATAAACGGTAGCCTGCTCCTTCGCATAACTCCAGAAACAAAACTAACCATCATCCCTCAGTTGCGCTCACGCGAGCCCGCGCCCTAGTCATCGTTGTTGGCAACCCTCTAGCGCTCGCGGAAGATCCGTACTGGCGGACTCTCCTTTTGTACATCAACCAACGTGGCGGATGGCGCGGTAACCCGCGTGCCGCAGATATCCCTGCACTTACAGACAGTGTCGTGCGTGCGCACGATGAGGCTATGATGTCTGGAAGTAAGACAGCAGAGGCAAAGGCGGATGCGGCGGACCTGCTGAAGAGGCTTCGGTCGGTGATTGATACCATACCGCCTCCGCTCTAGATTTCTTCGAGTAGGTAACCGTGTCAAGTAAGAATAGAGGCTAAATATGGTGATGTTTCCTATAATCAAATGTATGACTTAGGCTGTGAATATTCGTGCTACTTTCACGATTGCGCATATGATATCGAAATGTTGCATACTTTATTCGAACATACTTCGCGCACACTTTGTGGTTTTTCGCTTCTACGAGCCCGGGTCCTTGTAAGTCCTGTCGACTACGAACCGCCCTTCAGGAAACGGGTGACGACGTCCAGAAACCTATCAGGCTCCTCGAGATGTGCCACGTGCGATGAATCTGCGAACTGCACCCATTTAACCTGACGGATATGCTCAAAGAAAGGGTACACGGATATGTCCTGTGCGACATCATGCCGACCGTTTGTGACGAGCGTTGGGACCTCGATGTTCCCCAGCTCGGCGGTGAGGTCGAAGGTCTTGAGCGAGCCGGTGGTATCAAGATGCGTTTTGCCTTTCCTGAAATCCCACATACGTCAGGTTAAGCAGGTGGGCTCATAACGGTGGCTTACATCGTAAAGTACACAGTTGGATCAGCGAACACGCTTTGCATTGCCTTGGCTTCTGAATCAGGTTGAGGGCTAATACGACATATGTGTCGCGCGCCAAATTCCGTGACGGCGCTCATGTACTCCTTGCTGTCAACGGTTCCAGCTTCCTCGTGCTTGCTCAACGTCTCCTGGACGTCTTGGGGAAGCGCGGCCCGCAGCTCCTGAACGCCCTTCGCGAACAGCGTTACGTTAGCTGTCGCTGAGTGCAGAACGAGCCGCTTAAGCCCCTTCGGCTTTTGAATGGCAAAGGACGCGGCGAGCATGCCTCCCCATGAGTGCCCGACGAGGTTGTAGCCGCTATCGTGGACGCCAAGGTTGTGCAGGAGGTTATGCAGCTCGTCGATGAACAGCTGGATCGTCCAAAAGCTGACGTCACCGTTCCTTTCGGGCAAATGCGTGGACGAGCCGCAGCCGACCTGATCGTAAACGACAGTCGGAAGCGAATATTGCTCAGCGATGCCAGCCGCGATGGGCTCGACGGACCAATGAGAGAGTCCTGGACCCCCATGGAGGACGATGGTTGGGGTGATGGAGCGGTCGGATATGTCGCCGTAGACTTTGTACCAGGTCTTGCACGGCTTTCCAGCGCGCGGGACGTCGAAGTTGACTTTTCCTTCGAAAGTCTTCACAGAGGCCATTATAATTTATGACAGGTTCTTTGTCTGCTTTCGTAAATGAAATCGTCAGTGATCTACTGCCTACGTGGTTGGAGGCTCATTGACTGACCCAATTCAGAACGTTTACTCGCGTCAATCGTCTGGGTAGCGTTGCCTGGAGTTGTAGGCTGTTAGCTAGCTGAATGCGGGCTCAGACTAGGATGTCAATTCATGTAGTACCTTGAGTACGCAATCAGATACCAGGAGGATCTCCGAAACTTGTCAGCTTTGGAGCCCGTGGGCTAATCGATGCCGCTGACAGATAGCGGTGATAGCTGATACTGGTGAGCCGGCCAGCCGGTCATTGAGTTTGAGCCTCGCTGACCATTAATGAACTGCCAAGAACATACGGAGAGCCCGTGGCCGACTTGGTCCCGCCAAAAGAAACATTGCGGGGTGATACGAACGAGACCAAAGCCAAATCGAACTTCCGAGCGACCCACCTCGACTATCTTCAGCCCCTATTCCCTTTGCGAAGACGTCTCGGTCAGGTGGCGGTGTAGTTTGTGCCATGGGGAAGTCAACGACGTTCTTCGGAGATTTCCGTAGCTTCTCCCGACAGTACGCTGTTGTGGCTGGTGACGACTTGCCGCCAGAAGCCATTCCGCTAGTTTTTATGTTGTCAAGACGAACAGTCATGTGCACATTCCTACTTTTTGTGCGAGAAAACGCGCGAAAAGGCTTCAGCACTGCGGACGAGACTCATTGGTATGAAACTCGACCGAACCAATATCAAACGAACCATGTATCCGACTGGCGGGTGCACCACCAAGCCATACCAGCTCACGCTGGGCATGTGCCCAGTCCAACGTTCGAATACCTCATGTTCATCCTCACCAAAGCTCCAGGGACTCGGGAACTCTTCAACAATCCCCATGTAAACTGACTCTTGTTTTGATGGACATCGCGGAAAATCGATAAGCAATTGATATAAACCAGAATCCATAATGACAAGCAAACGGATGATTTGGATTGATAAACAAAGGGTATGCACAACGAACAAGCAAAAAAAACTGAGAGTGAAATCGACATTATGGGCGTGAGGGGCGAGACGGGAGTGGATATAGAACTTTTATGCACAAGAAAAAAGAACAGATAAACGGGCAGAAATGCTAGGAACGGCAGTGTAGACGGGACGTAGTGCAACGAAGACGGTGAACGTGGAAAAAAAGAAAACAAGCATTTTCGTGAACGGAGACAGAAAGTATATAAGCAAGAACGGGCGTTCGTAAATCCCATGAACAGCAAGTCAATCCCAAAAGGCTCAAAACACAGACGCATACTCGAGGACGTGCATACGTACGCAACGCCGAAGGCCCCTCTTCATTCCATTCACATAAAATCTCGTAAATGTTGATCCACAGACACTCTTCCGCTGTCGCAGGCGTCCATGCGTCGCAGAGGCACCAGGTCCACATGTCGAACAGCAGGGCAGACCGATCCCGGGCACACATTGCGGAACGAACACAACGGAAGACGGATTCCTCAAGCCCACTCGACAGCATAGGCGCCCATTTGTGGCAAACCGCCAACGCTGCGACGAATGGCATCACCAAGGAACAGGAACACCACAGGCACGACATCGATCGCGCCCCTGGGATCGCCGCGCGCAAGGAACACGCGCGAGCTACAGATAGAACACCGGTGGGGAACTCGGGGGTGGCTGATGGGGACGCACGACACCGCGCAGACGCAGAGTGGCACTCGTCTGTGAAAACTGGAAAGAATTCGAAAAGGGGACTATGCATTCCAAAGCGTGTAGCCCAAGAAAAGGATGCGACGTAATATTCAAAACCGACAAATGATGCACAGCGAATCGATGATACCGAACGAGGCGGCATGATGCAGCGCCTCTGCGTCTATGAGGGGAACGGATTCATGCAATCATTAGCGGTGGGAGTGCAGAGTGCGGTGGTGGCGTGTAAGGCCAGCAGGCCAGCAGGGGAGCCGTGCGCGTGAAGGGCGAGTGGGTAATGGTGGAGAGGACGCGAGCGAAAATCTGGGTTGATACAATATCGACACGTAGTGCGGCATTATCACCATGCTAGTGGGTTGGGCCGCCGCCGGACCGGAGCTTGGAGAAGGTAAAGTCGAGTTGAAGAAGGTTGAGGGGTCGTCAAGGGGGTAACCGCAAGGTGCCGGGGAAGAGCGAAGTGAAGCCAGACACTATCAATCTCAGGGGCGAGGAGAACAGGCCCAGGGGGATTTGCGCCCATTCGAACAGGCACGCATGCGGTCATTCACCGGTGTTGAAGCCACGCCCAGGACCCTGAGACCTTTTACGACCCGAATGAGCTGGATACGATGCGCCGATATGAACATGAGGGGAGATGCGGGTAAGTATAACACAAAGCAATTCAGATAGTTATGTGTAAGGGCGGATGCAGGAAGGGCGAGCCGGGTTTCATAGCATGTAGCGGACGGGCATCAAGGACAGGATGACCATGAGACCTCGCTCGCGAGCAGATATTTGGATGAGCGAAAAATTGGCAGGGCTGAGAATAAGGGAAAGATAGATGATGCAAACGAAAATGACCATGATTGGGGAATGCTTCGTGCTATAGTAGCCGCGACTGCTTCAGATGCCGCCGTACGACCATGTCCCGTACTGTGTCATGATTCAGTGAGTCTCGCAGTAGGACAGACGAGAACACAGAGACGCACCGCTGGCAAGAATACCCGCCGTCGTGCTCGTGTCGGTGACCGACGTGCAGAAGCCGTAAAATTTGCGCGGGAGGGGCGAGTATTCGCGGTGTATCGCACTAAACTTGCTCCGGAAGTCTAAAGGGTGACGCGTGACGCGAATGCCAAGCGAAGCCAGCGGCGAGAAGAACGCCACCCCGCGTGATCCAGGCCAGCGCAGAACACGTAAGAAGACGCAGCACAGAAGCGGCAGGAAAGAAGCATCCATGAAAGAAGAAAAGAAGTCAGCATCAGGGAATCACGGAGAGAACACATTCAGTCCGCGACACCGATCGAACCCGTGGTTCACGTTCAATCCACGACGGCGTGCAACAAGCACAGCACGCAAGTATGCAAGGAAGGGCGACTTACATTTTGACGCGCTCTCGAGATCGTTAGCACGCTCGCCGTACGAACGGACGTATTTGCTCAGCCGCACACCCGAGCGCAGCTTCGCCTCCATGATATCGCACTTGTTCAGGAACAGCACGAGCTCGACGTTCGCCAGGAGCTTGTTCGCGCAGATGGATTTCCAGAGCAGCACGCTGTCCTCCTGTATGCAGCGTCGTGAGCATAAGACGAGGGTGGGGGCAGATGCGGAGGACACGCACCAGACGATTAACGCTCCTGTCCTCGGCGAGGACCTGGTCGAAGCCGGATATCGGCGCAAGGAAGATGATCGCGTCCACTGTCAACGGGAGGGAGATCCGCACCACGTTAGCTTAGCGCACGGCACCGAATGGAAGCTAGGAGGCTGATCGAATTTGCTAGACTCACCATCATCGAAGAATGGAATCCATGTTGCTGTGTGGACCCACCAAGTCAGCTTCTCTGTCTTCGAACGAATTACGCCGCGCAGAGTATGGAATGCAGCGCATATCCGCGGCGCGCGCGGAGCCGCGGTGGACGTGTTATGGAGGAAACAAATGACGCACCTCGCTGTGATCTCGACCCGCCGACATCAATAATCCGCCATTCGGTTCCGCTCTCGCGTCCTGCTGCCGCCTCCATCTCGAATCGGTATTCGGACACGCCGACGGTCTTGAGTCGTGCACGGAGGACGTCGTCTAGAAGACCAAAAAATGAGACAGAAATGAGAGGGACATGTGGACAGAATGCACCGTCTGATGGTATATACTTCAGCGCCGTTACGCGCTCAATGTCATTCAAGAAACTGTAACGCACACGTCAAATCAGACATGTATGACAAGAGATGAAAGCCAACGCACAATCCAGGAAATTCCTCCAGCCGTATCTTCCGCCTCTTCAGCACCTCGCGCACGAATCGATCGTTCCAGAGCGTCGTGATATCCTGACAACACGCCGCGAGCACCTCCTGCGCTTCGTCCCTCGTCTCCGGTGCATCCCCCTCGCTACTCGGACGCCCGTCATCTTCTTCATCGTGCTGTTGCCCATTTCCCATCCCCCCACGGTTCACCGAACCCTTCCACCTCGTCCCCGGCCTGACAAACACCTCCTGGCCGCGAAATGCGCGCTCGTCGCTCCTGCTCCGCTGCGACCTGTGCCCGTACGTGCTGCTCGCCGACGGGCTGATCCCGGGCGGCGGGGGGAGCGCGAGCGCCTCGTCCTCGCCGGGCGGGACGAGCTTTGCGATGAGCAGCTGCTCGATGTGCCGCAGCGGCGTGAGGCGCATCTTGAGGAACTCGAGCTCCTGCGAAAGCCCGCTGTGGCCGGCGGCGCCGTTGTTGAGCGTGGTGAGCCCGTCCTCGGACTCTTCGCCGCCGCTGTCGATGTGTTGCCGCCGGACGCCGGAGAGCGCGTCGATCATGGTGTGCACGGAGCGGACGATGTTGAGCTGGATGACGCTCCGCCAGAGGACGCGTTCTTCCCGGAAGGCATTGGGTGTGTATAGCCGTTGGAAGTCTGAGTGTGGGGAGCGTGACCACACAGATATGGGGACGCGTCTGATCAGTCAGCGAGTTGGGTACAAGATGGCTATGAAGGACTGACGTCGCAGAGTGGTAGATTTGCCTTAATAATGGGAAGGTAGATAATGTTGAGTGCATAGCGTTCTTGTGTCGAAATGCAAAGTATGACGCACCCGACTCGCTCTGGCCGAGTAGGAGGAGACGAACAACGCGCCTTTTCTTGCGGTCCTGGCGTTCTAGACGTAGGGACTCGTCGATTGCATTGCTGATGCGCTTGGCCTCCGCTTCCTGTGCTACTCGTTGACTGCGCTCCCGTTCTGTTTCGTCCAGGGGCGGTCGGATCGCCTCTTCGAGAGGATCAAAGTCGCCCGAGGGCTTGTAGTTCATGTTCGGCATGAGCGTTCTAGTATGTGCGCGGGTACTCGTGCTTATTGGCGCGACCTGACTCGCTCGGGTAGGTGGAGCGGGAGGGTGAAGCAAAGGAAGAAAAAGAGAGACTGTGAGAGAACAGAGAGGAAAGAGGAGAGAGAGAGAGAGGCTCTGTGGAGGGGAAAGAGGGACGGGAGCAATCCCTGGTTCAGAAAACGGACGGTCAGGCACCTGCTCTCTGCGGCTAAGTATAAAATTCACAGACGCGTCTCCGCCTTGAGCGCTCCCGGTTCACCCAACCTCTTGGCTCCCCGAATAGACAACTTGCCTCCTGACGATCTCTTGTCCAGGCACATGCACATCCTCACTCGGCCCCTCCGCTTTGCCTTCAGCACATAGCCCCTCCAGGACCTGGGCGTCTGCGGCAGGAGGAGGGAGAAGTGGTGAACCGGGCTTTTCCGAATGAACCAATCCGGGGCCAAACTGCAATCAGCCATGGTGTGCCTGAGCATGATCTGGAAATAGGCTTTGCGAACGCAAGGCCGGGTGGGCAAAGTTGCACACTTGGTTTTGGACAGCCAGCGAGCTCCTCAATCCGCAGCAGCATCATTATATCCACGCGCCGTCAGCATGCCGCCGGACTTCCTTCCGGTACATACTCTTTACAGCAACTGCGGCATGTTCCCGGCCTCTACTCCCTTGCTTGATAACCGCATAAGGACCAAACTCGCATTCCCCTTGGACCTTGGATCCCCCTCTGGCCCCCTGGACTTTGCGATTGGCTACAAGTTCTCGTTCCTGACGTACGCCCTGCATCATCATTACAATTCCTTCTCACCACTGTGCAGCACGCATGCTTGGAAGAGAAGCCAAACTCCAATCTGCAATCCGCAATCTTCAGGCATCCTCAGCCCCGACGCTGGTGTGCGGCATGCCCGGCCTGCAAGAGCAGGGTGAGAGCGCCCGCCCTCGTGGCCCACAACATGTCCAATCGCAGCCGCCCGCCCGGCGCTCTGCCATCATGCCGCACTGATCGATGAATGCGAGATAGCGTCTGCGTTCCCACCGCCCTCGTACCCTTCAGTGGTCTTTTTTACGTCGGTCTGCGTGCATGCTCACCACACAGCACCCCCGTTTTTCTTCCTGCATCTCCGTTTTAACCCACTGATCCAAACGCGTCTGCAGGGGCCTGCAGGGAAGCTGCACATGCAGTCATGCATGATGATCGACCACCCCTGCGTATGTCGAGAAAAAGCCACCCCTGCCAACCAGCACACGCTGGATGCGTATGGGTCTCGCCTGTACGTACTACATGTGCGCCTTGAAAAGCCCACGTCCACAAACTTTCGAAGAACTTCTACGTGGAAGTTCTTCTACGGTCGTCCGTGCCTAGAGAGCTAAAAGCGCTGAAGAAAGGCACACGGACGACGATCGTCATAATAGCAGGCACCCCCAGCTACAGCCCCTATCGACGCACGCAAGTTTAGCACTTTCAGGCACAGTGTCGGCGCAACAACGTTTGGGACTCTTCGGTCCCTGCTTAGCCCTCCTTTTGACACGGGGTGTACGTACTTGACTCCGTGCCTGGCGTATCACAATAGCGCATCTGAGAAAACCGGCGGAACACTTTCACAGCGGCGCCACAGTAAGGTTCTGGAATTGTAAGTACGGTCTGCGGCGACTGGACTTTATAGAGATGCTTTTACGGCGTGCGCTAAACCCGGACTTGATTAATAGACTTGGACCTGCAAGGAATTGGACGTGCTATATATACTACTAGAGGGAATGAAACCAGGCACCGCTGACCGTGGAGCGTTGATAAAGTTGAAAGTGCGAGGACCACGTTCCTGTCATAAGGACTGCCCCCGCGGCGATCAGGTATGTAATGGGAGAGTTTGGGATGCAGTAATTGGTTCCATACGGGTATTGGTGTATGCGCGCTAGGAAAGCGTGGAACCTTCGCGGTCAGAGACGCTCATCGGAAGAACGCGCCGATAAGATAACGTGAACGTGGGTGTGCTGTATCAGTGCTGTATGTATGCGTGTACTGTACCTTGCCGGGCGTTCGGCGACTTGAGTGTACTCAGACAAGTAGGTTTGGTGCCTTGAGGAACGCGTTTTGCGTTTAGGCGGCAGGCACCCATTCGAGTTGGTAGTAGTAGCCAGACCGATCGAAGGTTATCGGCCCATATGCATACGTTTTGCATGAACTTTCGCACCATCGGATCTTGGACCAATGCATTGCCGGGTATGTAGTAAGCTCGAGGGTCACACTTCACTTGGAGCTTTGTCTCACCAGCTGACGACGTCTGGGCTGCGTGTTCATACTCGCCGGAGTAACTGATGCCCCTGCTTTCTGAAGATCTGATCATTGATATGATGAAGTCGGCCGGGTCTGTTCTGGTAGGATGACGACACCGACCTTGCATCCCATTCAGAGTATCTCAAAATATCCCCTGGTTCTTCGAACCGAGTTGAATCGATCCAGATCGCTCGATTACGCACGCTTGATCCATCGATCAGGACCAGGCAAGACTCGGCTGACGTTGAGATGCCATGCGGTGAGGAAAACATATGAAACTTGACATCTGGTCAGTTGGACGTCATTGATGCCGCCGGGAAGACCCATGGCCGCTTGGCGCCACAAGCCCAGGTACAGCTCAGGGCGGTTACACACGATTGTACAATGCGGTGCTCGATTGACGGCGAGGATCGATTTGTGGTGGCTCGGGGTTGTTTAGTTGTTGTCATGCACTCCCAATCCCTTCTCTTTCTCGAGTGGATCGTGATGGGGTTCAGTGCATAGCATTATTACGACTCAGTTAGATTACAGCCAAGTTAGCCATCCCTGGGAAACAAATATGCAGGCAACGCGCCGACAACTTATCAACACATGTATTAGCATTGGGAATACAATTTGTAGAATCCCCACCTATATGACAGCAGAGGAACGGTATCCATCACCTGCACGGAACGAGCCGCTTGAGCACGTAAATAAGAATTCTGGCTAGAAGACTAGCCACGGCGTTGCCGCGGTGCGCAGTCAAAGTTCGGTCTTGGCAAGCCCAGTAGCGGCTTGCGCAATAGCGCCTGGGAGTACTTGTGAGTCCCGGATTTTGCTCCTACGACAGCTTACAGCAGTATGTATCGGCTGATGAGTGGGATTGATTGTTTGGGGAATAATGGACTCAAATATCTGGGGTGTCTCTATGCTATCAAGAGGCGTCGACGGGAACAAGGTTATGCTGTAGTTTTGTCGTATATATCCTGGAATAAGAAGATAGCTTATGACTAATAAGTACAACGAAGGCACTCTTCAATTTAGTGTATGGCAGGCAACATTGCCTTTCGGAGGTGAAACATACCAGTGACCCACTCACAAAACCTTCAACACCGAAATATATCCTGAGAGCGGCAGCTCCGGAGTGGACCTACAGTCCAAATTCATACGCCATCGGGTTAGACGGCGATTTTTTCGATAACAACTTGCGCACTACTGAGCGGCACCTTCAATGGCTGAGACGGCGCAACCCCGTCAGCCAATGACCCTTCGGGTCCCGCCGCGCAGCCCGTTCATGTGGGAAGGCGGTATATACACTCTGAGCGCCCGTGAGGATGGCACTATCAAACTCTAACGATTTATAACGCCCTAAACGTTCGTATGACACATGAGCTGTCCAAAAATGAGCTGACATGTGTATGTTGGAACAGGGACGATATGAACGTGAGTGATCGTGGCGAGATAGATGAAGCTAGGAACCATGACAAGAAAAAAGAATCACATGTGTAAGAACATATCCGAGTGGTTGGCCTGAGCTGGTTTGTTTGGCGTCCAGCTGGTAGTGTATTCAATATTGATTCACGAGAACTCATATGTTTTTCTGCCATTTTCATAAAATTGATAGTGGTATCGGAAAACGTAATGTATGTCTACTTTCCCATGTAGCCGGAGGATGACTATGACGATTGATGTTCTTGTTGAGCATTAAGTCGTATATAACATACCGTTGAACCAGTAAACACATTACTCAGGCATCATGGGTCATCCGCGTTGAGCGCTTGAGCCAGAGTGCATCGTTATTCATATTCAAATATTCAACCCGCCGGAAGCATGCCCCGGCGTGGGTTTTGGGTACTGTCGCAACAACAGCAAACTAATCGCTTGCCATGACTCATTGCTTATTTTCCATTAGCATGTGGGCTGCTGCGTGGGCTGTGCGCTCGAGTGCTTGTCATTATTGAGATATAGAGCATTGAATAATAATGAAATGTAACAACCACACGTCGAGGCTCGGGTCTTTTGGAGCGCGCTGGAGCAGCCTTTAGCACAGTTTTGATTGTGTTATTATGAGCTGGGAGAAAGCCGCGGTTCCTCTAGGAGAAAGACTCAAGAACTCCTTGTGCATTTTCCTCTGGTGCACATGGTTGAAAGCCAAGAACTCATTATATCTGTAGACGTGTATAACTGACTACTACATCGTGATCGTCACAAGGCTAGTGTTATTATATATATAAAGGTTTGCAACCTTACAGAGTCAGAAAACTGCTTCAAATTGCGGATGGGATGGCTTCAATGTCTGGTTTGTATGAGAATCGATGTTCGCCCAAGGGTTGCCGTTTGATCAAAGTTAGTTTAGGCAAGTTCAACCAATATCACAATCTTAGCGAGAATTGGTTGTTCATCAAAGTCAACTTCCCGCTCACAGTTGGCGATTCAAGAGTTTAATAAGCTTGGACTTTGGATTGGCGCTGAAGTCTCTCGTACGTAGGCGCATGTCGGCCGAGGAAGTCCAGTATGCGAGTCGGAAGATCGGTCCGATAGTAAGAGTGTAACCTGGCATCGATCCCGTGTGCGAGTGGCAAAACGTATCTTGATATTTTCTTGCTCAATGTATGTGTCGTTATGCTGTCAGACTAATACTCAGAACATCATCAAGCTGGATGAGCCAAGCATTGCAGAACATATGAAAGTTGAACTTCGGCTCAACTTCGGCTTTGTTGCCTAGCGCGTGGGAAGATAGGGGGATATTGTCAAATAAGGCAGGCAAATTGACTCATGCGGGAAACGTGAATGGCGTGCCTTCGCCCCCTCTCCATGCACTTTCATACGACTCTGCCCCATCTTTCCTTTGAAAACGCCCCCGGGGCGACGAAGTTCTCTGCGGAACCCTGTTTTTCCAAATCGCCACATCCTCCTTCAAGCTAACATCTGAAAAGCCAGCTGGGTAGCTACGCGACGCGACGTGACCTTTAAGCCTGAAGATTTAACTGAACAGTCGACATGGCCGCCATTATCGAGCCTATACAGGAGGCATCATCGCCTCTGACAGTGTCCTCCACTCTTGACGGAGTCTCCTTGGACGCCCTTCCAGTCCTACGTCCAAACTGCCCGAAAGGGGATGCACCGTGGATTATACAGAAGTTTGGAGGGACAAGTGTAGGCAAGTTTGCCGTCGAGATCGCACGAGATGTAGTGTCGTACGTCATGCATTCATTTCCTGACGCCCGTTTTTCATATCTGATGTCTTTCACGCGAAAGGACGCACTGCACCACAAACAAGATCGCCATCGTCTGTTCCGCGCGCTCCGGATCAACCAAGGCACTCGGGACGACCAACCTACTGCTACGTGCAGCGTCCGAGGCGATCCAGAGACCCTCGAAGACCTCTCTTGGCTCGGCTACCCCGGTGACCAGCGGTATCTTCGGAAGGATACCCGTCAGCACGCCTGGCACTCCGGGCGCTAATACTCCTCGAGCGCGAAGTCACTCGTCCCCGCGTTCATCATCCCCCTTGTTTGGCTTGACACCGGCTTCGCCACCACAGGGTGAATCGGAGGGTTCGTTTAATGTCACTGTGGATCTGATCAAAAGCGAGCATTTCACGGCCGCCCGCGCTGTCATCAAGAATGAGGCCATCTTGGAGGAGCTGGAGGCGGAGGTTGAGCGAGATTGCGAGTGGTTGAGGAACTTCTTGTCCGCTGCCCAGGTCTGTCCCTCTTCCTTAAAGGTCATTGATGACTAATTGACAAGGTTCTCGTTAGATCGTGGATGAGATCTCGCCTCGTTCCCGGGATAGCATCATTGGTCTCGGCGAGAAGCTTGGCTGTAAAGTTATGACTGCGGTTCTGCGGGATCAGGTAAGTAGTGCCTCGATGTTCCGTTCCTTTCCCAGTCATGGCGTATACGTAGGGTATAGATGCCGAATACGTCTCGTTAGAGGATGTCGTTCCAGCATCGGATGACATCAATTCGGGCGAGGGCTCGCTGGGACAGGCATTCTACGATGGTGTCGCCGAAGCTGTTGGCGCACGTATACTGCAATGCGGATCGCGTGTCGCCGTTGTGACTGGTGTGTATCCTAGCAATCGTGCTGCACTGAACGTCGTTGAGCATCTTTCCTAGGATTCTTCGGTCCCGTTCCGGGCTCTCTGCTCCGTCAAGTTGGGAGGGGGTATACGGATCTGCTGTCTGCGCTCCTCGCCGTAGGCGTACGCGCTTCTGAGCTGCAGATCTGGAAAGAGGTCGACGGGATCTTCACTGCTGACCCTCGGAAAGTTGTTACTGCTCGCCTTATACCCGTCATCTCCCCGGAAGAGGCTGCAGAGTTGACGTACTACGGTAGTGAGGTCGTGCATCCCTTCACTATGGAGCAGGTAAACCGCACACTTGCCCTTTTTCTTGTTATTTTGCTAACGCCTAGGAATTTCATGTAGGTCACTCGCAGGAAGATACCCATCCGTATCAAAAACGTCAACAACCCACTCGGTGGAGGGACCCTCATCCACCCCGACCCGGAGAAGCAAGCAGCGGCCCGACCTCCCATGTCTGACACGCCCGGGCGAACGGGCGGACGCCCCGGGTTCAGCGAGCCCATCTCGGCTTCTTCATTGACGCTCGAGGGGCTCGGCATAGCTTCCGACGCGGCACACCGCCAGAAGCGCCTGCCGACGGCGGTGACTATTAAGGAGCGCATCGTCGTGCTCAACGTGAACTCGAATCGCAAAAGCGTGTCGCACGGTTTTCTAGCGCGGATATTCGGCACGCTGGATCGGTATGGCGTCGTTGTGGATCTGATCAGCACGAGCGAGGTGCACGTCAGTATGGCGATCGAGGATGGGCTGGGTGGACGTGTCATTGACAGGCTTGTCACGGATCTGCATCAGCTCGGAACCGTGCGTTCCGGCCCTTTCTTGCAGAACGAGTACGTGCTGAGCCAACTTTGCAGGTGTCGATGGTGCGCGACATGGCGATCCTCTCACTCGTCGGAAAGCAGATGCGCAACATGATCGGTATCTCGGGGCGCATGTTCACCACGCTCGCGCAGGGGAACGTCAACATCGAGATGATCAGCCAGGGTGCGAGCGAGATCAACATCTCGTGTGTCATCAAGGGCTCGGACGCAGTCAAGGCTCTCAACCTTATACATCAAAGTTGCTTGCAGATCAAGCCGGAAGGGGAGAAGGGGAGAGGTGCGCACTTGTCGTTTCTTTCGACGTTTGATATCGCTTATGATTTCCATGCAGTTGGACCTTGGTTCTTCTGAATGATTTAGATCACTATTTATTCATGGGTTCGGTACGCATGCCATTTTGCGGAGACGTCAGCTACAGGTTAATTCGATGTTGACCGTGTAGGATCCAACCTCGGACTGCTCGAGCGTTCAAAAGTAGGGACACGTGCCAATATAGTTCAACTCTATAGCACGAAAACGCTGTTACATCTATCTATTCACAGTGGGCGGGGCTGTAATATCTCTTCTCCATATTTGTTGTATTTATCATTTTCCTATATTTATGTTGGTTTTGTCGTGCGGGCTGTTTGCTGAGACTCACTCTTACGACCTTAGAAAAGGCACGCCCAGCAAGACTGGTGCGGACATCGAACTTCTGAACATCAAATACACATCTGGACATCTGAGTCCGAAGAGGATATAATACGTGCTAGGGACACGTGTGTCATTGTCCTTCGTCCAGAGACTACCATGAGTACGGACTCCGCCTCTGAACACAACAAGTTCATCCTCGAAACGGAGAGTCAAATCAGGTCACACTTCAAAAAGCCTGAGCGCGAACTCAGACGCTATCTTGAAAAGACTTTTGCCAAGATCTCGGATGCTCGTTGCAACATCACATTTCGCTCCATCTTTTTGGTACGATAAGCCCTCCGTTGGATATAGTTGGCTGTTCGTTCACCATGTATTGAAGCGCTGTCTCATCGAAAGATTCGGGGAGGCCAGCAAAGCAGATCCACCCGAGCCGGGCGATTCAGACCAGACCGAGTCCGGGTGGGACGGGTTCGCTAAAGCCTGCGCCCATGGTGGTCTAGCGATGAAATCATTATTGGAGACATTCAAGCATGAAGAGGTAACAGATCTCAGGGAAGAAGATTCGCGCGAAATGACCGTGCCATTCATGATAATGAAGGTGTTCGAACTCCTCCTGTCGTCTGGTGACCCCGACGAGCGTATCGTCCTACATGTGACGCTTCTGGGAAATGGCTACGTTGGCCTACTCTTGCATGTAGGTCATTTGATAACATGTGTATCTCGAACAACGTTCCACGTTCTGAGATATGCTGACTTTTAATTTTTGAAGAATCTACAACGTGGCCCGCTCGTCTCTCAGCTAATCGCCTCTCAGAGACTAGAGAGCCTCGCAAAAGACGCATTTCTATTCAACAAGATGGATCCGTCTACTGCTGCCCTTATCTTGGAACCCCTCTTTCTCTGTGCTTTGCGAGATCCAAAAGCATGTTCAGGGCAGCTGGGAAAGCCATGCGTACATTGGCAGCGCCAGCTGGATCACGAGCTAGAGGACATCGGTTTATGGGACCGAAATGAAGACACTCGTAGATGCATGGCTACACGTCTGTTCGGGCGGGTTCAGGAGCAAGTTATCAAAGCACCCCTCAAGCTTTTAACAATGCCACCGCTCCCTCCCCCGGACTTTCGCCTCGCCGTTGTCAAATGCAAACCGATTATCCTCGATCTTTTGCTCGATTGTACACTACTGGAACGTCCAAGGTATTATCCGGAGTCCAATGTGGTTTACTTGGCTTGCTCTACTATCGTCTCGTTGCTGGACCATTCTTCCTACATTATACCAGGTATTTCAATACCAGTCGACCGGGCATTTCCTTCACGCGATTCCAGGTCTATTTCTCAAGCTCTGCAGATCTTGACATCTCGTCATGAGTGGTCAGAGCGGATTATCGATGCGTACTCAAACCTTGAGGATGAGGGTGATATCACAGTGATACCAGAGTAAGTCCACCTAGCCTACTGTATGTGACTGTCACGATTTCTCTGACAAGGTCTCAATAATATAGGGATATCCGTAACCTCGACGATATACTTCCTCACGAGGCAGAGAGGGAGAAGAGGATACATCAAAGTCTCGTGAAAAAGCCCGATACACGTGGTTTGTTCGCAGTCCATCATGACAGGAAATCTATTCTAACTCCCAACTAAATCCCCTGTAGCAAAATCCCGTTTCTGCCTTCTTCGGCTTATATCGATCATCACTCATACGGCTGACGTCTGTGGCGTCAGAAATGTTCAGGTCGAGTCATTCTTGCGTGTTGGTTACAAAGCTATGAGTAAAGTAGAACATACCGAAGGTCAACGTGGACAGAATGTACCGGCACTACCTCCCTCGCAAGGTACAGGGAAAGATGTCATTGACGAAGAAACTGGCACTATCCTTCCGCCGTCGGAGACCTTTTTGGGCGCGATCACTCTAATGCGCCTACTTGTAGTCCTCGCGCAGCGTAATGCCTTGGATAGTATTCAGCTTCTTCGAAGTCCCCCAGATGGACTATCCTCCTTAACTTCTCTCAATCATATCCAGCAAATTACTCATCCAGACATTATCCATCGTACCATCAACATCGCTCTCGTCAGGTCGTGGGACCAACTTGACATTGGAAACAAGATCGCAAGCTCACTCAGAAGTACACTCGCCAGCAGCTGCGCATGCCGTGCCTACAGAAACGCGGCCGAGCTGGCTGCAACTATCGTTGCTCTCGACAATCACACGGGAGGGCGGTATGCAACAGAAACAACTGGCTCACGGAGATTGCTAGCCGGGGCTCTAGGAAACGCAGCGCACACATGGATATACCTAGATCGTTGGAAAGAGGCGTACTTCTGCGCGCTGGCAGCAGTTGAGGCTGCAGAAGACCCTTTTGTCGCGCAGGCACTTGGTCAAAACGTCGTAGAAAAGAACAAGCTTCGACTTCAGGAAGCAAAGGACGGGCTAGATACGTACGGGGATCTAAAGTACAGACACGTATTGCGCTAACAGCGATAGAGTAACCACTTTCGCGTAGGGTTTGGAATCAGAACCTCCGAGTCATGCTGAATACTGTGGCTGTATTGATTCTACTATACTAGAGTAAGATGTATTTTAGTACATTTCACGGTGTTGTAACCAGGTTTCAGGAAATCCTCCAGAACATCTAGTGAAAGAAGCACTATCTAACAAAATAATGAACAAATGACACAAATTAGCGCACTGTTCAGATCCAAAAGTTCCGATCACTGTTATGAGTCGGAAAGCCGTCCTGGGGTCGGTATCAAATTACTCGGTGAGACGGTCAGTCCTGGAGAAGACGACGACGAGAGTACTCGTACAGTAAGGATGAGTGACTACGAACACGTGCGAACACGCTATGTACTGACTACGCTGGCCATGCTGGCCCTAAACTATTGCATCGTCCCTTCCTCAAGGCTCGGACCGACCTCCCTAGTCCATTGGGAGACGTTGGAGGGACTTCCCGCATTGAAAAGCAGTGCTGGGGACTACAGGCGCCGGTGTATCCTACGTACACGTGTTCGGTGATAGTAAGTGCCGTGAAATATTTGGCCGCCTGAGAGTTTACTCACGGACGACCACCACGCACAGCCATGACTACGGAGCACACCACCGCCAAATCCAGCGACAAATACGACAAGATGGAGAGTCAGATCAACCTAGGCTTGAAATATCGTGAACCAAAGCTCTCAGAGTACTTGCTCGAGAGCTTTTCCATGATTGCCGATCCAAGTTGCAGTCCGGTTTTTCGCTCGACGTTTCTGGTATGGAAACATTTTTGCTACACGAATGACCACTCTAACTCTAGATATCAAAAGGCATGCGTTGCAGAGCGTATTTCTGCAGGAAAAGATACGATGGAGCGACTTGTGGTCGCATCCCCGGGAAACCCGGTTCATTGGGATGCCTTTGCTAGAACATGTGTGCAGATTGGCCTCATAGAGTCGGCGATGAAGATCTTCACCTTACGCAATCAGATTGTAACGGTGTATGTTGAGAAGTAGCCACCGCTGACCCGTTGTCTCATTTCACCGTGGTGGATGCGGTGATCGACATCCTTTCGGCTTTTGGTAGCTCTCAAGATCATGCAATGCTATACGACAGGCTTCTGGAAAACAATTACATCGATCTCTGCTTACATGTTGGTGAAAAAAACTCGCATTATAGGAAGGATTCTGACTCTTGTTGGAATAGACCCTTGAACATGGTGCGCTTCTCTCTCAGATTGAGGCGGCAGAAAGGCTAGAACGTCTAGCCGTTGGGGTGGCTGTGGCCCAAAAGGTTCCTCCGTCTATAGCTGCACGAGCCTTGGAAGGTCTTTGCCTCTGCGTACTTAGGGATCCACAAGCCAGCTTAGGACAGCTGGACAAGTCATCCATGGAATGGCAACGTAAATATGACACGGAGCTAGAGATGTCCGGCTTATGGGACCAAGATGCACAGACTCGCAGGGCGATGGAGGCACGTCTGTTTGGGCGCGTACAGGAGCACGCTATGAGAGCAGCTCACAAATTCGTGACGGGATCTCCGGTAGTACTCCCTCCGGAGTTTCGCCTTGCCGTCCTGAAGTGTAGGCCAAACATTCTGGACTGCCTGCTGGATTGCATGTTACTGGAGCGCCCAAAGTTCTTTCCTGAGTCCATTATGGGCTTCTTGACATGCAGTACTCTGAGCGCGTTGTTTAGTTGCCCGTTGTACAGCATACCCGGAGTTCCTACGCCGAATGATGGCACGTTTCTTTCACGGGGCTTCAAGTCTGTCTCTCAAGCATTGCAAATCCTTACCGCGCAAAAGGAATGGTCAGAGAGGATCATTGGCGCGTACCTGAAACTCGAGGATGAGGAAGACCTCGCACCAAGCATCGCACTTCGAGAGTACGTTCAACCGACTTGCATTATTTTGCAGCGCAACTCACGCACAATCATAAATTGTTCATACAGGAATATCCGCAACCTTGATGTCTTACTTCCCGAGGATCCTGGAAGGAAGAAATTTTACGATGATGTCATGAAGAATCTCGGTATGTGATACACTCATGTAATACAAGCTAGCGGTGCGCATAGTCTCAATTGTATCAGCCAGGTCCCGCGTCTTTGTTCTTGAACTTATTTCATCACTGGCTTTCGCTGCGGACCTTTGTGGCGTCAAGAATGTCGAGATAGAGTCATTGCTACAGCTTGCTTATGGAGCTATCAAGGAATCAAGAGGCGCATTTGTCGAAAAGCTCACACCACTCTTGCATCCACCAACAAATCCTTCAGAGACGGAGCACATTAGAAGCCAACTCAATCTGCTTCTTTCTGTTCCGGAAAACGCAATGGGGGGAATTACTTTGATGCGCCTACTGGGTGTTCTGGCGCAACGCAGCTCTCTGAACAGCATACAACTCCTACAAAAGATGCCGGATGGATTGTCTTCTTCCACTTCCCTAGCCCAGCTTCAGCAGATCACACATCCTGAAGTCATCCGGCGCGTCATTAGAATCTGCCTCAAATATGCGCAGGCGCAGATCCTCAAAGGAAACAAGTTCGGTGGCCTGAAAGCTGTCATTGCCAGCGCTTGCGCATCTAGACCTTACCGAACGGCGGCTGAGCTTTCTTCGGCGATAATATCCTTCAGCAACCATGCTGGAGAATCTTTCGTCAGTGAATCACATAGCGCAAGACCCTTGCTTTTGAGGGCGTTAGGGAACACAGCGCACACGAGTACTAGTTTGCAGCGCCGGAAGATGGCGTGCTTCTGTGCGTTGGCAGCTGTCAAGGTAGCAGAAGACATGACAGATAGCAAGGAAGTCGGTCCTGCTGTTATTCCTGACCTTCGTCGCCGAGTTCAAAAGACAAAGAAGGAGCTGGAGACGCATGGGGATGACCAGGCCCGATACATGTAGAAATTCGAGGTCGCTAGGGCTCGCGACGACCCACACCGCGTTTGTCCCGGGCAAGGGGAGGGTGCCCGACTCGGAAGGAAAATCGCTTGAAGATTACGACTAGCTACGACATGATTGTACATGCTACGAAATATCGGATATAACAAGATAATCTACGACACGTCAGCGCGAGATGAGAACACTAATTCCAACAATACATACCTTCGTAGGCGATATATAACAAGTTCGACGTTTTGATGACAAGCCGCATGTTCTTGCTGCTTGACTCGATCTTAGACTGCTTGGCTGAACGCGTGATATCTAGCTGCGCTGAGGAATTCCGAGGCTTTCCCCTATTCTCGATTAATCAATCGTATCTACAAGCAGATGGTCGGCTTTTGTTTGCCATTGCTTGGTTGTAGACTCCTGTGCTCTTCACAGCACCCCCACTCGCTGCTCCGAAAGACTGAATGCAGGACCGGGGAAATGACCCAAATCACACTTCCGCACCCGTTTACGAACCGATGTTAAATGTGGGCCGCGTCAGCTCATGCCCACAAGACGACGGGATCGGCCAGTTTGCTAAAGCAGAATTGTTCGAGTGCGAATTGTATTGAAATAGTAGAATACATTGACCAATCGGAACGTGCGCTGGTGTCAGCAGCTACGCCATACGGAGGGGTCCACCTAATTTCGGTCCATTCGGTCCATTCGGTCATAATCGGTCAAGTAGGTTTATTACCATACTTGGACGGTCGCCTCCGAAGCACCTAAGTCTCTCCGCCAAGCGAGCCAGACCGTGTCACGTGACAGCTCCTAAATTGCCGGCCCCTTGCCATTTTTGGGCCTCCCGGAGGCTGAACCCCTCGGGAGCTTCTCTGCTCGCCTCCGGCTCGCCAACCCCTCCATATGACCTATCTGCCCTGGTGTCCCCTCTATCGATGCATTTTCGAGATCCAGAACTCTACGTCCCCTAACGTCCAAATGTATTCTCTAGACAATTTCCCGATATGTTAAGCCCTTGGACTTTTTCATCTATAAGAGTGGGCCAATCGTCGCCCAAATCTCCCAGTCCCTCATCGTCTCCCCTCCCCTCGCCTTCCTCTTCCTCACCCCTTATCATCATGCGATTTGTAGTATCCCCACGCACGAGGGCATCGTCGTCGATAGGAACAAGAATTATCGCCAGGTCAGGGCAAGCGAGTCCGCCAAGACGCCCGCAGAGCTCGCACTATTTCTCCGGCCTGACCGGCGCGTCATGACAAGCTCGTCGCGAGTATACAAAGTGGCGCGCTGATGCGCCATTGCTATTGACCTGTTAATGTATTGTGGTACAGAAATGATATAGTATTCCCCTCCGTTGCCGTCTCAATGCCGAAGGGTAACGGAGGCGTTTCTTGTATAATCTGTATGATATGTATTCACACCAGTGATGGTTAAATACAGGACTCCCACTTCGACGTGCTACCATGCTCATAACATTTTTTATCAGAATGTCCAGCCTTGCAAATGGTGTTCAACGCTTTCCAACTAATCAGGGAGCTACCAGACAGTGTTCCACTGCTTTTACGGCACAGCAGAGTCCTATGTACTCTCACACCGCCTTCTCCGCCCAGGTTCGCATTGTTTCCCCCGGAACGCAGCGCGGCGCTTCCTCGTAACCCGCAGCAAGGTTCATACGTCTGAATAAGAAGAGCATAAACCCGGAAACGTACCCCACGTTAGACATTAATATCAGGCACATTCGGAGGTACTGCTTTTGAAAAGCCCAGATTTTCTCCGAGGGAAAGCGGGCACACAGTGATAGACGAAAACAAACTCGAGGGCCGCCGAAGGATAGTATCTTGAAGTCGTATCTAATCATCGACAACTATCGGAGAGCTGAACGTTCCTCTACGCTCCTTCTCATCCTGCGTGAGCTGGTCAGCCTCTTCTCGCCGTTTACGCGCCTTTTCTCGCAGAGAATTTGCCATTTCCTCGAACTGTTTCGCTTCCCCCTGGAGATATTCAGCAGGATCAATGCAAAGATCGTCTGGAAGCAATGAAAGCACGCACAAGCAGCTCATCGTACCGTGACCGTGGCATTTCTTGATTGATGGCCGTTTCTGTCTGTCTTCTGCGTGCTCTGCCAGGTATGGCGGTTGGCTGTTCTTCTGTCTTGACGGCCGGTTCGTCCGTAGCTTGCAATGAATGAGAGCTGTTGGTTTGGGCTTGACCTTCGATCTTCACCTTGACATTAGGCTCGTTCTTGGGTTTAATCTCCGTGTTGTTCCCGGTCTCAGGCGGTACGACATCTTGGCCTGTTGCTGGTGTACCGTGATTTCTGGTACTTGCCGCAGCATCGTCTTCGTTTCTGGGGAGAAGCGAAGATGAGATTGGTTGGGTAGTGGTTACCGGAAGTAGTTCCTCTTCCAAAGTTACTGGAGCGACATCTTCCCGCTCGTCATGGGGAGTTTGAGCGTTCTCCAGAGAATAAGCTCTGGCGTGTGTTGGCGACGAAGTCTGTCCTGGCACTGAGGCCTGTTGCTCAGGTATATCCATGTACTGAAAGATAGATGGTTTAGTGAACAGCTGAGGCAGACGGTCGCCGATAGGCGAGTATAATGTTTACCTCCAATTCGGAGCTCTGGGATCGTCGACGGCGCACGTCAGCATCACTTTGTTGTATGTTTAGGTTTTCAGAAGTGCCAGGTGCCGACGTAGGATCAACCTCCATGGCATTAGGTGTTTCTACACTGGGGTTTGGTTACTGGATTCGGTACCAGCTGTGATAGGAATCAGTAACACTTACACTAACCCGGAAGGCGGCCCATCTGGCTCGTCGTCTTCCGATCCGTCGTCAGGCGCAATGTCATTGGCTTGAAGAACCTCTGGAGCTCCTCGTGTTATTCTGATATGCAAAGTAAAGCGAGAAGTGCTCGCACCGAGCGGTCTATAGCGGAACACTACATTCAGGGGTGGCTCTGACTCGTCAGCGATTTCATAGTCGTTTACCGCATATGGCTTGTGAGCTTTACACATTCCTGCGCTGTTCCCATGAACAAGGGCGTCCTGACACCAAAGCACGAACATGCATACTGTGTGGATTGAACTGCACCATTCTTGATTGCACCCTTTCTGTAGCGCTTCTTAGGCACCTTCTCGGCGATGGGTTTCCCTCCGCTACCAGTACGAATGGCCTTTCTGATGTGCACGCGGATCTCTCCGACATGATCTGCTTCATCATTGTCGACGTCTCCCCCCTCATCTGACATTGATCGTTCAATGTGGCTCGCTGAACGTCTAACAGCAGCCGCATGACGCACCTGAAAACTGGAGCTCTTGGAACTGGAAAGGGTAAACTGCGTACGGATTGTCCTCGCCGACTTCCCATCCCTTCGCGAATGTTGGACCTTCGGAGTTGGGCTCAATGGGAGTTACTGTGTCCACCTCCGGGTTGCCATCCAGGTATATCTCACCGACATGAAGGTCGAGTTGATCCGGACTAATGCATTCGAACACAACCCAGTATTCCTATGAAAGGCAAAGATTGGCACTTTCTCCAGGGGGATCCAGGAAGTTTTGTGACGCTACCTCGCCGACCTCGGACGCTATCCACCCCGTAACCTCTTGTTGATCTTCGCTCGTTGTCACGCCAAACTCTTCGAGAATGTAATCCCCTCTCCTACCCGAATGGTGACTTCGAAGTATCCAAGGATCATGTAGAACAGAACGGGCGTCTTACTGTGGATAATATAGCTGAGGACGTGTTGCAAGCGTATTGCAAGGTGTTTCTTCGTAGAGCAGGTCGAAGGAGGTCGCGTCGAACAGCCAGTCGCGCCCGTGGGAATCTTACACCACGTGGCATTCCCCTGTTTCCCCGACATTCTACGGTTCTCACGTCATCGTGTCCTCTGCCTCGAGAGTCCACTCTTCCTTTTCGCCTACTCGCATTCTCTCGTCCAAGCCCAGTTTACAGCGCTCTTTAACTCAAATATACGGCACGATGTCCGAAGGAATAGCAGCAGAACTAAAAAAGATCCCGCCGGTGACACGGTTCATCGCGGGGTCGTCTCTCGCCATCACTGGTGCATCCGCGCTGGGCGTCATCTCGCCGTACAACCTCGTTTTTGTGGCTAGCCAGGTTTCTCAGCGGTTTGAGGTGAGCTTTTTATGCTGCGGGAATATGCCTGTGAGGACGTGGTGGCTGACGAATGATCTGGCAGGTGTGGAGGGCGTACACGAGTTTCTTCCTTGGACGTGAGTTTGGGCTTTGGTTGGGTGAGGCGGACTGCTGATTGGCTTGTGTGTATAGCTGCGCGGCTGGATTACATTTTCGAGTTTTTCATGCTCTTGTGCGTATTTTTTTCCTCGTGTACATACGTCTGGCGTGGTCCGCTCATTTTGTCTCCAGCCGCACCACCGAAGGCATCGAAAGCCAGTACTACCAAGGCCGCTCAGCAGATTTCGCCTGGCAGGCGTTCTTCGCCGCCCTCGGAATCCTCGTACGTACACCACACGCACTCCACATCCCGCGCACGTCCAAATCCTAACGCATCAACGCCCCGCTGTAGGCATCCAACCTCCCCCTCCGCTCCCTCCTGCACAACCGCGCCTTCCTGCACTCCCTCGTCTACCTCCAATCCGCACTCGCCCCGCCCGGCGCCCAAGCGTCCGTCATGGGCCTCGTCACGATTCCCCTCGCATACTACCCGTACGCGCTCCTCGCGATGGACCTGCTCATGGGCGGCACTAGCGCCGCGGCGCAGGCCGTCTCGGGCATGCTCGTCGGGCACCTGTGGTGGTGGCTCGTCTGGGGGTCGGGCACGGGCGCAGGTGCGGCGGAGACGGGCGCGTATGCGGGGTGGGGGCGCGCACCGAGGTGGCTGAGGGAGTGGTTTGGGGAGCGGGGAGGCGTGAGGGCGGGTAGCGGGGGCGGGGATAGGGCGTATAGGGCGTATGCGCCGAGGGATAGGCAGCAGCAGCAGCAGGGGGCCGGGTATCGGTGGGGCTCTGGGCAGCGTCTGGGGAGGGGGTAAGGGTTTCGAGAGGTGCGGGGTGGGCATCCGACGCGAGGGTGTGTTATGTTTTTCTTGGGAATGTCTTAATAAATACAACGTTTCTTGTTCACGTCTCCAACGAATGCTATGGTATCGCACATGCTGCCCTTCAGTCCTTCCGGCCGTACCGCTCACGATACGCCTCCATCTGCTCTAGCTGCTCCTCGCGCCCGCCCTTCTCCCTCACCCACGCGATCAGATCGCGCATCTTGAGCACACTCTGCACGCGCCCCTCTCCGCCCACGAGCCTCTCCACCTCCCTTAGCGTGCTGCTCCCCTCGGCGTCCTCCGCACCGACCTCCTCGCGGTCCAGCAGCTGCAGCACACCCACGACCTCGCCGCCCTCCGCGCGTATCTTCTCGATCGCAAGACGCACCGCCGTGCCCGCCGTCATAACATCGTCGAGCACAACGACGCGCTTCCCTCTAACGGGCACGCCGACGAGGCTCCCGCCCTCGCCGTGCGCCTTGGCCTCTTTGCGGTCGTACGCGAACCCGACGGCGCGCGCGAAGGGCGGCGCGGCGAGCACGAGCGCGGTGCACGCTGCGAAGGAGATGCCCTTGTAGGCGGGCCCGAAGAGGACGTCGAAGGCGGGGAGGGAGGAGACGGAGGCGGCGTAGGCGGTCGCGACGGAGGAGAGGATGGGGCCGGTGCTGAGGAGGCCGGCGTTGATGAAGTACGGGGAGATGCTGCGTGTGTTTATTGTGGTGTGAGCTCAAGGGGGTCGGTGGATGGTGGGATGGTGTGGGGAGGCGTACCGGCCTGATTTGAGCGTGAACGTGCCGAACTTGAGGGCGCCGACGTCTTCTGCGTGCTGCAGAAGATCCTTTTGGTACGAGGTGAGCTCTGTGGACATCGTTGTAGAAGGACAAAGTGGAGGTTTGGTGACAAGAGATAACAAGATGCACAAAAATTATCTACGCGCTCGTCTGATTCTTAGATTTGCCTTTTGCAGCGAAAAGTCAAAAAACACGTGTACAAGAAAGACGCGTCGCGTCGCGCCTCCCAATAACTTTCCAGGTACAAAAGCACAAAACAAACAAACATCACAAGCGACTACTCAGCCCCTTCTCCAGCACACACAACAGCACACCCTCGCCCACAATCGCGCCGACCTCAATCCCGCGTCCCCGACGGACGACATCCCCCCCTCGCGGCGCACGCACCGCCGTCTCCATCTTCATCGCGCTCAGCACCGCAACCGTCTCCCCTTCCTCTACCCTCACAGCCTTTGCCTCCGTCTCTTGTCCCTCCTCTGAACGAGCGGCAGTATCAGCGCGCAGAAGCGCCGGATGCAGTTCGACGATCTTCCCGCCCAGCGGCGCGCTGACGTGTGCACTGTCGCCCGGCCGCGCGAGCTCGTAGTCTGCCATGCTCGCGGCCGTGGCGAGGCGCGCGAGGTCGAAGTGCACCGCGGGGTGGTGGGATAGCGAGGAGGAGAGGGTGCCGGAGAGGTGTGAGGGGAAGGTGTTGTGTGCGAGGGAGGCGAGGGTGATGGTGTGGCGGCCTGTGGGGAACGTGTCGGTGCCCGCGGCGGAGGCGGGGGAGGGGACGGAAAGGGAGAGCTGGAAGGATGTGCCGGGTTGGATGGTTATCCCGCCTTGTGGATGGGCTGCGTCTGCTTGTGATGCGTTGCTGGTTTGGCCGGCTTGTGACGGGCGCTGTGGTTCCAGTCCCTTGACGCTCCGACGCTCCAGTGCACCTCGACCGAGCCGCAGAACATCTTCGAGGTTTCGCTCGAGCCATGTTGTGTCGATTCCGTCCTTTGCCCATGCGGGATGCGCAAGCACACCTGCTAGAACATCCGCGTTCGTTTTAACTCCACCGTTGTCACCACCAGTACCAACGCGAAGCTCCCTCAAAGCGCGCAAGGCGCGCGCAGTGGTTTCTTCCCAAGTCGCGCTGTGAATGATTATCTTAGCGAGCAGCGCGTCGAACTCGGTGCCAACCTCCCATTCCGTCTCCCGCTCGTCATCCTGGTTGTTAGGAGTGGCAGTCAACCACGTATCAACGCGTACACCGTGCCCGCCCGGCCACCGTACACCGGATGCGTGTATGCGGCCGGGAGAGAGGGCGAAGTTGCGTGAGGCGTCCTCGGCTGTGAGACGCAGCTGGATCGCGTGCCCGCGGGGTTGATGCTGGAGGGGTATGATGGAGGAGAGGGGAGGCGGAGAAGGGAGGGAGAGAAGCAGTTGGGTGCGGACGAGGTCGATACCGGTGATTTCCTCTGGGTGGAGGTTAGCACTTGGGGGATGATATAGGCGTATGGGGAAAAGTATACCTGTGACGGTATGCTCGACCTGCACCCGCGGGTTGATCTCGAGGAAGATGTGTTCGTGTGTTGAAGCGTTGAGCAGGAATTCAAACGTTCCGAGTCCCCTGTATTTCAGTGCCTTGGCGAGCTTGACGGACGCGGCGAGGACCGGGTCGACGACATTTCGGGGAAGGCGCGAGGGCGCGATCTACCAGTTCAAGTCGTTGAAACACACGCCTGGATAGTCGAGGTCGTACGAAGGCGTACCTCAACGACCTTCTGGAACCTCCTCTGCACGCTACACTCCCTCTCCCACAGATGAACCACTTCCCCATTTCCATCACCCACAACCTGCACCTCAACGTGCTTCCACCCCGGCCCAGCGAGCGCCTTCTCGACAAACACACGCCGCGACGGGCTCTCGCCGACACACCGCTCGAACGCCTCCTCCACCCCTTCCTCCGACGCGACAAGCCTGATCCCGCGCCCACCGCCTCCGTCCAGCGCCTTGATGATAACGGGGTACCCAACACCAGCGCCGCGTGCGAACGCGCGCACGTCGCTCGCGGAAGATACGAGCGCGCCCGGTGCGACGGGGACACCGTGCGCGCGGGCGAGCTCGCGCGTGGCGAACTTGTCGGATGCGATGCGGAGGGTGGACTCGGCGGGGCCGATGAAGGTGATAGGGATGGTAGGTGCGGGTGCGTCGACGAGCAGGTGCGCGAGGGCGGGGCTTTCGGAGAGGAAGCCGTAGCCTGGGTGGACGTGCGTGCATTGCGTGCTGTTGTAGGGTGTTTGTGATGAGGAGGCGGGGGAGAGGAAGGTGTACGCACCTCAGAGCGATGTTGAGGATGCGTTCGGGTAGCATGTACTCGGCGGCGGAGGCCAGGTGGACGGCTTCATCGGCGAAGGTGGCGTGGCTTGTGTCACCGGAGGTGTACAGGGCGACGGTCGTCCATCCTAGCTCGTGGGCGGCGCGGATGATGCGGATTGCGACTGCATGTAGGCGAGGTTGAGCGTTGAGTCGATTAGCGGATGTGGGGACGTACTTTCTCCGCGGTTCGCGATGAGCACCTTGGGCATGTCGACGGCTAGGCTTGGGCGAGTCGGCTTGGCTGGTGGATAGAGGCCTCAGCAAGATCAAAGGTGCATGTGGGTGTTGTGGGAGCGTGGGGTGTTGACGAGGTCATGCTTCACGATGGTCTGTTCTGAACAGGCATGCATGACCTGTGATAACCCAGCACATATCTCTCCCCGACGTCCACCAGGGTCTATCGAGCGACGAGGATGTCAGACGGAACGAAACCCAAGAGCAAGGACGAGGGCGTGAAGGATGACGGCAAGGACTGGAAGGTGAGTTCGTTCCCCCTATCCCCGGCTCTCATGTCCTCGCTACCCCGCAACCGCGCTACGTATGCTCCACCACACCTGAACTGACCTCTCGGCGTACATTTATCAACTACGGCGAGCATAGCCAGCGCTCGCCGAGCTCGACCACGTCCACTCCCTCGTGCGCACCGCCAACTCCAACGACCCAGGCTACGCGCGCCAAAAAGCCGCCAACAAGCTCTGGGTGCGCGAGCGCCTCGACGCCCTCCTCGACGCGCGCTCCTTCTCCGAAGTAGGCTCTGTCACCGGGACGCCGGTGTACGACGGCGATGGGAAGCTACGCGAGTTCCGGCCTGCGTGAGTTCGCCTTTGACACAATTCCTGGGATGTGTGCGGTGAACGAACGGGTTGGGACAGGAACGCTATTATGGGCTTTGGGAGGGTCAACGGGCGCCGTGTATTTGTTACGGCGGACGATTTTACTGTGCGCGGAGGGCATGCGGATGGGGGGATACAGATGAAGGCGCCGGCGGGCGAGGTGCGTGGTTTGTCCCTTTGCTGTGCGGGGGGCTTACTAGAGGCGATGTAGAATATGGCTTGGAAGTCCCGTGTACCACTGGTCTGCGTTTACTTTTGGATCATAGTCTGATATTATTCTCACTTCGAAAACACCATAGATCCGCCTCCTGGACGGGTCAAGTGGAGGCGGAAGCGTCGCGACGTGTATGTTCTCATCTGAGTAGTCCTGCCACGCAGTTCCACTCATTTGCTTGTAGATCTCACCATGGGCGCGACGTACATCCCACTCCTCCCTGGGCTTAATCAAAGCATGTATGCGCTGTCGACCGTCCCCGTAGCTAGCGCCCTGCTCGGACCTGTCGTCGGGTTGGCAGCCGCAAAGGCAGCCATGAGCCACTTCAGGTATGTTACCCACACGCATCATCATCTGGCATCTAAAACTTCTGGCATGGTCCAGTGTAATGGTCAAAGGCCTCAGTCAGGTCTGCCTCTCAGCAAAAGCACCCGCCCGCAAACCGACTAACTAGTAGAATACCACAGCTCTTCGCCGCCGGCCCACCCGTCGTCCGCCAAGCCACATTCGAAGACCTCTCCAAAGAAGACCTCGGCGGCTGGCACGTGCACGCGACGAACGGCACCGTCGACAACGTCGCCCTCTCGGAACCCGACGCGTTCGCGCAGATCGCGCGCTTCCTCTCGTTCCTCCCGCAGTCCGTCTTCGAGCTACCGCCTCGCGAAAACGACGGCGGTACTGCAGATCCGGTGGACAGGCGCGAGGAGGCGCTGGTCAGTGTTATACCGCGGCGGAGAGCGCGCACGTATGATGTCAGGAGCATCGTGCGGATGGTCGTTGATAAGGCGCAGGATAAGGAGGGTGAGGAGGGGTCGACGTTCTTTGAGATTGGGGCGACGTGGGGGCGGGGGGTCGTTACTGGGCTCGCGCGCCTCGGCGGGTGGTCTGTGGGTGTGCTGACGAGCGACTGTACGGTCGGCGGAGGCGCGCTGGATGCGCTTGGGAGTCAGAAGGTGGCGCGGTTTGTGGGGATGTGTGATCATTTTGGGTACGTTGGTGTTTTATCCTGCTGGGCATTATCGAAGGGCGGCGTCTAATGTACGAGCGTTCTTGCCTAGGTTACCGATACTTAACCTCGTGGATCAACCGGGGTTTGCAGTTGGTACGTCCGCCTCACACACCTTTGGTGAACTGGAAACCTATAATCCGCTCCGCCACATTATAGGGTCCGCAGCCGAACACACCGCAACGATCCGCCACGGCGCCTCCGCAATGGCCGCCCTGTGGAACGCGAGCGTACCCCTCTACACCGTCATAATGCGACGCGCATTCGGCGTAGCAGGCGGCGCGTTCGCCGACCCCTCAGACGGAAAGAACACGCGCGTGGCTTGGTGCGTCCCCACTCACCCCCTTCTGCCCGCCCCTTTCTGGGTGAACTGACGCAAAACGCAAAACGCACAACGCAGGCTCGGGCGACTGGGGCTCGCTCCCGCTCGAAGGCGGCATCGAGGCGGCCTACAAGCGCGAGCTCGACGCGGCGCCGACGCCACAGGCGAGAGAAGTGCGCATGCAGGAGCTGCTAGACCAGTTCGAGGGCGTGCGCGCGCCGTTGCGCACTGCGCGCCAGTTTGGGATCGATGAGATTGTCGATCCGAGGGATACGAGGAGGTTGGCTTGTGAGGTGGGTTTTACTTTGTGTTTTTTTTTTGCCTTTAGTCGTTGACGTACATCGGTTATGTAGTGGGTGGAGCATGTGTACACGGCCGTGTTGCCATCTAGGTTGGCGGTGAAGCAAGTTGCCTACGGGTGGACAGGTAGGACGCCGGTGGGGCAGGGTTACAAGTTATAAGTCAAGAGATGTGGCATTCATACATGATTTTGAGCCTGCTACAAGATGATGATAGCAAGAGGGATTGTCTATTCTTTGAGATCGTCCCCGAATGCTTCCTGTATCATCGACGTGAAGTCTATTTGAGATGCACCTGTCCTCTTCCAGCATCTTGTGCTATTAGACGAGAAAGCACATTCGCGAACTTGAGCCAACTTGAGCACAGTTTGGACACCTAACCTCTCAACGTCTCTCATAGACAACGGCTCCTTCCTTCGAGCGATGTCTTGAAATGAAGGGATCTTCCAATCGGGTATGTTCAGATCTTGAGCGAGTCCTGCCCTCTCCACCGGATCCTCGGCCGCCAGATTCCACAGTTTTTCTTTGGCATAGTTGCTCAGAGCCGTCATCTCCCAACGCTGTGATAGCTTGTACACAGCAACCCACGCTTCTATAGTGTTCGGCTCGGACTGATTAGGATCTTCTGCATGTCTGAGTGGTATCGCGTCAGCCAGTCCTCATCCGTTTCAAGGAAGATATCTAGACTGACCTGGAAAAAATGGCTCGCAGGAGCTGTTTGAAGTCCCAGACCTTTGTGCCCTCCAGTACAATAGGAGCACTATTGCTCGCACCCTCTCCATCATTGTTCGGACCAACGGGAAGCTTGAACATGTCCCGAAATACGGCGGAGGTTTGTTGCAGGATCACGCGTGGGACGCAGAACAGCGTATCTTCCACCTGTGCTGCGACAATAGATCGTGTCAGTACCATGGATTTGTGGCGCTGCAGCATCTGGTATGCGTAGGCAACTTAAAGGTGCTGGCACTCACGCAAATCACGACATTCTGGAAGTAGAAAGTATCGTCTTCTGTCCGAATGTCGGCGCAATTCGTCGTCATGAGTTGAGGTAGTAACAAAAAGTGGGAAAATGGTGGGCTGGGATTGAGAGTGCCACTACTGCGTACTTCCCCCCTCCCCCCTGTTTTCTCACCCCTTTTTACCGGTGACTGGTTCAAGCGCAAAACGCAGGTTCTTGAGTGGCTGTGGCTTGCTGCCGCTCGGATGTGGCGTCGAGGTGGCCTACAAGCGCGAACTCGACGCCACACCGACGCTGTAGGCGAGAGAAGTGCGCGTGCGGGAGCTGCTGGCGCAGTTCGAGGGTATGTGTGCGCCGTTGTGGAATGTGCATCAGTATGTGATTGATGAGATTGTCGACCCGAGGGATAAGAGGAGGCTTACTTGTGAGTTGCGTTTTACTTTGCGTCTTTTTTGTTTTTCGATTTGGTTATTGACGTACATTGGTTATGTAGTGGGTGGAACATGTGGGCCGTGCACTGCTGTATTGACGTCCAGGTTGGCAGTAAAGCAAGGTGTTTATGGGTGGACAAGTAAGATGCCGTTGGGACAGGGTTACAAGTTATAAGTTAGGAGATGTGACATTCGTGCATGATTGTGCTACTGGCTGCTACACGATAATGATAGCAGTAGGAACTGTTCAGTTTTCCTTGAGATCTTCCCTGAATACTTGCCGGATCCCCCGAGTGAAATCTACTTCAGACGCATCGTATCTGCCAGACACAGACCAATAACACCCGTCTCCAGCAGATCGAACACCTTCGCGAACATGAGCTAACTTGAGTACCGTTTGTATACCTAACCTCTCAACTTCTCTCATGGACAATGGATCTCGTCTTTGGGCAATTTCATTGAAGGCTGGGACCTTCCACTCCAGAATATGAAGATCTTGGGCAAGACCCGCCCTCTCCACAGGATTCTTCGCCAAATCCCACAGCCTCTCTTTCGCGTGCTTGCTAAGAGCCCCCATCTCCCAACGTTGTGATAGCTTGTAAATAGCCGTCCACTCTTCTATCGTATCCGGATCCGACCGGTCAGGCTTTACGGCATATCTTGAAGATGTATACATAAGTTAGGTCTGATCCATCTCAGGTAGTATGAACGGACCTGCAAAACAGAGCTCGCAGCAGTTGCTTGAAGTCCCAAACAGTGACTCCATCAAGGACGATGGGGTCCTTGCTACTTTCGCCTTCTCCGCCATTATTTGGTCCAGAAGGAAGACTGAACATGTCGCAGAAAACGTCGGAGCTCTCTTGTAGGACCACGCGTGGAACGCGAAACAGTTTATTTTCAACCTGTACGGTGACCGTACCATGGTCAGTGTCATACGGTCGTGGAGCTGCAGCGTGGTTGGCTCTGATATGATACTCACCCGGATCACGACGTCTTGGAAGTAGAAATCATCGTCTTCAGTTGGGATAGCGAAACTCATCGTGAACGTGAGGGGTTAAGAGGAGGAAAAGGGGTGATGGACTGTGATCAAGGGGGAGATTACGTACTTACGTAAGGTGATGAATAGATAGCACGTCAGGCGCCTCAGGTGCAGCCGCACCTTCCTGATAACTATCTGGGTGTCAGAAGAAAAAGTTTCTTGCGACCTGTGTTCGAAGTCGTCGCAGGTGTTCAAAGAAATCGAATGTTTACAGCATTTAAGCAAGATAATCACTGCGCTCAACTATTCCAACTCGACCCCAGCCATTAGAGAAAAGTTGATTTTGCCTCAGCGTTTAACGTTTAACGTTGCAACGTTGATCCTTGAGGTAGGCACGAGGTGATAACGGTTTAGGGCCGGCCTGACCTGTGCGCTGGGCGTCTGTCCCTGTTCGTAGTCACTCTGGTATACATCTCCAGGACTGATCTCAATGCATGCGTAATAACCGAGAGGATGGTTGATACAAATTTAGGTCCAGGCGAGCAAGCAAACTACAGATATGAGCATATCGCTCGCAATATTGTCTCTCGGGCGCTTGTTTTTGAGGACCACAAGAAACGTTCTAGTAGCCTGTCAGGCGTCCGCGTCAAAGCTGATCGATGATCTTGCATGAGCATGTCCTCAAACTTGCATCAATTTGCTCCAAGTACTGTTCTTGGAGCCTTCGCGTTCTTTTTTATGATTGCGACGAGGGCGCAGAGTTAGCTTGGTACCCAGAAGGCAAACTCAGCCACTTTGACTGGAACAGGACGTCCTTGGGGCATCATCCATGCTGACTTGCCAAAGCTAGTCGCACAGTAGTACATTCTACATCAACTGCACGTTTACCCCACTGCAGAATTTAATGCCCTATATCCTGCCCTCATCGATCATCGAACACGTCCCGATCAACTGTGGCGTCACCACACTCCCACATATGGACACCGCAATTGAAAATTGGAGTTTGATCATGGCCGTTGCGGTAAACCAGGTTTACTCGTGCTCAACCATCGGTCGGGTAGCAGGTCTCTTTGGCGATCGGCGGCTCCGACGCTTCCATCCGACAAGCGTAAACCTGCCCTTCATCGAAACACGGGTATGGGACCACATATTTTAGTTCATTTACTGGTGAGGTTGTACTTAGGATCTCTGAACACCAATATTAACCAGGTCCCTACAAACTTGCAGGATCTCACTACAAAACCACCGGACGACAATATTTGGTGAGTACTTGGATGGCTTTTAAGGTAGTGCGACGTGAGATTACGCTCACACCATATAATCATCCTTAGAATCCGCGTACAACATTCCGCATGGGTAATAAGTCCAGACATGAGGATATGTTCCGTAGCAAGGGTTCGACGTTGATTGTACGTGAGACTGTCTTTTTGATGAAATTAAGATAGCCTTGCGCTGGCGGCATTGCTTACTAGCTTTGGGTAATCGGAATTATAGGCAGCCTTGCCAGTTACACGTCTTCAAGGACTCCGCTTTGCGAGTCAAGAACCACAGCTACAGTTATTCGACTTCGGTACGCTTGAGGTGCATATCTTTCATTTTGCCTAACCTGAATCGTAACACATCCCTAACATGTGAAAACTCTATTCACCAATTCGTCCTACTCCATTGTCTTCATATCAAATCTCAAGTTCTCCAGCAAAAATTCCTTCGAGTGCCGAGGTAAAGTCTAATCTCGATGCACCCCTGCTCCCAACACATTTGGCGCCCTTCAGATTGGTTGCAATACCTTCACGAACGTGAGCCAGCTTGAGTACTGTATGAATTCCCAGCCTTTCGACTTCTCTCATAGACAGTGGCTCGGCCCTTCGTACGATCTCCTGGAATGCTGCGACCTTCCAATCAAAAATGAATAGGTCTTGAGCGAGACCTGCCTTCTCCACCGGATCCTCCGCCAAATCTCCTAACCTCTCTTTTGCATACTTAGTCAACGCCACCATCTCCCACCTCTGAGACAGCTTGTACACGGCAGTCCACTCGTCGATGGTTCCGGGCTCAGATTGGTCAGGCTTTGCGGCATACCTTAAGTATGTCAATATATAAACAACAAATAAAATTAATCCATCTCCGACATTACCTGCAGAACAGAGCTCGCAGCAGTTGTTTGAAGTCCCAAACCTTGATACCATCGAGGATGATAGGGGCCTTGTTGCTCGCACCCTCTCCATTATTGTTTTGACCGGAAGGAAGGCCGAACATGTCGCGGAAAATGTCGGAACTCTGTTCTAACACAAATCGCGGAACGCAAAACAGCGTGTCTTCCACCTGTACAATGATTACAGGTTGCGTCAGTAAATATTGTGGTGTTGCGGCGCCTAGCGCGACCTAGCGTACGCAGGAGGTGCTACTCACGCCTATCACGACGTTTTGGAAGTAGAACGTATCATCTTCTGTCTTGTCGACAATACTCATCGTGAATTGGAGTAGCAAAAAAAGGGGATGATTGAGGCTTAGGAAGAGATTCTGTGCTTCCGATGTTGGGAGATGAATGAATGGACAGTGCGGCGGCCCCTGTGTGAGGTCATACACAACAAGTCTGGTCATGGGTGCATGGTGATTGATCACCTTGAGAACACAAGGTCATCATCCCATGACCACCACAAGAGACTCACGAGATATTGGGTTCTCGAAGCGACTTGGACATCAAAGGGATAATATGGTGACGAAAGACGCTTGATTGCGGCTCGCTGGATTGACTACATTCTCCATCGATGCGAAAGCTACAGCACTGCGCTCCAGTCTCTCACTGACTCGGGCAAGAGAAACAGAAACTACATGCCAGAGTCTGAGTGGGCCATGGGAGTCAGCGCGACAACTTCGTTCGGAATTGTAAACGGCTTTCATGCATATTTACTCATTTATATAAGACAACACAAACGGCTACGTTTCTTCTTCAAGAAGTTGTTGCAATGTCAAGATAGTAACTATTGTACTCAGCTTAAGCGATATTAGCGCTCATCTTCATCTTGACACCTTCCGTCTCGTTCGCAGATCATCCGTCGCTACTCACTTCGCCTCGACTCCCTGGAAAACTCAGCGCTCAGGCTTCCCTGCGGCCGCGGGATGCCTCTGTGTCCGTAGCGTACTAATTGCTGACCTGCAAGACTGCTCGGTGCGTGGGCTCAAGCGTATGTCTGTTGTTCTTCGACCGAGGATAGGCTGAATGAAACCACTCACTTGGACGATTGGACGAGAAAGCTGATTGGCTTGTGGTTGCTTCGCGGACGGCCGGACGGCAGTCGCCAAGTCACCAAGTTATTAAAGTGCTAAATGGTGCTAAATAAAGAACTGCTGCGCTTACTTCTCTGCCGACCCTGCACGGCTTGCACACGCGCTCATCATGCTATGTCCGGTCCGGAAAGCGGGTTACATGGCTCGCGCTGCTCGTCGTTCTCTGGAGGAGCTCGAAGTCGACGAGGAGGGCATAATGTATATGCCACGCACCTGGAGATTCTGTCCACCGCAATTGACCTTCGCGTTGCCGATCGCTGGGTATTATAATGCGACCCTGCGTTGATGTCGCGATGCAAGCACGTTCGCGTCGAAGGCTTTGTAATTTTAGTCTTCGACTAACCACGATATTGTGGAGCATTGCTGATCGGAGGTGAATGCTTTCACAACTTCTGTGCTTCGGACTTACCACCTTCTCCCACAGCGTATAAAACCCTCAGGCGCATCGTTCCATCCTCCCTTTTTCCATCTCTCTCTCGTCGCACCAGCACACATACTTGAACCCGTCTCTGTCTCTATCTCCCCGTCGTTCTTTCACCTTCCATCCTCACCAACCCAACCCCAAACCAAACCATGTTCGCCTCCGCCGCTCTCCTCATCTCCCTCGCCGTCGCCGCCGTCGCCACGCCCTTGGCACACACTCCGATCCGGAGGGCAAACGACACCGCCACCGTCCAGTTCACGCCGTACAACTCCGCCTCGTGCCAGAACGCCAACACCGAGTCTGCGACACGGGCGAAGACGTTTGTCGTGACGGCCGCTCACTGCGTCACGCCTGGCTACTCGTTCGTGTCGTATATTGAGCAGGCCAACCATATGGCGACTGTGGAGCCTTGCACGTTCACCATGTTCCCGCAGGCGAACTGCGCTGGTGCGTCTGCGTTTTCTTCCTGCCTTGGTTAGCGACTGGTTTCAGAGGATGATGCTAACCTTGCTGTGCTACACAGGAACCGGTGTCTCCGCCAATCTGACCGAGTCCTCCCAGTGCGAGACCGTTAGTGGCCAGAGCTTCAGACTCGACTGCAAGGTTTAAGCCATCCAGAAGGGCACAAGAGGGGTTATATACCGTCTGAGTTGAAGGAGGACGCTGGAGTTTTTCGCCGCGACGAATAACCTTACTGATATGCTGGTCTTGCCGGGAGACGTACCCACCTTCGTTTTTGTATACCTTCGTTTATAGTTTGCTGTCGGTGCTTTTGGCAATACCCAGATTTTTGGAATCCGTCTAGCTCTCCGAGTAAAAGACATCAGTTTCCGTCTGAAGGGACGGTTGTTGGAGCAAAGAGAAGGTTTGGGACTAGAGAGGGTGATCGCAGCACCTTGCGGACTCGGAGCTCCTTGAAGCTGACTCGCCACTGGCGAATGGCTCCTGCATACGGATCCAAGTAAGATCCAAGGTACGATACGACCTCATATCTTGTCATCCAGAAAGCTTCTTGTAGACTTGATGTCTTTAAACTAGCCAAAGGAGGCTGCACGAGCGATGCGAAGAACGAGAGGGACTCAAGTGGGGGTAGCTGAGAGACGTTAGAGCGACTCGGAGTTGGGCTGAGCGAGGTGGCAAGGTAGATATAGGAAGCCGAGTTGCCGCCATGATCAACTTTATGAGCGATTGGACTTTAAGCAACGAAAGTGACAGGCTGTCGGCTGCTGTCAGCCATATTGTCAGGCACCGAGCGGGACGACAGCGCCAACGTGATGACGCTGCAGAGGAACAAGGCAGGAGCCGGACGTTTACTCCAACCCGCACGACACAAAAATGTTGGCCGCTATCGTTGCTGTCCCACCCCTGAACGTTGAACACCCCTCTTCGACCAACCACGCATCGTCCATCTACACGAGCACTATTAGTAGTGTCTTGATATCGCCAGATGCGTAGCTGAGCACCATGCCCTCCCTCCCAGCCATCATCCCCGGCCTCTGGCTCTCCTTCAACCTAGGCACGAATCGGTCCGATCTCGAGAGAGGCATCCGCCGCCGGGATTACCTCTACGATGACGACGACGGCGACGATCACGCCGACCCTCCGCCCATTCGCGAAAAGACCTCTCCCACTGCTGGACCCACCGCAGACCGCACCCTCACCGCCTCGCCAACCCAGGACGAGACTGCCAAGACGCAGAAAAGCCGCAGAGCCAAGCGCAGCCAAACCGCAGGCTCTCGCATCGACGCATACACCCCCTCGTGGGTCGCCCGGCTCAAGGACTTCCTCTTCCCCTCGCTCACCGCGCAGGACGTCGAGACCTACGCGCCGTACTACCGCCTCTCGCCCATCATCTCGGGCGTGCTCATCCCATTCTCGATCCTCCTCGAGATCCCGGGCGTCACCGAGCGCTGGTACATCACCACGGACGATGGCCACATCGTCGACACCAAGCCCAACCCTGCTATTCTCGATGTGGGGCTCGCGCTGAGCATGGCGTGCGCGGTCGCTGCGAATGTGACGCTTGTGTTTAGGTTTTTGGAGAAGAGGGTGAGGACGGCGACGATCTTTTGTGTTATATTTCTGTCTACGCACGGTGTGTCTCGCTTTTCTAAGAGGGTTGAGCGTCTTCATGATCATCCTTTAGATATCATCAACATCATCGCTGTCACCGTGTTCGGAGTGGAGCATCGTTTCGACGATGGGTACACGTATGGCCAGTCCTTCTGGATGACCGTCTGCTCAACAGCAGTGTCGACCCTCACCAACATCTCCCTCATCGCCGACCTCATTCGGATCAAGGACTTTGACAAGCATGGTCAGTCAGCCTGCTCTCCCCTATATGTACTCCCCTCTGACCTTCCCCTCCCTCCCCCTTATTAACGTGACAGGAAGCGGCCTAACGCGCAAACAACGCTCCCTCGTCATCCTGAACATCGTCCTCTTCTCCTACCTCGCCCTCGGATCCCTCATCATCGTCTTCCTCATGGAGCTTTCCTTCGTCAACGCGCTCTTCTTCGCCGTCGTCTCCATCGAGACCGTCGGCTTCGGCGACATCACCCCACAGACAACCGGCGCACGCATCTTCACGTGCCTATACTCCGCCTTCGGAATCATCAACGTCGCAGTCGTCGTCGGGCTCTTCCGCGAGACCGTGCTCGAGGGGCTCGAGGTCGGCTACCAGCGGCGGCTGAACGGGCTCCGCGCGCGGCGCAGGCAGGGGCAGGTGCGCAAGCGCGCGCAGGCGCGGTGGCGGGAGGCGGTCGCGTGGAGGCTGCGGAACCAGGGATCGCGCGTGTGGGTCAGGGACGAGCACGAGGGCAGGCCGCGCCGTGCGCCGGTGATGCGCGTGCGCGATCAGCTGGTGGCGTGGTGGTATGCGCTCCCGAATGTGCGCGATGCGGACGGGGCGAATCATGCGAATGGGCGGAGGCTGAATCTGGAGGCGCTGGAGCAGAGTAAGCTCGAAGGGGCGGCGATGGAGGCGGGTATGCCGCTTGATATGTTGCTCCCGCCCGAGTTTTACGAGCGCCAGCGAGAGAAGGAGCGGGAGCAGGAGCGCGTGCGGGAGCTCGAAGGGGAGACGCAGAGTGTAGCGGGCATGCTCGACGGCGGAGGCGACAACGCGCTTCATGCTACGGAAACGCCCAACGGCCACGACCACGCACAGAACCCGACATGGAACATGCTCAACCCCGCGTACCAGCAGAACGCGCGACAGGCGCCCGTCTCGCTCACGGGCCGTCGCATCGGCACGATGGCGGGCATGCTCACGCGCCTTGGGCTTGCCGTGTTCGAGATGGGCGGGCCTGTACACGATGGGGCCGCCGGCGACGAGTTGCGCGAGGTGGAGGGGGATGACGAAGAAGGCGGGGACGCGAGCGCGCCGGATCCGAGCGAAGATTTGTTTGGTGGTGCGACGAGCGACAGTGCGAGTACGGACGATCTAGGCGCGGAGTACCATCGCGTGGTGATCGAGACGGAGACGAAGGCGTTTTATACGCGGTCGACGGTCGCTTGGACAGTGTTTATCCTGTTTTGGACGGTTGGGAGCGCGATTTTTATGGCGACAGAGGGGTGGTCTTATGGGATTTCCTTTTATTTCTGTGAGTTGCATTTTTTATTTCATAGAGGGAGCTGGAGGTGCTGATGGAGGGTGTTGGATAGGTTTTATTGCTTTCACGACGATCGGCTATGGCGACTATGCGCCAACAACTACCACAGGCCGGTCGATTTTCATCGTCTGGGCTATGCTTGGTATCGGCACGATGACGATCCTCATCTCCAGTACGTCTCATCCCCCTTTTCTTCTACTAAAGCCAACCCAAACCCATGTCACACAGTCGTATCAGACGCCTACTCCTCGCAATACAAACACATGCTCAAAAGCCGTGCATTCGACAAAGCCGTCTCGCGATACCGCAAGCGCACCAAAGAAGACTTTGACGAGCGCGTGCAGGAGCTCACAGCAGCGCGCGTCGCGCCCTCCATCCGCTTCCACCCGCACACGAGCGACCCGACCCTGCTGAGAGCGCGCGCGAGTGCACAAGCGATCGGCCAGGATTCCTCCTCTACCACCGTCGACAGCGCCTCGGAGGTGTCCTCTGCGACCGCCACTGCGACCGCTTCTCCGAGCCCTTCGGGGTCGGGATCAGGCTCAGCGTCGGTGTCGATACCAGGCTCGCTGAACGAGGCCGAGGAGCAGACGTACGCCGACTCGATGGAGCGCCTGCGCCACACGCAGGGGCCCATCGCGCCCTTCTCGGCGTCGCTCGCGCCCGCGCACGAGCGCGCGTTGGAGCATGCGCAGCGCGCGCTGGAGGCGCTGCCGCATGCTGTGCTGGCTGAGGCGCGTGCGTTCCAGAAGTACGTGCGGTATGTGGGCGACGGCGGGGAAGGCTCGGAGGACGTGGCGCCGGGGGCGGTTGAGCGGGACGAGGGCGTGGAGGAGCGGTTGAGGGTGATGTTGGATGAGGTGATGGGTGATGCGCAGGGACAGAGGAGTAAGGGCGGGTTCGGCGGTGCGAGGACGAAGGCGGATATTTTGAGGGATCCGGAGGCGAGGAAGACGTTATTCACGTTGAGTGTGGAACGTGGGTTTCGTGTCTTTTGCGGTTGTGTTGTTCCTTTCTGACTTGTGGTGTTTCTTTGTCAGGCTCGCTCAAAGAGCTCATGAACATCGCCGAACACGCTGTCGCTGCGCTCAGTGAGCGCGACCGGCTCACGGGCATGATTGAGCATGAGAGGCAGTTGACGCAGGAGGGAGAGCACAGTCCGCGCCGCACCGCATCTCGCTCTGGCTCTGGGCCTGCCGCTGGTTCTGGCGTTGCCACTGACGGCCTCCGTACGGATGAAAACCTGGACTCGAAAACAACTAACAATTACACCTCGAACGCAGACCCAAGTCCGAGTTCCTGATAACGCACGCAACATCTTGGGGATGCATCCTCGCTTGTACGACCTGGAACCCATCAATGGCATGAAACATTTACGCATATTCCAACATCATCTTATCAATCTTCGTGGGTTGATCTTTTCCACCCATCTTTCTCGTGTTTGATCTCACGGACCTGATTGTCACGTCACGGTGATGCACACAGAATGATATCCTACGTATACCCCGCAACCTGTATCAATAGCATACACGCAAGCAGCTGATTGAATGCATGCATCTCTCAGCTAAGTCGCCTCGCCGAGTGAACCCGGCAGTGCAGACAATACATGTCACGGTCCTGCTTTGCCATTTTCACAAGGGAACGATGATCGCATTTGTTGCTTATTCGGAACGTCGCATCGCTGCTCATTACACTTTGTGCCTGAATACTGCACCTACGGGAAGTATGACATCACACCTTTGTTTCTCGGATATCCTCTTCCTGTAGAGATGGTTCATGCTTCCGTATGTCGAAGACTGGCCTGAGGGCCTCCTATCGATGAATACTGAGAAAACGCTACAGCACCTAGAAGCGTGCAATCCTTACCTGGGACTGTCCCTCTTCCGCTCCACGACTAGACAACTCGGCGTCGAACGGGTAGGGCTGCGTGTAGTAACGACGGCTATCATGAGCGAGGAAGATCACGGCACACAATATACTCACCGTGCGATAGCTCAGAGGGGGAGGTATTCTCCGTGATAACCGACGTTCTTGAGATGTGGTTTGCTGTTCGACTTCAAACGAGCCGTCCTCGCTAGTGTGAATGGCGCTGTTGCCGCGTCGCGAGTTCAAGCTGTAGGGTGTCAGAACTTCCATCAGGCTCACTTCGGATGATCTTACATTGCGAGGAAGGAATTCGTGTATACTGTCGCGCAAATAATTCCGTGAGGTCGTGAAAAGAAGCCTGTGAGGAGGGGGATATGCAGAACTCACGTTTGCTGAGGCAAAAGAAAATGCCGATGTATACGAAGCTGTTGGGCATTGTTATGGCCTGGAGCTCCTTCAGTCAAGCTATGTACTCATTAAATTATGGTTTGTCTTACGCATATGACGGCAGATAGAGTGAACAAGCTAGTCGTTAGTACAGTAGCCTGTTAGCTTCAGGTCGCATAAACATAGGTTCAACTCACCTGGTCAGTAAACTCGTATTGATCGAGTATGCGACAACCCTATCGATCAACGTATCTGTCCTACAAGTAAGAGGGACTCGGTATTCCATACCCATTGATTAAAATGATAAGGATAAACGCACTTGTCGAAGCCAGTACGGCTGTTCCACAATATCCAACACAGGCGAGAAGTGATGATACAGTCAACTATCATGCCTGAGCCGAGGGAAGAAACCATGATCCACTGGATAATGACGATGAGCATTTAGCAGTTGATCAAAATTGGTCATGGCACCTCATAGCGTCTGAAGTTCTCGTATGACTTGGCAATGAATCTGATGTGAAACATTCGCAGGTTTTCTGTTAAATATTGAAATGTCTAGCGAGAAATGATATCTCACGAGAGTACCGACACGCCTGATATTACTCAGTCCGGAGCAGCCAGCGATAGAAATTGAATGTACTCACTGATAGACAGGACTTTGGAAAAAATCAATGCAACTCATGAACACGTGTACGCATGCTTTGACGCTCAATGACATACCGGTTCTCAAAACAGCGAATGTTTCCTTTTCTGGGATTAATCGAAAACATAAATGGAGAAGTCACACCCTTCTTACCATGAAGATATAAAGAAGGAGCTTCCTCCCACTGACTTGATGAAAATCAGCATCCATGACCGAAAGTACCGTAGATCACTCTCACGAATGTAGACACGTCTCGCGAAGAACCTAGACCAACTGAGCATTTGACCGGTTTCATGCCAGGGGAACTTACGAGTGCGCTATGAGCGTGATGACACTCTTTTAAAAATATGTAAACACGACCGTGGACGTCATAGAGGCGAAAACGTACGGATACTGCTATTGAGAGCTAGATACAGGAGTGGTCTCCATGAGTAGTAGAAGGGATAGCATGTGAGGATCTTACACGCAAGCTCCTACAAAATAAAAGTCAACCCAGAAAAGTTCTAACATCCTTCCCACGTACCATATCCCGTAAGTTAATGCTTCAGGATTGAAGTAGTCAGAAACCATGTATGTATAGCTTCGCGTCCGATGAGCCGATTATTATTGTTCATGTTTATCCACGCACCATATGTTCATTATGCAAAGAGTGTGAAAAGTCTCCAATATCCTACAATATACGTTAGACTCTCTACGTTTCGATTGTGCATTTGATGTCTACCAAACAGAGCCGACCTGATGTTGCAGAGTTTGTGAAGTTGTCAAGGCCAGAATTCGCGAAAGTATTCATACGTACCAGGAACTTGGTGATCTTGCCGTCGTGAGGATACATCTGGAAGTATCGGTACGCCTGATGACAAACCAGTCCATGTAACCTTTATCGACGAATTGGCAAACTTGCGATCGATAAGCTATATTTATGAACGGTGACTCACGCGGCTGCACAATAACATCCTATCAAGAGCGCTCCTAGGGTGTTGTCCATCGCTGGCAGCACGGGGATGGTTGGCTGCGGCATATCGCTGGGGCCAGGGACCGCGGTTGAGGACATGTTCGTGTACAGTGGAAGGGAAAGGGGAAAGAGGGATCGGAGGCGCCTGCATACGGCCCGAAGGTGCTCTATATTCGTCAGTCCGAATACCGCCTGAGTAGCATTAAGCCGCAGGAAATGTAGAATGCCGTAAAGCGATGTACCGATGAGATGCAGATGGCGAATCAAGTGATGTTTGAGTTGCTGTACAGAATACCCACAGGTTCTATACCAAACAGATTGCGCTGAGTATACTTATGCCGTGCTGCCACAAGTACCTTCGTTTCCGACGGATCTATATCAACATTGGGTCAGATATCTGCTGCTTTAGATGTAGTTCCTGTTTGGAAACTTGACCGGCAGCCGATAAGTACCCTCAAACGCCAGAAGGTTGACGAACCGCGACAACGTACACATATACTAGTGTGACTGTGTGGTTTGATGTATCATCGCTATTAGTTTTCCAGTACGTCTGAAACAGGAGGACTTCAGTATGAATGTCTCATGATTCACAACGCTAACCTTTGCCACGGAAAGTAGGCGCGTGTAGATGGACCAAAGATGGACGCCCACAAAAACCCAGTATGTCCTAAAAGGTATCAACTTCACACGATGGACTCAGCCGCCGCAGCCTCGGCCTCAAGCGTCGGACTTGGAACTTTGTTTGCTTGAGTCATCAAGGCCTCAGTCACAGGCCCGGGATATCGATAGTATCACGCATACCGACAGACTTTATGTCCTACGGAAAGAGGGGACTAGGTGGGAAGACCTCTCTACTGGCTGAAGATGCTGATTGATTCTGAGACCAGCTAGGGCAGGGGCACTGTTAAGGGCACTACCAGGATGCGATCAAGGTCGATGAGATGCCACCACAACTGCAATTATTCGGTACATCAGATCACATGGCCACTATCCTTTTCGTAGGTCAGAACACGAGTTGAATCCAAACCTATGCCCTACCTGTGATGAGCGCTTCTGAATCCATATATATAGTATCGTTGGGTTATTCTCGGTAGGGGACCATAACCCATCTTTTCCGCTATGGTTATCGCGCTTGAAGAGACCTTGGCCGTGACATTACCTAACCTGAACTCGACTATGGGCGCTTTGTTGGTGGGAAGCTTCCTTGCGACTTTGTAGGCTCCACATCCGTATTCCTTGTACTTGAATATTCTCTGAACGGGTTCCGAAACTAGACTCTACGGAATAACATCGCATCAGTTCTTCCGGTACTTCCGCATGTATCCGCGAGACGAAGTTTCTCTGAAGGCCATGGTAAGCTGAAAATTTCCCGATATTAGGCTGAAGAGCCGATTTGACGTGGGTACCTGAGTAGGTTGGAGGACTTTGGTGCGTACATTGCAAGTTACAAGACTGAGAAGAGATACCTGACATACTTTAAGGTTTCTTGATTCTGTACATTTGATATTCTTTATGCACACTTGGTGAGTAGATATTTACCAACTACTTGAGAAACCAAATCTCTAAACATTGGTGGTGAAGTTACCACTACTTGGTCACCCACTATCTACAGCCGACGACTCTTGAACATGATGTATGGTGAGAGATTTCTTTACGATTGCTTTCGGCACCGCTCAATGTACATTTGTAGGTCGTTACAGGTACGCTATAAGTTTTCAACCAAGCGAAGTTAGGTATAATAAATGAGTGCAGGTAGCAGTCACTATAACAGTAAGTGTACGGCCTCGGTCTTGTATTATGACGTTCATAGTCACAGGCAGTCATTACTCTCATAACCCACTGGTGAGCCCTACGTGTTCGCATTGTGGTATGATACTAACTCAATCAAGCTTCTTTGCTCAGCGTATATATCACTGTAAGTTAGAAAAGCGAAACTCCCGTAACGCCGTTGACTTAGCCGTTCAGTGAATGGAGGAAATTGGATTTTCCCTTCGATCTTGGTAAGTATTCTATACATCGTTACTTTTTTGGTATAATCGTCTGACAGTGTACAGACAGTTGCTGCAATAGTGCGACTAGGTAAATACTCATGTTACCTGTTATTCTCTCCCTTATCGTTCCTCCTTCTGAATTGACAAGGTTTTGCCGTCGGTATGTTATATACAGCTTCGTCGTCTACTTTTGTGCTAATGATGTCAATTAGCTGTGACCGTATCGTCAGTCTCTGCTTCGGGAAAAGAACCCGGTATACTTCTCTAACTCTTGTCTCCATAGGTTCTCGCGTTTTCTGGAGCTAGCAACGTCACTATCGGTAAGTTGCCTAATTTCGCGAACTTCGACTGATTATTGACTCAGACCGATACAATAGTGGTTGGTATGCGCAGCTCTTGGTAGTGCCGCAATCTCGGATACAATACTCTCAGTCGCATTGTGCTATTACCTGCGAAACCAAAAGAACAATTTCTTTATGTAAGATACTTTCATATCGGTAAGATTGTGGTGGTATTTAAATACTGATTTGTTCCAGACTTCCCTTTTCCGTCGATAAAGCAACAGTTTGTCTGATAAATACAGGTGTCCTCACAAGGTTTGTTGCATACTATTGCATAGAGAATATCTCTGCTTATACGAAACCCAGCATTCTGATAGTTGCAGACGTGATTTGTGTAAGTCGTTTTTTCCCTTTGAAAAGTCAAAATTTGTGCCGGACCCACGACGCTGAAATATTGGTAGGCGGCCAGTATGCCTCACAACTTGATATATCTCGGGCTGTACTTTGTAGTCAGCAAACGTGAGAACTGTCGTATTTGTTTGCTCAGTCCTTCGCTGAGAACTAATTATAGTGTATGCGAACACACTCATGGCAGTGTAAGGATTTATAGGGTTTTCTTGCAATGGCCAACTACACGCTCAACTTTTGTTTCACAGTCTCAACGCCAGACGAAGTGGAATTGAAGCTTGCGAAGCTGGATGCTTTGATCTTGCAAAGCAGGTCCGCCGACGCGAGACCGGACTTGTGCAACTATCGGAGTTGCGGGCCGCACCACGCTTGTCTAAGGCAGGTCTCCATCGCTTACAAGTTCAGAGTCTTTGTCTTATGAGTTTCCACAGGTCCCTGACCATCCTAGTTTTACGATTGAAATTTCGCAACACGTATAGTTCATACGCGGTTCCATGTAGCTTGGCAGAAAATGAGCCTGCGATCGAACATGATACCGAACTTCAAGACCATCATCCCGCCCATCTCACATAGCGTGGGTGTGGGACGTTAACCATATTAAAGACTGCGAGACACAAGCCAGTACTTCGTAATGTTAACCGAGACAATGGACACTAGCCTCTATTTCGCCCATGCTGTGATCGCGCACGGCTTTACGCTGTTATTGTGCAGCACAAACATGATTGATGCATCACATTTACAGGAAGTCATCTCCTACACGTGCTACAACATTTATTTTTGTACTCGTATGTCAGCCATTCTGATGCCTAGCCCATCCTAGGTCTCTGGTTCACCCCTCCGTACAGCCTTCTTCTCCCACGTCTCCCCGACATACATCCTGCGTGGAGCATCGTACTGCGGGAAGTACCTGTATACGAGCACGTGGTCCTCGGGATACGAACGCAGCTCCGCCTCGATAATGGGCGCGGCTGCGTCACGCTCCGCGGGCGATACGGCCGTCAGATCGCTGACGGTGGCCCGGTCGACAAAGACAGGGCCGCGCGCACCCGGGGTGAGGTACCATACGGGCGGGGGGATGTCCGTAATATGGTCTTCAACGTGGAAAACCGCCTGCGGCTGGTATGCCGACGCATCCGCAGAAACAGCCGCAGGGGGAGATGGGACAATATTGATGTCGACATACCCTTCATACATGGTTCTATTCTTGGGTGTAACCTTTCTGTCCCAAGGCGTCCATTCATATTCATCGACCTCTGCGAAGAAGGGGTATGTGGATACTTGTACCGTGTTAGGCTGGATAGAGGGGTCATCTCGCTCTGCGATCGTGATTTGAAACCTGATCTGTTGAGCGAAGGTCGACCAGTGCGTCGCAAAATTGGGCATGGACTGATTGGAGATACTGATGGGAATAGAAACGGAAGTAGAGGAGGTGGTGACAACTACCCCTGCAGCTACCTGCTCGGTACTGGCGGGCGGAAGATAGGTAGGTTCGATGGGATCATAATCCCAGCGAGGGAATTTGTGCCGCTGGTACGCATCTTCCACCGCTTTCTTTACAGCATCTTGTTGAGTGCTAAAATCATGGGTAAGAGTGACGCCACTCCCGTGCTCTGTCGTGTCATGCTTCGCTAACATCAACGTGTGAAAGTAACCATCCATACTTGCATTCGTTGCAGGACCCGTCCTATGAAGAACGGCAGTCGCGTTTTCTGTACTCCCTAAGTGCTATCGGTAAAGTGGAACGACTGAATTAGGTTGGGATAAGGTACCTTGCATGTAAGTCCGACCGCTAGGAAGGGTGAGTTCGACAGAGTACATAGCGTTCGAATTGCTGCATCTGGGTTGACAGGAATCGCGAACCTCAACAGCAATAATCTCGGCGACCGATGGCTTTTCAGCAACGTCAATGACAGGTTGGAAAGCAGTGAAACCGGCGGGGACTTCAGTTCTAGTCCCGTTGATCATAATAACTTCCACAACGTATTCGTAGGCGAATTCTAAATTCGTCACCTAAACAGAGTCAGCTTCATAATACAACAAAGATTTCAGACTCGTACGCACGTCACCTAGTTTCGCGTTATTCATCAAAGACGTTTGCCCCATAGTAAGTGAAGGAACAGGTGGGAAGTTGGTGTTCGGTACCGAGACGGCAAAACTGGTTTCGAGATGGCTGAGAGTACATAAGTGAGCATCCCTTTTCTTCTACTTTGTCTGCCAGTACGTCACTCACTCAAAAACCAGCTCGTTCGCTTGAGATATCTGAGACGGATATAACGGCCGCCTGATGTCAAATAGCACCAGCTCGTCTTCAGATACGTCCCAGAGAGTTTGGTTGGAGTATGCCTTCAGGTACTCCACTTGCGCTTCACTAGGCCCAAATAAATTACGGTGGTGGGATAGGTGAACCTCCCACAGTGAGGCCGGCTCCATCCCCCACCTCGGAGAAAAGTGGGTGGTGTTGCGAGGGGGCTGATCAGGTAAAACCTCACCTTCGCGTCTACACACATAGGTCCATAAGTATGAAAAATAGCCGAGGCGTGTTTGTGCTTACACTCTTTTAGCAAATCGGCGTTCTTTGTATCGCAGGCCAAGGTCGACACTTTCAACTTCGCAGTGCCCCTTGGCTTGAACTCGCACATCGCCTTGTATGATGGAGTTGGGCGCCAGGTCAGGCGCACGAACCCATGCCTTGAAAGTGCAATTATCGGGGGAGTCGTCTGGTAGGGACGCTGCGACCTGTAGAGCCAGTGTGGCGGTTGCCAGCAAGGTAGTAAATGCTCTCTGGTACATGATGATTGTGAACGTAATGAGGAGGTGACAGGCTCTTCGACAGGCTGTTATATCTTTGGTTCAGGGCGCCTATCAACACAGCAAGATGTATGCCGGCACCACGACAAGATGCCGGCTGCATGGCAATAAGTCCAGTTACCTATGGATCCATCAATGTGCCTCAAACAAGTTACAAAGTCACGAGCGGAGTACGAGCTATACAAATGTATCTCAAGTAGCCCATAGCTACATTCTAACAGCAGTATAGTAGTTGGGCGGCATTGTGCTACCAGAGAGGAGTGGCGTCGAGGGTTAGATCAAGTCCGTGGTCGTTAGCAACAACATCACTAAATCGGGGGAAATTTTTCGGGGCATAATGGAGACTATGAGTATTATAAGATGACCGTTAATATAATTGTGTATGATCGTAATTGGCGACGATTCAACATCGTTTAAGTGTTAGCCCACTATCTGATAACGGGATTATCGTATCGTAGGGATCTTATCATTAAGTACCATATGGCAGTGAGCTTACCATGGACCAAAATTCGAGATAAAATTTATCGCGATATGTTGAAGCATAATAATCCGAATGTCATGTCAAATGTAATATGAACATTCGATTATAAGAAACTGTTCATAAACCGGTTAGCTACTATCGGAAGGCTACAATGCATCAAAATTTCAAGCTCAGCCTTGTCAGTGATTGCTTCGTCCTCATCCAAGAAATCTCCCTCATTTACCTGTTCTGCAGTATCCATACATCACTTTCCACCCAAACCTCCCTCGCCACCCTTTCTCTCCCTGGCAGCGTGTGGACTACACCCTGCTGTGCTGTAAGTGACACGCGTGAGGAGCCGTCACGTGATTATGTCGCAAGATTCCGTATAACTACATAGTACATCAGCCTCTGTCCGTACTCTGTACAATTACTTGTGTCTCGCTTTAATTCATTTGTTTTCTCAACCTCTTGTTCCTCCGCTCGTCTATCTCCTCTGCTCCTTTATCATCCTCACCCTCTTTGTTGTCACCAGCCCAATCCACCCTCGCCCTCGACGTCCTCCTCGCCGTACCCGAGCACACAGGCCATGCAACCAGCCACGCGCTCGTCTACCACGCCCTGGACTCGTCCCGCGTGCGCGTCGAGCCCACTAGGCGCTTCGTCCTCCTCGAGAGCTGGACCCTCGCCTTCTCCCCTGACTCTGCGTCTTCCTCACCATCTATATCCGCAGCCAGCTCCACGGCATCATCCAGCTCGGCGAGAACAGGAGACACGAGCACGACCTCGAGCGTATACGAGACCGAGGGAGGCGGGTCGGCGGCTGGTGGTACGGAGGGAGGTGCGGTGGCTCCGTCGACGACGTACAAGCACTACATTCCGCTCTTCAGGAGCCTGTACACGCTGTTGCGCATTCTCCCTGCCTGGCGCTTCTGCAAGCTGCTTCGCGGGCGACGCATGCCTGGGCCTAATAGGAGCTGCTCTCGTATATTGCTCATACTGTACTCACCCTTTGCAGATGCTAGCCTCAATAGATTCTCTTATATACTGTATTGTCTGCTGTAGAGTGTACTGTATTAATTGCAATGAATTTCTTGGTATTGAAAACCTCGTCGTGATTGCAAGTCGTTATAATGCACCTGTTGTGAGTTATAATAGCTGTGAGTACCATATGTTATTATCATGCCGTATCTGCTAATGATAACACGCCCCTTCGAGTAGATAATAGATTCTTTGCTATGATCATATCCCTGTGATCTTTCCTGTATGCTAAAAACGGACTTTACATGCTACTCGTGTCGGAGTCTCACCATTTCCCCGGTGTATGTTTGTCATGATCTGTGATGTCGGTCAAGGTCATTTACTTATCATTCATCCCCTCATTTAGTGATGAAGCACAGGCTGATGGTCTCTATCAGGGACTAGTACCGGTACTAATTTTGGTGTGATCAGTGACTCACTCCCACTACCCAGAGTGTCTTGATCTCGTCCCGTGAAACTTTCATGCTCACATACATCGCAAGTACGTACTGTCTCGAAGCTAGTCATCAGAGTAACTTACATTGTATCTAGCGCTCATCACATTGATCCGCCCAAATATTACATCTCGTACCTAAACTCAGAACTCATACTATCCATCCCATTCCATCATTTCTCACTCCTCTCCCCTTCACATGGTATTGAAACGACACCATTGACGAGTCGCTCGGATTCATCCTTATTCTCCAGGGTCTTATCCTTCCCCAGAACCTTTTTCTCCCACGTCTCCCCGACATACATCCTTCACGGATAGTCATACTGCGGGAAATACCTATGCACGTGCACCTCGTCCTCGGGGTATGAATGCAGCTTCGCATCTATCACGGGAGCAAGCGCATCCCGCTCAGCAGGCAGTTTTGTCAAGAGGTCGTCCACAGACGAGCGGTCCACAAAGACAGGGCTGCGAGCACCCGGGGTGAGGTACCAGACGGGCGGAGGCATGTCAGTTGCGGTGTTGCCAACATTGAAGATCTGCTGCTCTTGTCCTGCACTGGCCGATGGGCTCGCCTTGCCCGCGATGGGAGCTGAATCGGAAGGAGATATCGGCACAACGACCACTGGCACCTCTGTGATCCCTGTGTACGACGTCCTCTTCGTCGGTGGAACATCCGACGCAGGTTTTGTGCTCCACGGTGTCCACTCGTAGTCGTCATCGTCTACAAAGAACGGCATATAGGGCGACCCCGCTCGCCTTGGTGAAGGTGCGTCGTTGTTGGGCTCTGCGATCGTGAGAGAAATACCGAGGCGGTGCCCGAACGTTGACCATCGCGTCTCGAAGTCGGGCATCGCCCGAGAATTAACAGCTATGGGGATTGTAATTGGGACGGAAGACGTCCTGATTATAGCCCCGGTGGCGATCTCCTCAGGAGTAGCGGACGGCAGGATGAATGGTCCCCTGGGCTTAGGGTAGAAGCGGTACTGAGGGAGAGCGCTCGGGTCTTCAGGCTCTTCGGCGGCGGTGGCGGCAGTGGCGCGGAGCTGCGCTCTCAAGTCCTGTGCTGGCTGGATGCGATTCACGCGGTTATGCTCATTGCCCTTCGCTCCCATGAAAAGATCGACGCGCGCTTCGAGACTTGTACCCGTTGCCGGGCCCATTCTGTGGATGACGGCAGTCACGTTCGTGGTGCTCCCTAAAAACGACGCCTGCGTGAGCTACGGCTGAGTCAGAATACGCAAACATAATATTACCTTGAGTCAGCGTGCGCCCTTCAGGAAGCGTGATCTCGACTGTGTATGTGATATTTGTATCATCTGACTTGTCAGAGATCCCGTCGCGTAGTTTCATGTTGACTGTCTCTGTTATCGGTGTTCCTTCTGATGCCTCGATGATCGGCTGAAAGGCTGTAATCCCGGCAGGTACTTCCACCTTGCTTCCATTGGTCGTGGTGATCTCCACAAAGTAGTCGTAAACGTATTCTGAATACTTCATCTAACCTGGAGTCAGTATGCGACACAAGCCCTCAAGATAGTGTCATACGCACTTCGCCAAGCTTTGCCTGAGATGACATGAACCCACGCTCGGCAAACGCCGGAGCAGGTGGGAAGTTTGTGTTCGGGACCAGGATGGAAAACCTCTCCTCGAGTTTGCTGAAGACACGGTAATCCAATGATTCGAAGTTGTTTCTATTTGTTCCAGATCTGAGCAACTGACTTACCTAAACAACTCAAAGTTAACGCCGGGTCGCTGGGCCAGGTTTACCGGATGTCTGATATCGAACAGTACTAGCTCTTCCTCAGACACGTCCCAAAGTGTCTGGTTCAAATACGCCTTTAGATACTCTGTATGGGCCTCGCCAGGGTTGAACCATTCCGAGTGCGTTGGCAGCTCCCATGGCGATACTGGCATAGCACCTAGGTTCTTAGTTCTTGGACCTTGACCAGGATGACTGGGCAAAACCTCGCCTTCGCGCCTGAAGTAACATCATGTAAAGCATGTTCACTAGACATACAACGTCGACACGTACACCGTCTTAACGAAGCGACGTTCTTTGTAGCGCAGTCCGACGTTGATAGCTTCAACTTCGTAGGACCTAGCTGCCTTTACGCGTACGTCGCCAGTCACGATGGTGTTTGGCGCCAGGTCAGGAGCACGAACCCATGCTTTGAAAGTGCAGTCGCTGGGGGGTTCGGGCTGCACTGATGTTGCAGCTTGAGAGGCGAGGCCGGCAACTGCGAGTAAGGAGGCAAACCCCTTGGGAAACATGGTGTGGTGGGTGTGATGGGGGAGTGGGGAGCATAATGCGCATCCGTTCAACGGGTGGTTTTATGGATTCGGAGCACAGGTCAGTCACAGGTCTAGCCAATCGCCTGTAACAACGGCGCCTAAACTTCATATCGGCCCTTTCCAAGGATGCCGGGAGCCAGCCACGCTGGACATCATCCAGTGAAGAGGTTCGTGGCAGATACTAGCTCGGAGTCGCACTTATGCCGTGAAGGGCTTCGACGTGTGCTAGTAGTAGATACGCAGAAGGGAAGAATGAAGCGTTGAAGGCTCTTTGTAGTGACTCACGTGCGCATTGGGCATGTTGCTGTGTTGCTCTCAAGCACTCCGCTATCCGTGAGAATCGGTGAGATGGACGCTTCTAACAAGAAGAGAGTACCAAGTGAGCACGAATGCATGCGGATCGCGTACAGGAAATGGGCGAGACCAAGGTATCAGACAGCAGATCCCGTGCGAGTCGGAGCCAGAAAGCTAGCGGCGAAACTTGGCGGGGGACAGAGGTACGATTTCCCACCCCTGATGAGGCCTGATACATAATCTGGACTCACCGAAGTCTACATATTGAACATCCATGAAATCTACGCATATAAAGTTACAGCATCCCAGCTTTCATACGAGCTCAAACTGAGATCCACTGTGTTGCTAGCTCCATCCCATTCCATCTGATCCATGTTATATGCGTGTTCCTTCAAAGAGCAACGCCGTGCAATCACAACACAGGATATAGCTACGTGATGAATGCTCCCAAAGCAGCTGTACCTAAGGCGCTTCATGCCGAGCGGATGCCGGGTAGTCGAGCGATCTGCGAGTGGTTCAACTGCGTATACAATGATGGCGGGCTATGCTAGTTCTTGTCCAACTTTTTGATATCCATCGAGTTAGCAGTCCTATTGTCATGGTCACCTAGGAAGCAATGGTGGATGTGCATTTCGCATCAAGGTGCGGCAAGTGAAAGTGGGCTAGGGCAGATAGGTCATACGGAGGGGTTGGCGAGCCGGAGGCGAGCCGAGAAGCTCCCAAGGGGTCGGGGCTCCGGAAGCCCCAAAAATGGCAAGGAGGCGGCGACTCAGGAGGTGTCACGTGACGCGCTCTGGCTCGCTTGGCGGAAGGACTTAGGTGCTTCGGAGGCCGACCGTCCAAATATGGTAATAAACCTACTTGACCGATTATGACCGAATGGACCGAATGGACCGAAATTAGGTGGACCCCTCCGTATGGCGTAGCTGCTCTTCGGAGGCCGACCGTCCAAATATGGTAATAAACCT